TTTGACTACTGTCTTCGTTGTTGGTATGGCGTCATTTGTCTTTTGCAAATACAGATCGAAATTGATGTGCAAGTATTTTATCCTTTTCTTTGCTGTCTGTTATCAGTTGGCCTGTTCTTTTGAGAGGCAATACTCCAATATTGTCCTACTTCTTGGACTATATGTACTTCCAGAAGGGTTCTGAGTTGTTCTTTTTCAATCATTCAATTATTGTTGAATTGATGTATTCCCATTCAGTTTTCGAATTTGTTTTTTACATTCTTTCTTTAATGTTCTGTAGTTTATCGATATTTGTGTCTTTCCTCTTGGTTATTGACAAGTACTTTTTTGAAGGTGGTATGAAGGTTCTAGATATAATCGTTTTGGTTGTACTTCTCATTGATTGTTGTTAGTTTGTGAGATCTGCTTTGATTTTGGTGCAGTTTTCTTTAAAATAGATGTATCTTTTCATCGAATTTGTCTTTCGGTGGAAAGGTTTCATATCTATGTCTACTATTATTGCTGCATGATTCGATATTCCTGGCAAGTTTGTGGAAGACTACAATGATGGATTTGTTATAAATGGTAGGTCCAATAGCTTTTTCTCTCTTGTATGTTCTTTGTGAATTTGCGCTAGCATTGAATGAATTAATATTTCAATTATGCTGTTTTGTATAGTCTATCCTGGTCTGCTGTCACAACAAATAAGTACATACGGAAGCCATACACATTATCAGAGACATATATCATGTATCATATTGGCATTGTGTTCTTAATATAGCAAAGGAAGAACTATGTGATGAAATAAACACATTTAGTCCCATCAGAATACCAACCAAATGAAGGTAAAATTTCTATCCAAAAACAAACATATATATCATCACACAAAAAAAAACTAATGGCAACTATCATTTCTCTGATTAATTGCTAAATTTTACAAAAAAAAAAGGTAACAGCAAAAAAAATAGTTGTCACAACTATTCAAGTATTTCATATCTGTTGGAAGAACACTAGTCTGCAGAATTGAACTATTTGTTGTTGAACATTTTCTGGATCTAGATATGAATAGAAAAGTGTATGGTTTCTCGCATAATTTAATAAGCAAATGCATAGCTTGACAAAGGACTTTACATAAGTTTTAAAGTCACCATCACAAATTAGTTGATCAATACAATGTGTCTCAACTAATGTGAGGCATATTTTTACAGTCGTATATTACAGAAAAATTGTCTGATCTATAAATTTAATTTCCTTTTGTCCTATTCCCTAACATGACGTTTTGACTGAGTCTGGATTCTCATGGTTGGTGATGCTTGCTAAGCAGGAGACAATTACTGAAGCTAATTTTAATGTTCATGTGATTCCCTCAGTTTTTACCACTTGATTTGTATATTCAAAATGGATTTTAGAGATATGAACATTGGTAAACTATTGTTGCTTCTTATTTATATACATTACATTTTTGAAAAACACTTTTGTGTATATTTTATCACCATATATTATATTATATGATAAAAACTTATACAACTAGCTTTATTTAATTTATACATAATCAACACAAGAGTGCACACGCTGAAATGTCTCGCCTTCTTTACTAATCATTGATATTATGTTGATAGTCCTAAATATAAAGCTTTATTACAACTGTCACATAAACTTAACATTAACCAAGTAAACTAAACATTGACCAATGAACCATGAAAATGAGGTCAAGGTCAGATGAACCATGCTAGGCAGGCATGTACAGCTAACAATTCTTCCATACAACAAATATAGTTGACCTATTGCTTATAGTTTAAGAAAAACAGACGAAAACACAAAAACTTAACACTGAGCAATGAACCTTGAAAATAAGGTCAAGGTCAAATAAAACCTGCGTGACTGACATATAGATCATAAAATATTTCCATACACCAAATATAGTTGAACTATTGCATATAGTATTAGAAAAAAAGACCAAAACTCAAAAACTTAACTTTGACCACTGAACCATGAAAATGAGGTCAAGGTAAGATGACACCTGCCAGCTAGACATGTACACCTTACAATCATTCCATACACCAAATATAGCTGACCTATTGCATGCAGTATTAGAAAGAAAGACCAAAACTCAAAAACTTAACTTTGACCACTGAACCATGAAAATGAGGTCAAGGTCAGATGACACCTGCCAGCTAGACATGTACACCTTACAATCATTCCATACACCAAATATAGTAGACCTATTGCATACAGTATAAGAAAAACAGACCAAAACTCAAAAACTTAACTATGACCACTGAACCATGAAAATGAGGTCAAGGTCAGATGACACCTGCCAGCTAGACATGTACACCTTACAATCATTCCATACACCAAATATAGCTGACCTATTGCATGCAGTATTAGAAAGAAAGACCAAAACTCAAAAACTTAACTTTGACCACTGAACCATGAAAATGAGGTCAAGGTCAGATGACACCTGCCAGCTAGACATGTACACCTTACAATCATTCCATACACCAAATATAGTAGACCTATTGCATACAGTATAAGAAAAACAGACCAAAACACAAAAACTTAACTATAACCACTGAACCATGAAAATGAGGTCAAGGTCAGATGACACCTGCCAGCTAGACATGTACACCTTACAATCATTCCATACACCAAATATAGCTGACCTATTGCATGCAGTATTAGAAAGAAAGACCAAAACTCAAAAACTTAACTTTGACCACTGAACCATGAAAATGAGGTCAAGGTCAGATGACACCTGCCAGCTAGACATGTACACCTTACAATCATTCCATACACCAAATATAGTAGACCTATTGCATACAGTATAAGAAAAACAGACCAAAACACAAAAACTTAACTATAACCACTGAACCATGAAAATGAGGTCAAGGTCAGATGACACCTGCCAGCTAGACATGTACACCTTACAATCATTCCATACACCAAATATAGCTGACCTATTGCATGCAGTATTAGAAAGAAAGACCAAAACTCAAAAACTTAACTTTGACCACTGAACCATGAAAATGAGGTCAAGGTCAGATGACACCTGCCAGCTAGACATGTACACCTTACAATCATTCCATACACCAAATATAGTAGACCTATTGCATACAGTATAAGAAAAACAGACCAAAACACAAAAACTTAACTATAACCACTGAACCATGAAAATGAGGTCAAGGTCAGATGACACCTGCCAGCTAGACATGTACACCTTACAATCATTCCATACACCAAATATAGCTGACCTATTGCATGCAGTATTAGAAAGAAAGACCAAAACTCAAAAACTTAACTTTGACCACTGAACCATGAAAATGAGGTCAAGGTCAGATGACACCTGCCAGCTAGACATGTACACCTTACAATCATTCCATACACCAAATATAGTAGACCTATTGCATACAGTATAAGAAAAACAGACCAAAACACAAAAACTTAACTATAACCACTGAACCATGAAAATGAGGTCAAGGTCAGATGACACCTGCCAGTTGGACATGTACACCTTACAGTCCTTCCATACACCGAATATACTAGACATATTGCTTATAGTATCTGAGATATGGACTTGACCACCAAAACTTAACCTTGTTCACTGATCCATGAAATGAGGTCGAGGTCAAGTGAAAACTGTCTGACGGGCATGAGGACCTTGCAAGGTACGCACATACCAAATATAGTTATCCTATTACTTATAATAAGAGAGAATTTAACATTACAAAAAATCTGAACTTTTTTTTCAAGTAGTCACTGAACCATGAAAATGAGGTCAAGGACATTGGACATGTGACTGACGGAAACTTCGTAACATGAGGCATCCATATACAAAGTATGAAGCATCCAGGTCTTCCATCTTCTAAAATATAAAGCTTTTAAGAAGTTAGCTAACGCCGCCGCCGCCGCCGCCGTAGCCGCCGCCGCCGCCGGATCGCTATCCCTATGTCGAGCTTTCTGCGACAAAAGTCGCAGGCTCGACAAAAATAATAAAAACAGCAAAAATTTCAGCTCTATACAGGTATAAGTATATAAACATACTATTTCTGATATCTGACAGAACAATGCCTTTTATTATACCTTACATTATATAGTAATTATTTGATTGGCTAATACGGAATCACATGTCATAGTTTAATTTCGATTTTTTTCCATAAATTGGCAGGAGTGGTGAATAACCCCAACAAATTGAATCCTCCATCGAACAACCCTATTATATCCCGGTGAATAACCCCGACAAATTGAAGCCTCCATCGAACAACACTATTATTCTCCGGTGAATAACCCTTGTCATACATCAATGATCACGAGTTAACTCCCTTTAAAGCAAAAACAAATATGGCAACGGCAAGGTTTATAGAAGCCCATCAAGTGACAAAGAAACAAGATCAAACAAGGCATGGAAATTCATCTAGTGCCGATGATATCTCTTGTAAACGGCCCTTTTCAGGGCCATCTACATTTAACAGAAAGAGTCTACCTTTGTTGTTCATACGAGAAATATTAATAAACACAAAATAGTTTTCTAACGTGGTGTTTTGACAATCTGTTACAATATTTTACTTTTAATTGTTTAATTTAATATTTTAGTTAGATTTTGTTGGCCTGTAGAGATGATTTTTACAAATTACAGGCCCGTAAGTAATTTTACAAGCCTGGGCTGTTGGTCCTGTGGTTAAGCATGAAGACTGATTGTTTGTTCGGTATAATAAAATAGTTATGGTCCATTGAGTCGGTGAAATAACCCTTACTAGGGTTGACAATTTTGGATATTCACCTCCTCTGCAGGCCATAATTGTATAGTGTGATATCTGGAGAAATTAGATATAGGTATACTTCATGATTTTATAATTCACAGAGCCTAATCATTCCTTTTCCTTTGAAAAGTTTTTTTTTCTTTTTGGAAAAGTGTAAAACAAAAAGTGTTAAGCTACAAGAGTTATAAAACTTAAGATAAAATGTTCTTTCATGAAAAACTTTTGCTTTTATTTTTCTTTCAAAATGTACCAACAATTGTCAAATTGATTCAATTTTGTTTAATTTCAACACAAATTTAATGCAGTCAAAACTTAAAAGCAACATAAATATTATGATACACAATAAAACAAATAAAAAAAACATATTTGACATTGTCATTCAATTTATAAAAATATATTTTTTTCTAGTAATTCTGCTTACCAGTATTTCCTGTTTATATGTTTTGTGCAATAGATAACATTGTATGAAGGTTTTGGGGAATTGGATTTCTTGGAAATCATAACAATAAATATTGTCAATTTAATTACAACACAAGCTCTATGGAGCTTTAGAAACAGGCAAGGTCTGACAAATCATATACTTTAGAAATAATAAACAAATACAAACTAATTTTACTAAAAATGCCCAAGATTTTAGGATTTTCATCAATTGCATGCAACACTGTCACCAATAAATTGTTTGAAAAATAAAATGCAGCGAAATTATATACATAAAAGGTCCATAATCACTTTTAAAACTGGCAACACATGGAAGATGAATACTAAATATAAAACAATCTTCGTTTTGTCAATTTTTTAAAACTTTTAAGCAATACTTCAGTTTCTTGTTCCAATAACCTGAATTAAAAATATTCAAAGTTAATAGTGAACATTGTGGTTATATTATGGATACTATCATAATTGTCCAACAAAATAAAGTACAAATTTGGTAATGAGTAATTTATGAGATCTGATAAGATTTTATTATGCTGTTGAAAAATGTACCAATGTTCATCAGTTTGAAGAAATCAATTCTAGATATGATTGAATGAAATCATAAAATAAATTTGAATAATGAACTACACTATAATATCAACATTAGTTGAATGCAATTAAATTGTTTGTGCAATGCATGAACAAAATACTGTTCAAACATACAATGTACAATCCTTTTAACAAAAAAGTTAAACTTGAGTAGGAATATAATGTTTTTTTTCAAACTGCTGGTTTTTATGAGTTCTTTTCTGGAATCATAATGGTTACCTAAAATATATAAAAATGCAAATAAGAATTATTCTTAACCTTTGAATTTCAAATATTGATACTTCATAATTCAAGTTATGATATATAAATAAATCAGTGCTTAATTAAATTTACTTTTTAGAAATCATAGATGGCAGATTTTGCAGCAAATTAAAAAAATATTCTATAACATATCTGACATGGAAATGTCAACCCCCTCCCCATCTGAAAAAAAAAATTTCTTTAGAAGTTATGCCATCACATAAAAAATAATTGTAACATCCTTAATTTAAAAGCAGCATTTAAAACTTGTTTTTTTGTAAAATTAAAAGTATGCTTCAAGTTTAAAGTGTGCAAGAAACAAAGCTTTTAAACATTTTTGCCTTTAAAAACATTACAAATAGGAACTTTTATATAATTTATCAAAATTCCTTTTAAAGAATCATTGCTTGAGGACATTTCTTCCATTTTTTCCCTGACATATGAATAATGAATAATGATTGCATTCTAAGTCTAATTAGATCCCATCTGTAGCTATACTTACCGTCTTTACTTCTGTGTATTCTTTTAAAGCATATTCACCTCTAAAATACAAAAAATATCTTTGTATTAGTTTACAATTCCTTAAACTCCCCTTAATTATTTCACCTCTTATATTCTCTTATTATCATTCATATCTTAAAATATTTTTTAGGTACAGACTAATAAGTTCTTTAAATACCAACTTTTATCAGAATATTTTACATAAAATATGTTAAATACAATCCCTATTTATTATCTATTCCATGTATTCATCATTCTAAAGGACAAGGTACGATAAGGCCCGTTTTTGGTCCCCCTATTTTCTCATTTTTCAAAATTTGTTTTGGAAAGCTACTTATCACGTTAAAATATTTCCTTAGGTTTGAAGTTTGTTTGAATGAACTTCACAACCATTAATTTCAGAAAATGGGTGAGGTGAGGGGTGTAATAGGGCATCAAAAACGCCAAAAGAAGGAAAAATTACGATATTTGGCCATTGTTTCTTAAAGTTTAATAGTGTGCGCCTACGTGACCCGGAGAAAATTATGGCGATTTAGACAGCAAAAACAGTTCTCATGACATTGGAATAAAAAAATTCCTGGGTCACGTTGGCGCAGGCACTTAAAAACTAAAAATTAGTTGTACTGAACACCTTCAAAGTGAATAATAATTACAATATTTGAATAATAACAGAAAGTATACCCCCTCACCTCACCCAGTTGCAAAAATTAGTGGTTTTGAAGTATATCCAAACAAACTTCAAACATCAGGGAATGTTTTAACATAAAAAGTAGCTTTCCAAAACAGAATTTGAAAAATGAGAAAATAGGGGGGCCAAAAACGGGCCTTATCGTACCTTGTCCTTTGTGTGCTCATTATTCTCTGTATATATTCTTCATCCATTCATTGTGATTTTGCATTGCAAGGTGCATTCATCCTACTTGTTATGCTAATTGCTCGTCCTGCATGCATAGACCATTGTCAGCATAAATTCAAGTTCAGTGCCTGTCTTGAAAATGTTGTCAGTCTTGATTTACAACATTTTTATCTGCCAATAAATGCTTTGATCATGATATTAACTTGTTTTTGTTCATAAGATTTTACCTTTGAACTCACTACATGTCACATGGTCATCAACAGATGTAATACATTGTATTATTGAATACTTACAACTCTCTGCCCTGTCCAGACTGTTTAAATCCTCCAAATGGTGCTTGTGGTACGACCTGGTCATAACAATTTACCCTACAAAAGGAATGTTTAAAATCATACAAAATAATCAGATGTGGCTAAAAACTGCAAATTCAAAAGCTGTCGTTGGCATTATAATAAATATTTGCATATGCTTCAGACATTTTTATCTTGAGTCCCAATCATATATGGGTTTTAAAGAATATATATGGTATCATAAATTGTGAAATTAAACTACCTTAAATGCCCCTAACAGAATTTTCAACATACCAGTACACAGATATAGAAGAAAAATTAATAGATTACACTGAAGACTCTAGTAAATCAAATCATAAGGTTTTTATTTTATTTCTAAGGATGAATTTCATAACTGAAGTTAGCAAACTTTTCCAATCTCAAAACATAATCATCATCTTTTATACTTCTCAACAGTTTGCATATTTGAATTATTGAGAAAAAGATTGTTTGTTACAGATGTGTTAAGTTTAAAAGTTAATATTCAGGAAAATTCTGAGTTTCTTTCAGTAAAATTGGAAGGTTTGTCTAGGAGATTTCACATCAACCTTTCAAAACAATCACCAGAATTTTAAATAAAGCAGTAGTTTTATAACATAACAGCTTTCCATTCAGTTTTATATATTCCTTGTATAAACCAAAGCTTAAAAATTATATTCTACTACTGACTACGTTGAGAAAATATCTACAGTATTTTAAATTCTGCATTTCACAGGAAGTAACTTATGACAATTGTTTAATACCGGACACTTTTGAACTTAGCAGTAAGTTGTCAAATGTATTTTGGTTAATACGTAAAAAGTAAAAATTATTATGTCAAAATGATATGGTCATCTATTAAAAAACAAAAGCTTGATGAGAAAAAAAAATAAAAATGGCATACTTCATAAAGAAAAACATCTTCATACCAGGGCTTCCAAAATTATTTTTAGCCAGCCAGACATTTTATATATTATCCCGATTTAGACTAAATAAACAAAAGGCAATTATGGTAATCAGTTGTCGAGTTGGCCATCCCAATGATTGACATTAAAAAAAAGATATTAAACTTTCTTTGATTCAAATTCGAAGTTCTGACGTAAACTGTTAAATTGGCAGTGCATCATTCGAAGTGTGTAACATCAGTGTACTTATAACTGCCTTAGACTCTTTATTTGTGCAAAATAACGTTGTCAAAAACTTTACTTTCGTTTTTAAATCTAATACCGGATGTTATCTTGACAATGGTAGAACATGGACCAGAGACGGATATGTAAATTCCGTGTACGTTTGCAAAGCATAAATCAGTGTAAGTAGCTCTTTCTAGGTTATTTCTTCAAGAAAATATTCGAAATAAATGTGAGATACAGGTATCAATGACAATTTAAGCAGAAATTAGGATGCATATTTAAATTTCACACCTGCGCACACGTGTACTAGTTCAAACGTGGTTATGACGATTTTTCATTTTCACCTTTTTAATTATTTCATCAAATCATATTTGTAAACGTATTTCTGATAATTCAAATCTTTTTGACTAAATTAATTAGATGCAAACCGCTGAAATGTAAGAAAATAACTTTGAATAGACCGATCAATGTCCGGTTCAAAATAGTTTACCTGTCACCTGAACAGGTAAATTTCAGCTGTTCGACAACTAATTAGCCTTGATTAAAATGAGAAGGTATTAAAGTAGGGGTTGTTTTGATAGTACTTAATGATCATGTCACTTTTATGACCGGAAATGTGTGGCTGATAAAGGCAAAAGGTTGGGTCAAAAAGATCGTGAATTATGTTAAAATGACCGTCTCTTAAGAAAGCCTTGAAAACTAAAAAGTGGATGACCGTTTCATGCTTTGCCCAGCCGGTTTTTTACCGGACATTATACAAATGTCTGGAATATATAACTGTTTTGGAAGCCTTGCTTCATACACATTTTTTTACAGAAAACACTTTATATTCAAACCATGAACCTACCATACACTGCCAGCTTCAAGACCTTGAGCAGCCATCAGAGCTGTGTTGATATCTTTTGTAATAACACCAGCAGCAAGTCCATAGGTTGTGTTGTTAGCTCTCTCTAATACTTCATCCATTGTGCTAAATTTAATAAGCGTCTGAACAGGACCAAATATCTACAAAACAGAAGATACATGTTAAAGGAATTTCATCTCTTCTTTGTATATAAAAACAATACTTTAACACCAATGTTGTCATTGTATCTTTTAAAACAGTGTGCCTCGATTCCTGGACCAAGCATGAAAAACAAGTGAAACTGCTAGCTACTGCTCACTGATGATACCCCAAGCCCAAATACTTGACAGTTAACAGGAAGTTGTTGAGTGATGAATCTGAAAATGCATCACATAGTATAGGTGACTTACATAAACACTGAAACCAAATTTCAGAAATCCTTGTAATGTAGTTTCTGAGAAAAATGTGACGAAAATTTTCAACTTGGATGTGTTGTGTAAAATGATGTAAGTGTTTGGTAAACAGGAAGTTGTTGAGTGATCAATCTGAAAACGCATCACACGGTATAGCTGACTTATATAAACTGTGAAACCAAATTTCAGAAATCCTTGTATTGTAGTTCCTAAGAAAGATGTGACGAAAAATATTCATGGGACGGATGGACGGACGGACTGACAGACTGATGGATGGATGGATGGATGGATGGACAGACAGTGGTAAAACAGTATACCCCCACTTTTTTAAAGCGGGGGTATAAAAAGAGGTCATTCATTTTAAACTGAGAATGTAATTTTTTTTTAAAAAGCTGACAAAAAACACACTTTGTTTATCTGTATAGTTTCACAAGTTTGTAACTAACCCCTTGTTTTTGGTGGGGTTTCTGTTGCTCAGTCTTTAGTTGTCTCTGTTGTGTTTTGTTTATCTTTTGTCTTTTGGGTTTTTTTTCCATGGCATTGTCAGTTTGTCTTCTACTTATGAGTTTCAATATCCCTTTGGTATCTTCCTTCTCCCTTTTAAGGTTACCAGATAACAAAAAAAGATATTAAGCATTTCTGTGGCCAAAAATTGGGAGTACATTCAATACCTTTACATGTATAAAACATGGCTTTCTATAACTTATTTGATAGGGTTTATATTAAAGGGATGGACTGTGAATATTCTGTTGTAGCGATAGGATGGATTTCAAATATTTTAACATCCCTGCAGTTGTTGCACACATTATACTATTATCTTACCTCTTCTTTAGCAATTTTCATCTCATCTGTGACATTAGAAAATACAGTCGGCTGGACAAAATATCCTTTATCTCCCTGTCTGGAACCTCCAAACTCTAATTTGGCTCCTTCTGTCTTTCCACTTTCTATGTAACTCAGGATCCTGTTCATCTGTGTTTCATCCACCTATTCATAGTAATAAAAGTAAACCCATATTTATTGTAAAGTAATTTAATATATTTTTTAGAATGTTACTATAAAAAGTAAGCATATGTTATTCTTTTAGTGTACACAAAAGATAAAACGACTGGTTATTTCATGTGAAAACTGCAGGTGAAGAAATAATTTCTATTGTATAACATTAACTTAAAAGGCATACATACAATACTATACAAGATAAAACTTTCAATACAATCAATGCCATAAAAGTAAATAAACAGCTGTGCCAAGAGCAGAAATTGAGAATAAAATGGAAAATTAAATAGAAGTTAGAATAAAATGCTCCGCAGGGCGCAGCTTGATACGACCGCAGAGGTTGAACCCTGAACAGTTGGGGCAAGTATGGACACAACATTCAAGCTTGATACAGCTTTGCATTTGGATTGTGATTAAATATTTGACACAGCATAGGTTTCTGACACAGAATGAATGTGTTCTAAGAACTTAAAAATTTTAAATTAGACATTCACCTATTATGGTCCAATATCTAAAATCTAAATACATGGTTAGATTCAGCATATCAAAGAACCCCAAGAATTCAATTTTTGATGAAATCAAACAAAGTTTAATTTTGGACCCTTTTGACCTCAATGTGGAAAAAGTTGATAACGGGGCCCAAAAATCAAAAATCTAAATACATGGTTAGATTCAGCATATCAAAGAACCCCTATATATTCAATTTTTGTTGAAATCAATCAAAGTTTAATTTTGGACCCCAATTTGGACCAACTTGAAAACTGGGCCCATAATCAAAAATCTAAATACATGTTTAGATTCAGCATATCAAAGAACCCTAAGAATTCAATTTTTGTTAAAATCAAACTAAGTTTAATTTTGGACCCTTTGGACCTTAATGTAGACCAATTTGAAAACGGAACCAAAAATTAAGAATCTAAATACATGGTTAGATTCAGCATATCAAAGAACCCCTATATATTCAATTTTTGTTGAAATCAAACAAAGTTTAATTTTGGACCCCAATTTGGACCAACTTGAAAACTGGGCCCATAATCAAAAATCTAAATACATGTTTAGATTCAGCATATCAAAGAACCCTAAGAATTCAATTTTTGTTAAAATCAAACTAAGTTTAATTTTGGACCCTTTGGACCTTAATGTAGACCAATTTGAAAATGGAACCAAAAATTAAGAATCTAAATACACGGTTAGATTCGGCATATCAAAGAACCCCAATAATTCAATTTTTGATGAAATCAAACAAAGTTTAATTTTGGACCCTTTGGACCTCAATGTGGACCAATTTAAAAACGGGGCCCAGAATCCAATAAATGCTTCGCTGGGGCGCAGCTTGATACGACCGCAGAGGTCGAACCCTGAACAGTTGGGGCAAGTATGGACACAAAATTCAAGCTTGATACAGCTATGACTTTGGATTGTCATTAAATATTTGACACAGCATAGGTTTCTGACACAGGATGAATGTGGTGTAAGAACTGGAAAAAATTTAATTTACCTATTATGGTGGAATATCCATAAACTAAATTGTTTGTTAATTTCAATATATCAAAGAATATGTAGAATTCAATGTTTGATGTAATGAAATAAAGTTGAAATTTGGACCGTTTTTGTTCAATGTGGACCAATTTGGTAACATGTATAAATAATCAAAAATCTAAATACATGGGAGCCCATTTAAATACATCATAAAGGTATTAAAATAGAAAGTGACATCATAGTCATGGCTAAAAATAAACAAAAATCCTTAATCAGCAACATTTAAAGTAATATCTAAAAATAAAATTCCTTTGTAACCATAAAAGCCCATTTAAATACATCATAAAGATATTAAAATAGAAAATGACATCATAGTCATGGCTAAACATAGCAAAAAACCCTTAATCAGCATCATTTAACAGTAATATCTAATAAAATGCTTCGCTGGGGCGCAGCTTGATACGACCGCAGAGGTCGAACCCTGAACAGTTGGGGCAAGTATGGACACAACATTCAAGCTTGATACAGCTCTGAATTTGGATTGTTATTAAATATTTGACACAGCATAGGTTTCTGACACAGAAAGAATGTGGTCTAAGAACTTGAATTTTTTTAATTTACCTATTATGGTCCAATGTCCAAAATCAAAATACATGGTTAGATTCAGCATATCAAAGAACCCCATATATTCAATTTTTGTTAAAATCAAACAAAGTTTAATTTTGGATCCCAACTTGGACAAACTTGAAAACTGGGCCCATAATCAAAAATCTAAACACATGTTTAGATTCAGCATATCAAAGAACCCCAAGAATTCAATTTTTGCTAAAATCAAACTAAGTTTAATTTTGGACCCTTTGGACCTTAATGTAGACCAATTTAAAAAACGGGACTTAAAATTAAAAATCTAAATACACGGTTAGATTTGGAATATCAAAGAACCCCAATAATTCAATTTTTGATGAAATCAAACAAAGTTTAATTTTGGACCCTTTTGACCTCAATATGAACCAATTTGATAGCGGGGCCCACAAATAAAAAATCTAAATTCATGGTTAGATTCAGCATATCAAAGAACCCCATATATTCAATTTTTGTTGAAATCAAAAAAAGTTTAATTTTGGACCCCAACTTGGACCAACTTGAAAACTGGGCCCATAATCAAAAATCTAAACACATGTTTAGATTCAGCATATCAAAGAACCCCAAGAATTCAATTTTTGTTAAAATCAAACTAAGTTTAATTTTGGACCCTTTGGACCTCAATGAAGACCAATTTAAAAAACGGGACCCAAATTAAAAATCTAAAAACACGGTTAGATTTGGCATATCAAAGAACCCCAATAATTCAATTTTCGATGAAATCAAACAAAGTTTAATTTTGGACCCTTTTGACCTCAATATGAACCAATTTGATAGCGGGGCCTACAAATAAAAAATCTAAAAACATGGTTAGATTCAGCATATAAAAGAACCTCATATATTCAATTTTTGTTGAAATCAAACAAAGTTTAATTTTGGACCCCAATTTGGACCAACTTGAAAACTGGGCCCATAATCAAAAATCTAAATACATGTTTAGATTCAGCATATCAAAGAACCCCATATATTCAATTTTTGTTGAAATCAAACAAAGTTTAAATACTGGACCCTATCTTGGACCAACTTGAAAACTGGGCCCATAATCAAAAATCTAAACACATGTTTAGATTCAGCAAATCAAAGAACCCCAAGAATTCAATTTTTGTTAAAATCAAACTAAGTTTAATTTTGGACCCTTTGGACCTCAATGTAGACCAATTTAAAAAACAGGACCCAAAATTAAAAACCTAAATACACGGTTAGATTTGGAATATCAAAGAACCCCAATAATTCAATTTTAGATGAAATCAAACAAAGTTTAATTTTGGACCCTTTTGACCTCAATATGAACCAATTAGATAACGGGGTCCACAAATAAAAAATCTAAATACATGGTTAGATTCAGCATATCAAAGAACCCCATATATTCAATTTTTGTTGAAATCAAACAAAGTTTAATTTTGGACCCCAATTTGGACCAACTTGAAAACTGGGCCCATAATCAAAAATCTAAATACATGTTTAGATTCAGCATATCAAAGAACCTCATATATTCAATTTTTGCTAAAATCAAACAAAGTTTAATTTTGGACCCTTTGGACATTAATGTAGACCAATTTGAAAACTGGACCCAAAATTAAAAATCTAAATACACTGTTAGATTCGGCATAACAAATAAATAAATGTGATCAAAGATTTTACAAATCTAATGCGCCATACTGTGCAATTAAAGATTACTTCTTGAAATTTTTCAATATTTGAAATTTGAAAAAAAAAAAATATTTGAAGAATAATTCTTTTTAATTTCTGAAATCTGAAATGAGAAAAAATTGGCCCCCCACAATTTCTTTTTATCCCCCCCCCCCTTTTTCCCCCCAAAAAATTCTTTCCCTCAAGATATGGTCATAATCTCAATTCAAATTTCCAATGGAGTTGGCAACCATAATTACCCATTTAAATTTACCATAGTGCTAACTTAATCTATTTTATAATAGAATTAATAAAAATATAGTGTCAAATCTTTCATGTGGATTTTTTTGTAAAAAAAAAAGATGAAAACATTTGCAGATATTTTTACTGGTCTTCCTTTATAAATATGCATTTCTTTAAACATAATTTAAAAGCAGTGTAAGGGAAGTAACCAAAACGTTGTATTTGGATTACCTCCCTTACACTGTTTTAGATTATCTTTATTGTTCATTAACCATTACTTTATACATAATTTAAAAGCAGTGTAAGGGAGATAATTTCAATGATGTATTTGATTTATCTCCCTTACACTGCTTTAAATTATGTTTTGTACTAAAGTATTTGTCAATTAACCAGGACAACCTTGTTTTTCCCCCTTTTTTGCCCCTAATTCCTAAACGGTTTGAGCCATAACCCCCCAAAGCAAATCCTAACCATCCCTTTGTGGTATGGAAACTTGTAGTATAATTTCAGAGAGATCCATACACCGTTCCACAGTTATTGTCTGGAAACTAGAAAATGCTCATTTTTGGCCCCTTTTTGGCCCCTAATTCCTTAACTGTTGGTACCATAACCCCCAAAATCAATCCCAACCTTCCTTTTGTGGTATTTAACCTTATGGTCAAATTTCAAAAAGATCCATTCACTTAAACTAAAGTTAGAGTGCGAAAACCAATATGTATTCGGACGACGACGCCGGACGACGACGACGACGACGACGACGACGACGACGACGACGCCAACGTCATACCAATATACGACCACAAAATTTTTTTGCGGTCGTATAAAAATGGAAATTACATCATAAAGGTATTAAAATAGAAAATGACATCATAGTCATGGCTAAAAATAAACAAAATCCCTAATCAGCATCAGCAACATTTTATAGTAATATCTAAAAATAAAATTCCTTTGTAACCATAAAAGCCCATTTAAATACATCATAACAGATATTAAAATAGAAAATGACATCATAGTCATGGCTAAACATAGCAAAAACCTTAATCAGCATCATTTAACAGTAATATCTAAAAATAAAAATTTCTTTGCAACCATAAAAGTAAAATAGAAAATGACATCATAATCATAGCTAAAAATAAACAAAAATTTTTTTTTATTGGCAAATTTTAAATGGAGTTTATTATACTAAAACAATAAATTTGCAACCATAAACATGATAAAACCCCATTTAAACACATCATAAAAGTATTAAATAATTCAACTACATCATAAGGCTATAAAAATAGAAAATGACTTCATAGTCAAGGCTAAAGGTAAACAAAAAACCTTCATCAGCAAAATTTTATATTGGCAAATTTCCAATGAAGTTTATTACACTAAAATTGTTGGCAAATTTCCAATGCATTTATTAACAATAAAGTTATTGGCAAATTTCCAATTTACATAATTTAAAAGCAGTGTAGATGAGATATTTAAATGAGTTTGAATTACCAACCTTACACTGCTTTTAAATAATGTTCTTTACTCAATTATTTGTCTATTAAAATGGAAACCCTTGTTTTTTAACCTTTTTTCCCCTTATTCCTTAAACATTAGAGCCATAACCACCACCACCACCACCCCCCCCCCCCCCCCCCAAAGCCAATTATTACTTTCCAATGTAACCTAAATTTCCAATATACATAATTTTAAATTTCAGTTCCTCATGATATATAACTGTATCATTATTATTTTCTTTCATATATAAATCTGAAACAACCATCTTTAAATGGAAAATTTTAAAGAAAAAAAAAGGAAAAAAAAAAGTCCTACCCCCCACACATTTTTTCAACCCCCTTTTGATTCATCACCCCCCACCTCAATCACAACCTTCAATTTGTGGTATGGTACATTGCAATACAATTTCACAGAGATCCATACACTTGAACACAAGTTTTTGTTGCAAACTAAAAAAATCCTTATTTTCGACCAATATTTGGCCCCTTATTCATAAATGTTTGAGCAATTAACCCCAAAACTCAATTCCTACTTTCTCTTCGTGATAAAAAATAACTAACTTAAAATGTAAATTTTAAACAAAAAAAAAAGGAAAAAAAAAAATTACCCCTTTTTTGACCCCCGCCCCCCTTATGATTCATCACCCCCACCCCCCTTTCCCCCCAAACCAAGCTCAATAACAGCCTTGCCTTTGTGGTATGGTACCTTGTTATACAATTTTAGAGAGATCCATACACTTGAACACAAGTTATTGTCTAGAAACTAAAAAATGCTTATTTTAAACCCCTTTTTAGGCCCCTTATTACTAAACGTTTTGGGCAATTACCACAAGACTCAATTCCAGCTTTCCCTTTGTGAAATGGAACCTTGTAGTAAAATTTCAGAAAGATCCATACACTTACACACAAGTTATTGTCCTGAAACTAGAAAAATGCTTGTTTTTTGCCCCCTTTTGGCCCCTTATTCCTAAAATTTTGAGGCAATTAACCCCAAAATCAATCCCAGCATTGACCCTTTGTGATATGGAATCTTGTGGTACAATGTCAAAGAGATCCATATGCTAACACACAAGTTATGTCTGGAAGTTACAAAAATGCTTATTTTCGGCCCCTTTTTGGCCCCTAATTCCTTAACTGTTGGTACCATAACCCCTAAAATCAATCCCCACCTTCCTATTGTGGTATTGAACCTTATGGTAAAATTTCATAGAGATCCATTCACTTAAACTAAAGTTAGAGTGCGAAAACCATTGTGTATTCGGACGACGACGCCGGACGACGACGACGACGACGCCAACGTCATACCAATATACGACCTCAAAATTTTTTTGCGGTCGTATAAAAACTAAATACACGGTTAGATTCAGCATATTAAAGAACCCCAAGAATTCAAGAATAAAACCCCATTGAAATTGGTCAAGAAATAAGCAATTTATACGAAGTATCTTCTTTTGCACAATACTGTGCAATTAAATATTTCTTGCTATTGCGCAATACTGTACAATTGACAATTTCTTGCTATTGCGCAATATTGTGCTATTGGATATTTCTTGCTATTGCGCAATACTGTGCAATTGAAGATTTCTTGCTATTGCGCAATACTGTGCAATTGAAGATTTCTTGCTATTGCACAATACTTATTATATAATAATTTACACATCCTGTTTGGTGTGTATCTCCTACCATATCATTATTATTTGCTTTTAAATATAAATCAGAAATAACCAACTTAAAATGGAAAATTTTAAAAGAAAAAAAAAAGGAAAAAAAGAAAAAAAAAGGAAAACCCCCCCCCCCCCACCAAATTTTTTGAACCCCCTTATGATTCATCACCTCAAACTCAATCCCAGCCTTCCCTTTGTGGTATGGTACCTTGCAGTACAATTTCAGAGAGATCCATACACTTGAACACAAGTAATTGTCTGGAAACTAGAAAAATGTGTTTTTTGGCCCCTTTTTGGCCCCTAATTCCTAAACGTTTAGGGCAATTACCTCCAAACTCAAACCCAGCTTTCCCTTTGTGATATGGAACCTTGTAGTACAATTTCAGAAAGATCCATACACTTACACACAAGTTATTGTCCTGAAACTAGAAAAATGCTTGTTTTTTGCCCCTTTTGGGCCCTAATTCCTAAAATATTGAGGCAATTACCCCCATCATCAATCCCAGCCTTCCCTTTGTGGTATGGTACCTTGCAGTACAATTTCAGAGATATCCATACACTTGAACACAAGTTATTGTCTGGAAACTAGAAAAATGCTTATTTTTGGCCCCTTTTTTGGCCCCCAATTCCTAAACGTTTCGGCTATTACCCCCAAACTCAATTCCAGCTTTCCCTTTGTGATATGGAACCTTGTAGTACAATTTCAGAAAGATCCATACACTTACACACAAGTTATTGTCATGAAACTAGAAAAATGCTTGTTTTTTGCCCCTTTTGGCCCCTAACTCCTAAAATTTTGAGGCAATTACCCCCAAAATCAATCCCAGCATTCCTTTTGTGATATGGAACCTTGTGGTACAATGTCAGAGATATCCATACACTAACACACAAGTTATGTCTGGAAGTTACAGAAGTGCTTATATTTGGCCCCTTTTTGGCCCCTAATTCCTTTACTGTTGGTACCATAACCCCCAAAATCAATCCCCACCTTCCTTTTGTGGTATTGAACCTTGTGGTAAAATTTCATAGAGAGCCATTCACTTAAACTAAAGTTAGAGTGCGAAAACCAATGTGTCTTCGGACGACGCCGGACGACGACGACGCCAACGTCATACCAATATACGACCACAAAAATTTTTTTGCGGTCGTATAAAAATGGCTCTGCAGAAAAACTTGCATCAGGATATCCTTAGGCATATAAATATTGCATATAAATATTGCCTTAGATATGACTGTTAATTTTATATCCCATGTCCACATATCAATTCTGGAACAATTGATTAAATAAATTGGGAATGTGTCCATGGGACACAGATGATGCCCCCGCTTGCATATAATGTTATAAAGGGACATAACTTAAGAACAGTAAAAATGACGCTACCCAAATTCGTACTTGATCTGAGTTTTGTGGTAATAAGCATTGTGTATAGGTTTCATAACATTTGGTTGAGGCAAACTTAAGTAAGAGAACAGAAACAAAAATTCAGCAATTTTTCCATTTGTAAAGGGGCATAACTCTAGAACAGTATAAGTTTTGCCACCCAAATTCAAACTTGATCTGTGTTTTGTGGTAATAAGCATTGTGTATAAGTTTCATAACATTTGGTTGAGGCAAACTAAAGTTACAGAAAGGAAAAGTATTTGTATTTCTAAAGGTTTTAATACTTTTCAAAGATTCTACATTGACTATGATTTTGTTGCTGATGTTTGATCTGATACTCCTTTTTAAATTGTTCACACTTTACTTAGAATTTTTATCTTGCAGGGTAGCTTAATTGTCTCATAAAGTGACAAATACATCTTTTTCATAGCAGTATATTTACTGCTTTGATTTATATGTGATGTTCATAGTATTACATTTAGTTCATTGAGGGCAAGTTGTCATTGTATACCCTAACTGAAAAATCTTCAATATTTATAAATAAAATGGAAACGTGTCCATGGGACACAGATGATGCCCCCGCTTGCATATCATATAAAGTTATAAAGGGACATAACTGATCAAGAACGGTAAAAGTGAAGCTACCCAAATTTGTACTTGATCTGAGTTTTGTGGTAATATGTATTGCGTATAAGTTTCATAATATTTGGTTGAGGCAAACTTAAGTTTAAGAACGGAAACAAAAAATTCAGCAATTTTTCTATTTGTAATGGGGCATAACTCTAGAACAATAAAAGTGACATCCCCAAAGTTCAAACTTGATCTGTATTTTGTGATAATAAGCATTGTGTATAAGTTTCATAACATTTGGTTGAGGCTAACTTAAGTTAGAGAACGGAAACGGAAAATTCAGCAATTTTTCCATTTGTAAAGGGGCATAACTCTAGAATGGTCACAGTGACACCCCCAATATTCAAACTTGATCTGTTTTTTGTGGTAATAAGCATTGCGTATAAGTTTCATAACATTTGGTTGAGGCAAACTTAAGTAAGAGAACGGAAACGAAAAATTCAGCAATTTTTCCATTTGTAAAGGGGCATAACTCTAGAACGGTTAGGATGACACCACCAAAATTCAAACTTGATCTGTATTTTGTGGTAATAAGCATTGTGTTTAAGTTTCATAACATTTGGTTCAGGCAAACTAAAGTTAGAGAACGGAAACCAACTTTGGGACGTACGTACGTATGGACGTACAGACGGACAAGGGTAAAACTTAATGCCCCCTCCGCTACGGCGGGGGCATAAAAATAAGGTTACATCTGCTCTGTAACATCACCTGTGGTCCTTGCTGAGTCATGTCATCAAATGGATCTCCTACACACCGATTTTCTGCAAACATTACACATTTCTTAACAAACTCATCATAAACTGTGTCCTGCACAAATGTCCTTGACCCTGCACAACAGTTCTGTCCATGATTGTTCATGATGGCAGCATGTGCCCAATAAGCTGCTGTATCCACTGAAATTTATACAACACAATAATCCAATACACAGTAATTTTCTTTTCATTTCTGATAGGTAAAAGGCTCTTATTTTGTCCATATTATTTGGTCAATGTGTTTTGTTTGACAAAATAAATAGATCCTTCTATACCAATCTGGGTAGGAATACCAGTTGTTTTTCTTCTTTTTCTACTGATAATTGTTGTTGATTCAATTATTTTTGGCTGGTGCATATTAATGTGGCCCTCAGATGGTTGTGAATTACTGTCTAAATGCATATCTTTTGATATAATAAAATAAAAACATAATCTTAAACCTTTTCTTCAGGAATCCCCTCCCCTTAAAAAAATTACTTTTACTGTGTTCTAAAGGCCTATTTCATATGAATATCTGAAGAATAAAACAGACTGATGATATGATTTTTGAAAGTAACGAGTCAATTCTGCTTTATTTATTTTTCATTAAAACTAAGGAATGCACTGTGTTCTCATATGGCACCCAAAAAACTACATCTATAAAGCACAGAAAAGATATAAGCAAGATCAAGCTTTTGTACCAATGGATTAATAAAATGCTCCGCTGGGGCGCAGCTTGATACGAGCCCTGAACAGTTGGGGAAAGTATGGACACAACATTCAAGCTTGATACAGCACTGAATTTGGATTGTAATTAAATATTTGACAAGGCATAGGTTTCTGACACAGAATGAAAGTGGTCTAAGAACTTAAAAACTTTTAATTTACCTATTCAAACCATATCATTATTATTTGCTTTTATATATAAATCAGAAATAACCAATTTAAAATGGAAAATTTTAAAGAAAAAAAAGGAAAAAAAAATCCCCCCCCCAAATTTTCAGAACCCCCTTATGATTCATCACCCCCAAACTCAATCCCAGCTTTCCCTTTGTGGTATGGTACCTTGCAGTACAATTTCAGAGAGATCCATACACTTGAACACAAGTTATTGTCTGGAAACTAGAAAAATGCTTGTTTTTAGGCCCCTTTTTGGCCCCAAATTCCTAAACGTTTAGGGCAATTACCCCCAAACTCAAACCCAGCTTTCCCTTTGTGATATGGAACCTTGCAGTACAATTTCATAAAGATCCATACACTTACACACAAGTTATTGTCCTGAAACTAGAAAAATGCTTGTTTTTTTGCCCTTTTATGGCCCCTAATTACTAAAATTTTGAGGGAATTACCCCCAAAATCAATCCCAGCCTTCCCTTTCTGGTATGGTACCTTGCAGTACAATTTCAGAGAGATCCATACACTTGAACACAAGCTATTGTCTGGAAACCAGAAAAATGCTTATTTTTGGCCCCTTTTTGGCCCCTTATTCCTAAACGTTTAGGGAAATTACCCCCAAACTCAAACCCAGCTTTCCCTTTGTGATATGGAACCTTGCAGTACAATTTCATAAAGATCCATACACTTACACACAAGTTATTGTCCTCAAACTAGAAAAATGCTTGTTTTTTTGCCCTTTTATGGCCCCTAATTACTAAAATTTTGAGGGAATTACCCCCAAAATCAATCCCAGCCTTCCCTTTGTGGTATGGTACCTTGCAGTACAATTTCAGAGAGATCCATACACTTGAACACAAGTTATTGTCTGGAAACTAGAAAAATGCTTATTTTTGGCCCCTTTTTGGCCCCTTATTCCTAAACTTTTTGGGCAATTACCCCTAAACTCAATTCCAGCTTTCCCTTTGTGATATGGAACCTTGTAGTACAATTTCATAAAGATCCATACACTTACACACAAGTTATTGTCATGAAACTAGAAAAATGCTTGTTTTTTGCCCCTTTTTGGCCCCTAATTCCTAAAATTTGGAGGCAATCACCCCCAAAATCAATCCCAGCATTCCCTTTGTGATATGGAACCTTGTGATACAATATTAGAGAGATCCATACACTTACACACAAATTATTGTCATGAAACTAGAAAAATGCTTGTTTTTTGCCCCTTTTTGGCCCCTAATTCCTAAAATTTGGAGGCAATTACCCCCAAAATCAATCCCAGCATTCCCTTTGTGATATGGAACCTTGTGGTACAATGTCAGAGAGATCCATACACTTACACACAAGTTATGTCTGGAAGTTACAAAAATGCTTATTTTTGGCCCCTTTTTGGCCCCTAATTCCTTAACTGTTGGTACCATAACCCCCAAAATCAATCCCCACCTTCCTTTTGTGGTATTGAACCTTATGGTAAAATTTCATTGAGATCCATTCACTTAAACTAAAGTTAGAGTGCGAAAACTAATGTGTCTTCGGACGACGATGACAACGACGACGACGAAGATGACGCCAACGTCATACCAATATACCACCACAAAATTTTTTTTGCGGTCATATAATAATAACACTAGATAAATACATTGATAATAGTATATAGTTTTCTTGTTCCAAAGCAAAGTACTCAAGCCAAGCTTTTAACTATGCATAAAGAACAATGAGTATTTTATAAACATTCTACTTACAATCAGCATCTCCAAATATAATCAGTGGACTTTTGCCTCCAAGTTCTAGTGAAACTCTCTTCAAATTGCTCTTTCCAGCTGCCTGCATGATCAATTTACCAACCTATAATTATTTTAATTGTGAGTTTTAAATAAATTCAAGACAATCATTAGAACTCTAACTTTCCCAGACTGTGAAATAAAATACAATTAAATGCAAAAGGTAAACAGACAGAAAGTCACAGGACAGAAAGTCATAAATTGATAGGATTAAAAGTTATGATTAATAAAGTTTACAATTGTTTTAATATATAGAAAGTCCTTCAAAACATTAAATTTTATTAGATAAAATCATTTTACAGTTTAGGAAATTGTTCATCAGCCTTGATAAATTAAAATTTATCACATTATAATCATGCAAAAGGGATATGTCATGGCACCATTATGCCAATAAAGTACTAAGCCACTTTTCACAGCTTGTTTTCTTAACAATAATTTGATTATTACCATAAAAAGTTTGAAAAAGTTTTGTCACCATGTAGTTTTATATATATGTAATAGTTAAAGAAAAATACATATTTTAATCAAATGCTCCGCAGGGCACAGCTTGATACGACCACACAGGTTGAACCCCGATCAGTTGGGGCAAGTGGCCCGAGAACACAGTTATTTCGTAGTGCATTTCTTTTAGACAATAAATTCAAATTTAAAAAATCGCACCTGCTCAATCTCAAAAAGATTTTTACAGTGTAGCGTACTACTATTGATACAAATAATATCAAAATTATAGAAACTTCTACCAGCTCTAACTCAAAATATTGACAATTCTGTGTTAAGGGGGGCTAAAATTCAGTTTGACAGTTTCAGACATTCTAATTTTTGACCTTTTTTAACTGGACCAAATCACTACTTAACATAAAGATTCAGCACCCAAATTTTTTTAACATGTAATTGCATCCGCTCACTTAATATTTCATGCATAAAATATCAAGAAATAAATTGGGAAAGTGTATCAAAAAAAAAATGCAAGTTATACACTGTTCACACTAGGGACTATATTCGTAGACAACGAAAACCAAAGGACGATAACTGTGTCCTTGGACCTAATAGGATAGAAAGACTTGACCAATTTTTATAAAAATTTGCATGACTTAAGCTTAGGAAATTATAAGATAGTTGGCCAAGTTTCATGGCAATAGGATATATATTATAGAAACTAGGGTCATTTTAATATTAAAATTTGGATGTTTATTTTTGACGTTTAAATCAAATATTTTCAACTGTCAAGATTTTGGCCTAAAAAATTTAAATATTGCAAAAATTTGCTTTTTAAATACTCTTGAATATAATATAATACATATTAAAAGCAACGGAACACTCATTTGATTTATCAGATTTATCACAGTTATTCAAAAGTCAAATTTATATGAGCCTGTGCCTGAAAATAGAGATTTTCGAATTTAGGGAAGCCTTACTTGCATTTTTTTCAACCAATTTGAAGTTTTTGAAGTTTTTTAACCATACATTATTCTTCTATATATATTAAATGTAAAGAAAAGTTACAAAAAGCATACCACATGAGTATAAAATGGTCTTAGGCCATGTAAGACTGAGAATTATTTAGAGTCGATTTAGGCTGTAGCCCATATTTACATATAAAAATGCACACAGAGGCTATAAGAAATGGAAATTTGTTACTTTTTGCTCATTTCTATGCTAAGATGTTATGATACAAGAAGTCTAATTGCAAAAGGACTCTTGAATTCAACTTTTTTTTGCAGACAGTATGGTCTGATGACCAGTTTTTCATTTTTTAATGGAAAACTTGCATGTAGTTTTAGTCTCAATTGGCATATATTTGAACCACTTACTATCCTAAAGAAGAAAATTATGGTAGCATATGAAATGAATAGGGTGTACTGATCATTGTAAAGTGTTTTTTTTTACAGATTTAGTGAAATATTTGTGATGGTTTACAGATTTTATGTACAAAGCTCTTCACATTTCACATACATCAAACAGGCTGTTTAACCAGGGACATAAATACAAATATTCTGCACATTTTTTCTGTGATAATCTACTTTTCTCTAGATTCAGAGTTCACAAATGGTTAATTAAATTTGATTTAAGCATAGAAACACAAATATCAGGAACATAAAAAGCTGTCAGATAGAAATTCAGCATGGCTCTTAGGCATAAAATGGAAACTGCTTTAAAATGCTTATTTTAGCCGTATAATGCCAAAATGGGACATTTTAACAGAATTTCTGTCAAACAAAGATGTAAATCCTTTACTTTTATTGAGTTTGACAAATTGAAACCAGCAAACCATTCAGGAAAGTTGCCAAAGTACAGAATCTACATTTACGGAATTCATCTCTTAGGCCCGAGAACACAGTTATTTCGTAGTGCATTTCTTTTAGACAATAAATTCAAATTTAAAAAATCGCACCTGCTCAATCTCAAAAAGATTTTTACAGTGTAGCGTACTACTATTGATACAAATAATATCAAAATTATAGAAACTTCTACCAGCTCTAACTCAAAATATTGACAATTCTGTGTTAAGGGGGGCTAAAATTCAGTTTGACAGTTTCAGACATTCTAATTTTTGACCTTTTTTAACTGGACCAAATCACTACTTAACATAAAGATTCAGCACCCAAATTTTTTTAACATGTAATTGCATCCCCTTACTTAATATTTCATGCATAAAATATCAAGAAATAAATTGGGAAAGTGTATCAAAAAAAAATGCAAGTTATACACTGTTCACACTAGGGACTATATTCGTAGACAATGAAAACCAAAGGACAATAACTGTGTCCTTGGACCAAGTATGGACACTACATTCAAGCTTGATACAGCTCTGAATTTGGATTTTGATTAAATATTTGACACAGCATAGGTCTCTGACACAGATTGAAAGTGGTCAAAGACTTGAAAAATTTGAAATTGGACTTTTACCTATTATGGTCCAATATCCAAAATCTAAATACATGGTTAGATTCAGCATATCAACACCAAGAATTCAATTTTTGATGAAATCAAACAAAGTTAAATTTTTGACTCACATTTGGACCACCTTGAAAACTGGGCCCAAAATCCAAAATCTAAATACATGGTTAGATTCAGCATATTAAAGAACCCCAAGAATTCAAGACTTTGAATTAAACCCCATTGAAATTGATCAAGAAATAAGCAATTTATAAAAAGTATTAGAAAAGTATTGTTTTTGGCCCTTTTTTCCTAAACACTTAGGGCCATAACCAGGTAAAATCCATCCCAACCTTTCTTTTATGGTATGGAAGCTTGTGGTATAATTTCATAGCGATCAATAGACTTATACTCAAGTTATTGTCTGGAGACCAGAAAATCCTAGTTTTTTGTACCTTTTTGACCCCAAATTCCTAATTGATTTAGGCCATTACCCCGTAAGCAATCACACCCTTCATTTTGAGGTATGGAACCTTGTGGTACAATTTCATAGAGATCCATACACTTATACACAAGTTATTGTCCTGAAACAAGAAAAATGCTTGTTTTTGGCCCTTTATTTCTAAACAATTTCATAGAGATCCATACACCTATACTCAAGTTATTGTCTGGAAACCAAATGTCTTCGGACAACTAAGACAACATCATTTTACGGTAGAAAAAATTTTGTGGTCATATATAAATATTTCAAAACTAAATTGTGACTTTTCCTGTGACTTTCTGTCCTACATTCAAACAAAACTGGTGTTAAAGATAAAATGTAAGTCATAGTGATCCATGTTAGGAAAACTCTATGGCATTTGTAAATAAATGTACTGTTACAAGATCAAAAGACAAGTGATATCCCTTCTCTCTGTTATACAGAATAAGTAAGTTCATTTTGTAGTCCTCTACCAATGAAGCAGAAGGGGACTTTAGGTTTGCACTCCATCCATTCTGTCTGTCTGTCTGTCCTGCCCTCAGTCTATCCATTAGTCGGCAAATTAGTTTTCCGCACTTTTTTCCTTCCTGCTTGAAGATATTGATTTGATATTTGGAATATAGTTTTTTGTACCTATTGTGTGACGTCCATTTTCATTGAACTAGTACACATTTTTGTTTAGGGGCCAGCTGAAGACCACCTCTGGGTGCGGGATTTTCTCACTGTATTGAAGACCCATTGGTGGCTTTCAGCTGTTTTCTGCTCTATGGTTGGGTTGTTGTCTCTTTGACACATTCCCCATTTCCATTCTCAATTTTATTATCATGACAGATCAAACTTCAATTTTGTTCCGGTTTGATGATTTGGTGCAGAGCTATGATCCTTGGACTGTGAAAATTGATGCAAGTAATCATTTTTCAGCATTTCTTTTCATCATGCTTAAAGATATTGATTTGATATTTAGTATATAGTTTTACCATGACAAGTTACAGATCAAGTAAGAATTTTTTGAACTTTTTTTTTGTTATGCTAGAAGATATTGATTTGATATTTGTTATATAGTTTAAAGATCAAGATTGGGTTTTGTTCCAGTACAATGAATTTTTAACCGTTAGGGGACTATCTATTACCATGCAATACTCTCAGAATGCTTGTCTCCATTAAACAGATAAGAATAGTGTAGAAAATAAAGACATCAACAGTCAACACCCATGTTATACCGAAATAATAAAGAATTTATTATGTCTTATTGCTGCATGTTTCACCACATGAGTGGCATCATTAGGACGGTTGCAATAAGAAAAATTATACCTGAAGTACATTCATAGTTATTTATAGAATTGTCATTGTCTTGTTGATCTGTTTATCCAAATATAATTGTGTGGGTTCCGTACGTGGTAATAGAATGAAGTTCATGTTGGGTTACGTCACGTCACAATTGTGGGTTTGACGACTTTAAAATGAGGAAAAGTGAAAGTTATTTATTAATTGTCTGTATCTTTTCCAAAATAGACAACACCTCACTGGACAGTCAGTACCATTTCAAATGGCTTCACTCTGAAAGAGGTACTGCTTCCAAATAGTTTCTTTTCTTATTTTCTTTTCTTGGTCGCTTGTTTGGACCATGTAAGAATTTTGTTAAATATTGCCATACCAGCTTTTTAGGCAAGTAATTTGTGTTCATAAAATATATCATTGCTCTGAATAAAACCATTCAATGTGTCTATAAACTATTGAAAAAAGTTATAAATATTTCAGTTTTGCTAACTCTACATATCTTTTCAAGACTAATATAGAATCAACAATATTATAAATAATTAAATTGTTATCCTTTCTCCTATTTCTTTATTGGAATTAAAAGCACTAATGCATTGTTTGTATTGTGCTAAATCATGGTTTTTCTTATAACATCTATGAAGGGCATATATTAAGGATTAACAATGGTATGATTATTTGAGAGCATTCATTGACTTGGCATTAGAATTGTTTATATTTTGTTGTGTATTTGGTACCTTATAAACATGCTGCAAGTGATTTATGTGCCTTTAATGCATCTTTCATTTCCAGCTGATTGAGATAAAAGCCAAAGGTTGAGTTCTATAAACTACTTTATATCTGCTAAATCTTTATGTTTTTCAGTGGTTTTTTTTATTAGATTCTGAAATTGCAAATCTTTTAAAATGGCAATGAAAGTATATTTATTCTGGATATCTTTTGCTTTCTTTTTCTGTCATTGGAAGTTGCTGTCTTATTGATATATAGCCCACTCCTTTTTTTTAAATAAATGTACCTCTGTTGATCCTGTGAAGGCTACTTTGTCCACATCCATATGTTCAGCAATGGCTGCTCCTGCTGTAGGTCCATAACCAGGGACAACATTAACTACACCAGGAGGGAATCCAGCCTTCAAATATTAAAATTATCACATAGCCTGTAAATAAACTAACTAAACCAAGAAGAATTTTGTAAATAAAGTTATCCATAAAACTACACCAAGAAGGAACCCAGCAATAAATAAATACAAACCAAGCATAGGAAATATCAGTGGAAAATGTAAAAATCTTTTAACATCTAAGTTCATAAGAATAAGAATATGTGTTATGTGCTCATTGGACACCACGTGCCTCTTGCACTATCACATTTATGCATTCAGTGAACGGTAAAATCAGGGTTGAAACTGAATTTTTGCATATAATTCTTTATGCGTTCACATCATAATGAACTGTACTACATTTCTAGTTGATATGACTACAACTTCTGGGTAAATTAAATTATCCAAAAACTTTAACTAAACAATGTATTGATTTCATACTATCACATTTCCATGTACAGGGAACTGTGAAATTGGGGGTCATAACTGCAAGTTGGGGTATAATTTTAAAATATCTCATCCTAATGAAGTTTAAAGTTGGAGTGACAACAGCTTCATTGTAAACTACTTTATCCAAAAACTTTAAGCTAAGAGTAAACTGGTAGCATGTTCAGTAAAAAAGTTGGGTAAAAACCATAAGTTGGCATATAATCTAAAACATTTGTATCTTAATGAAGATGTATAAGTTTCTAGTTGATGTGACCACAACTTAATGGTAAACTTTCTTTACCAAAAATGTTTACCAGTGATACAGGACAGAAAGACTGATAGAATATCTGAAAAATGCACAGAGCAGAAAACATAATTTCCCCTACTATCATAAGCAGGCCATTGAAATCAATGATCATAAATATTGGCCAATTTTAGAAAAAATATATTCTCAAACATTCATCATTGAAACAATTGTTTGATTGAATGTCATATAACTAGCATGGTACAGGTACTATGCAAATGAATCCATGTATGACATTCATTTCAATTCAATTTAAATATAAATCTTCAAGTTAAATGTTTCAAATCTGAGGTGACTGTATATCTATACATCTTACACAGCCAAGTTGACCCCTATAAATCAAGACTTGTTGTGGGGCTCCGCGCATTCAGCCAACTGTAAGCCCTGAACTTGAATGTGTATCTATAAATCACACCCACACAAAAATAAAGGTTGGCACATCAGACCAAGTTTAGCTGTGCAATAATACATCTATCAACCTATCTACATCATAATTAATAACTTAAGCATCAAATTTCAGTATTATGTTAATAATTACCTCTTTAACAAGTGATGCACAATATAAGGCTGTCAGTGGTGTTTGTTCTGCAGGCTTTAGGACTATAGTATTACCACAAGCTAAAGCAGGTCCAAACTTCCAGCCTATCATCATCAGTGGGTAGTTCCACTACAAAATATATACTCTACATAAATAAAATATATCCATCTGTTATCTATATGAATTTTCATATTAAGATGAACAAGAGTAAAGTCTAAGCAAATCTAGAAACTATGTACAGTGGATAAATAATACATTTAATCTAATCCTTAATACAGACATAAAGGGTCATATAAGGCCCTAATAATACCCTGGCCTTACATTACAGCAATACAAGTAAAACATTTCAAACTCTATCGGATTATAGTTGACTTCCCTAGTTCCAAATTTAAAAACTTTTAATATGCAAGAAACAAAATTTGATGATGCTTTTTTAACATATGAATGGAAATGAAGAACACAGTTGATTTTTAGAAAGACAAATACTGTGATTAAACATCTTGATGACTGTCCAATCACCAATGCATCCTATATTTTTGCTAGATTCTCACTAAAAAAAATTTCTGTTGAGTCCTGGAACTCATTATTTCTAGCCATAACAAGTTCACGGATTTTACAAAATCGATATTAATATAAGCAAAGTCTTTCCTAATCATAAAAGTCTTTTGGTCTAAAAAATAATTAAACTACATCAAATTTAGATAACTAAGCTCATTTTTTTTAATGAAATGTGGATTTCTATACTCAGCTCATACATTTTGAAATAGACTGTACTCATCTATTTGGTTAATTATCATTGTATGGTGTGAGCGTATCTTTCAACAGACACAGTGAATGTTGAATGTCTGAAACTACTTACTGGTATGATTTGTCCACATACTCCTATGGGCTGATGTTTAGTAAATGAAAGCAAGTCACCATCTAAAATATTAGATGAATGCATCAATTTGTAGATATATTCATACAACACAAAATTGCATAGAAAATAAGTGAAACCCTCTTAAAAATTCAATCAATCGTTTACCGACAAAGGACTTTTCATCATAACAACTTCAAACAAATATTTGAACTTGTGTTGTATATTCCAACACAGTATTATGAAAACTGGTATGGGTTTTGCTCATTGTTGAAGGTTGTATATTGACCTATATTAGTTGATAACATATACATAATATGGACTCTGTATAGTTTTTTTAATGGCAATCATAACTCATCTCCTTATGTTTATAGTAGTTTCTGGTACATTATGAGGATGTGTAATTACTGTGTGTCCTGTTTTAATACCATAAAAGAGATGAATACAAGTAAGCATAAATGGTATACTAGTAGTCTACAGGTTTTGTTTACCTGTTGGTACAGTTGTCTACCAATTTGTTCCAGTTACTACATGCTTTGTTTATCTGCTGGTAAAATTTTCCCCATGTTTTATCAACATATTGGTCTAAGAGACCTACTGGTACCATTTACTGCATTTTTTCTTTAACAGCTGTCATTGTTAAATATTTTCTCCATGTTTTGATTACATGTAAAGGGAACAGTTGTTTTCATACTGGTATCATTTACTGCATGAATGAACAGTTGTTTTCATACTGGTATCATTTACTGCATGTTGGACCAATTGTGTACATACTGGTATCATTAAATGTTAGAACAGTTGTTTACATACTTGTATTATTTACTGCATGTTGGAACAGTTGTTTACATACTTGTATTATTTACTGCATGTTGGAACAGTTGTTTACATACTGGTATCATTTACTGCATGTTGGAACAGTTGTTTACATACTGGTATTATTTACTGTATGTTGGAACAGTTGTTTACATACTGGTATCATTTATCGCATGTTGGAACAGTTGTTTACATACTTGTATTATTTACTGCATGTTGGAACAGTTGTTTACATACTGGTATTATTTACTGCATGTTGGAACAGTTGTTTACATACTGGTATCATTTACTGCATGTTGGAACAGTTGTTTACATACTTGTATTATTTATTGCATGTTGGAACAGTTGTTTACATACTGGTATCATTTACTGCATGTTGGAACAGTTGTTTACATACTTGTAGTATTTATTGCATGTTGGAACAGTTGTGTACATACTGGTATCATTAAATGTTAGAACAGTTGTTTACATACTTGTATCATTTACTGCATGTTGGAACAGTTGTTTACATACTTGTATTATTTACTGCATGTTGGAACAGTTGTTTACATACTTGTATTATTTATTGCATTTTGGAACAGTTGTTTACATACTGGTATCATTTACTGCATGTTGGAACAGTTGTTTACATACTTGTAGTATTTATTGCATGTTGGAACAGTTGTGTACATACTGGTATCATTAAATGTTAGAATAGTTGTTTACATACTTGTATTATTTATTGCATGTTGAACAGTTGTTTACATACTGGTATCATTTACTGCATGTTGGAACAGTTGTTTACATACTTGTAGTATTTATTGCATGTTGGAACAGTTGTGTACATACTGGTATCATTAAATGTTAGAATAGTTGTTTACATACTTGTATCATTTACTGCATGTTGGAACAGTTGTTTACATACTGGTATCATTTACTGCATGTTGGAACAGTTGTTTACATACTTGTATTATTTATTGCATGTTGGAACAGTTGTTTACATACTGGTATCATTTACTGCATGTTGGAACAGTTGTTTACATACTTGTATTATTTACTGCATGTTGGAACAGTTGTTTACATACTGGTATCATTTACTGCATGTTGGAACAGTTGTTTACATACTGGTATCATTTATTGCATGAATGAACAGTTGTTTACATACTTGTATTATTTACTGCATATTGGAACACTGCTTACATACTGGTATCAGTATCATTTACTGCATATTTTTGTTACAGTAGCCTGCTGGTTCTTTTTTGTTCTATTTGTGTTTACCTTTGTTTCCAAATTGTTTGTATTATATGTATTGTTTCTGGTGTATATATAGTGCTGTATCCTTTTGGAGTAAATTCACTTGTATAAAAATTCCATTGTAAATTTTTTCCTATGTTTTATTTTTCATACTTTTGGAAATTTTATATACCAGAAATTCTACACAATGAAATGAATGTATACTTACAGTGGTACAATCAATTACCATTTGGCAATTGATTTCCCCCCATTCTTTTATACCTTTGTTTACCCCTGTTATCTGCTGGTACAGTTTTTTCTATTTTTTTGTTTACATTTTGATATGCTAGCTACATGTAATAACTTACAACCTGAAAGTATTGTCATTTCATCATAAATTGTTTACATGCTTGTACAATCGTTTACCTGATGGTATGGTTTTCCCCATGTTTTTATCACTCCATCCTGCATAGTATCTGATACAGTCTGCTGTACAATGGATGTCTTCTACAGAGTCTTGAAATGGTTTTCCATTATCAAGGGTTTCTAGACTCTTCAAAAAATAACTTAAGAGATATAAATAAGTTTTGAAATTACCTAAAAAAAAAAGAGGCGAAGGAAACCAAAGGGACATTCAAACTCATAAATCGAAAATAAACTGACAACGTCATGGCTAAAAAACAAAAAAACAAACAGACAAACAACAGTACACAAAACACATAGAAAACTGAAGACTTAGCAACACGAACCTCACCATAAATGGGGGGATCTCAGATGCTCCGGAAGGGTAAGCAGATCCTGCTCTACATGTGGCACCCGTCGTGTTGCTCATGTTGGTAAAACCCAGTGATAAGTCTTATTCGGTAGATCACAACAGGGAAAAAGGGGAAAGGATTGTAGTAACGACAATTGGAATGTATTGGTTGTCATCTGTGAAACAGATATTCCCTAACGGTCAACCAACTCTTGATGGCGACCGTAAAATTTACGAAGGGATGATTTCAACTTCACCACTTGGAACTCTTGGTTTAATAGTTTCCTTGTGAGCAATGTCTAAAGTACCTTTAAACTAAATACTTCTTTGGAAGAGCTTCTAAAGTTTCCTTAAAGAATTTTATTAATTTCATCTTACTCCAGTTTTACTAAATCTCACAATTCTATCAAAAACTGTAAATTGAAGAGGGACACACTATGTACATGACATATTAACCTGAAAATTAAAAGTAGAGCATTGTTAATTAACATTACAGATTTTACTTATTTTATTTACATGGGTAGGTGCTTATGTCATATTTAGGAGTTAACAAAAGCTATAACCCAATTATAAAAATGCTGCTTACAAGGAAGCTTTTGAAAGAAGGGTTCCATGTTGTAAAGTTGAAGTCATCACCTCCAAAGTTTAACAGATGTCATCACAATTTTGCTGACCATTACGGAATATTAGATCAACATCCAACTGTTAAAGCCACTATTCCATCCTCTTTTCCTTGATAGTCACATCACCGAATGAGACTTATCACAGCATTTGTATTTGCACTAACAACAAGATGGGTGCCACATGTGGAACAGAAACTACTTACCCTTCCAGAGCACCTGAGTTCACTCCTAGCTTTTAATGGGGTTCATTCTGGTACTGCTCAATCTTAAGTTTTATGTGTAGTGTTTGTGGACTTCTTCCTCATTTGGTCGTTTTTCGTTTTTTTTTTTGCCATGGCGTTGTCAGTTTTACTTCAACTAATGAGTTTTGAATGTCTCCTTGGTATATTCCACCTCTTTTTAATAAAAGATTAAATTTGAAAACTAATTCGATAAAAAAAATACACATTTGAAAACCTGTGCATCAAGATGATGACCGTTAAACACAACAAGAAGATTTTTGTCAATCTCAAAATTATCAATCATCAATGTCAAAATTCTTTCATGCCAGTACAAAAACAATTACAATGTAATAAAAAAATAATATCTTCCCTTTTTGCATCATTTTGCAAATAATAATGAATTCCTTTTATTATACTCTTTTATAACCCAAACTATAAAGCATTTCTAAAATATATGTTGGTCTTTATAAAAAAATATAATAAAATTTGCTCAAGTCCTGAAAAATGTGAAAAAATTCTTCAAACAATTCCATAAGGGAGGTGCACAACTTCAACATATATACAATCTTGCTGTGAAGTTTCAGGTATCTGGTTTGAAAACTATCTTTTCATATATTTTGCTGTAAAATTACTTTGTCCAACCCGTCCAAAAAAGATTTTTATATTTCTTATTATTCAATCAATAAAAAAGCTTGAAAAAAAAGATTTTTTTTATATCGGTAATAAACTAAAAACTCTTACTGCAAGATAAGATATATCCCTCTCCAATAAATCTGCAAGTTTATGCATGAGTTTGCCTCTTTTTGAGGCATCCATCCTCCTCCATTCTGATCCTAGTTTGAAGGCCTTCCTAGCTGCAGCTACAGCCTTGTCAATATCTGCCTTAATTCAAATGTAAAATTGAAATGAAATAAAATTATTGTAAATAATGCTAAGGAATTATTGAAAATAGCATAAATATTTGTAGATATGTCCCATATATTGCATACATATGATCAAAATAGTTAGAAGTGATTGATGTGACAGGATATTTTTGTAGACGCCGGGCTGTGTTATTTTTTGTGGTTTATTGAGATACGTTCTTTCATTTTTTAAGATCAAAGTAACTAGTTGTTGATTGCAAAGTCAGAAGTACTGAGGGTCCGTAAGTAGCCTGTTGCTAGGCTAAATTTCTGTTCTATCCATATACCAAAATTTTCTAATGGAAGTCTAAATTTCCCACCCCTTAATCCAGGTCAACCCCTATTACAGGACCTACCTATTGTATTTGTTGCAAATATGTTCTTATCCTAAACATGCATAGAATACTTGCCACTGAATGTTAAGCAAACATCAATCAATCAGAAACCATGAATAAAATGCTTAGAATGATTATACTGTCATCAATTTTTATTCTCTGTAGCAATTTTTTTCCAAATCTTCAAGTTAAATGATCCCATGATGCAATAAAAAACATAATGACATATATATATTGCATTATAGTATAAACATTAGAAACTTATTTTTTGGACTTCCTGTCAATATGGCACTTCCAAGATATTTTAAAGCAAGTAAAATGTATGAAGTGAGTCCTCTGAATAGTAGCAGCTCTATGAATTGACAAATGCTTTTCTTATTACTAAACATTTTTTTAACTCATCTTCACTATTGTACAATTACTATCATTACCTTGTCACCCTCTTGGACATCACAAATATTTTCTCCGGTACATGGGTTAACTGTTGAAAATGTCTTTCCACTGACTGAGTCACACCATTCATTGTTTATAAATATCTGTTAAATATAGAGAAAAAACAATATCAAAATAATAAAGGAAAAACAAATATAACATAGAGTTATTGCATGAATATTGGTGAATATTGTCAAGAGTAGACTTATGTGTTGCATGAGATTGCGAGTACAAGATTTATTCTACAAGAGATAATATAAACAATAAAATGCTCCGCTGGGCACAGCTTGATACGACCGCAGAGGTCGAACCCTGAACAGTTGGGGCAAGTGTGGACACAACATTCAAGCTTGATACAGCACTGAATTTGGATTGTGATTAAATATTTGACACAGCATAGGTTTCTGACACAGAATGAATGTGGTGTAAGAACTTAAAATTTTTTAATTTACCTATTCAAACCATATCATTATTATTTGCTTTTATATATAAATCAGAAATAACCAATTTAAAGTGGAAAATTTTGGGGAAAAAAAAAATCCCTCCCCCATAGTATTTGAACCCCTTTATGATTCAGCACCCCCAAACTCAATCCCAGCTTTCCCTTTGTGGTATGGTACCTTGTACTACAATTTCAGAGAGATCCATACACTTGAACACAAGTTATTGTCTGGAAACTAGAAAAATGCTTGTTTTTAGGCCCCTTTTTGGCCCCAAATTCCTAAACGTTTAGGGCAATTACCCCCAAACTCAAACCCAGCTTTCCCTTTGTGATATGGAACCTTGTAGTACAATTTCATAAAGATACATACACTTACACACAAGTTATTATCATGAAACTAGTAAAATGCTTGTTTTTTGCCCTTTTTTTGGCCCCTAATTCCTAAAATTTTGAGGCAATTACCCCCAAAATCAATCCCAGCATTCCCTTTGTTATATGGAACCTTGTGGTACAATGTCAGAGAGATCCATACACTAACAAGTTATGTCTGGAAGTTACAAAAATGCTTATTTTTGGCCCCTAATTCCTTAACTGTTGGTACCATAACCCCCAAAATCAATCCCAACCTTCCTTTTGTGGTATTGAACCTTATGGTAAAATTTCATAGAGATCCATTCTCTTTAACTAAAGTTAGAGTGCGAAAACCAATGTGTCTTCAGACGACAACTACGACGTCGACGCCAACGTCATACCAATATACGACCGCAAAATTTGCGGTCGTATAAAAAGCAGTGTTAAAAATCAGGCACACAAACTACAGTTATAATCTGTTTTATTATTCTATGCTTTCATTGTTGAACAATCTATGATCTACATCATCAAATGGCAATTCTTTTATATGATCAGTTACAAGTTCCTGAAAAAGGTGGGTCTGCTTATTTTGAGTGTATATATAGTGGTGGTGCTGATGGTCCTCTATTTAAGGCTTTCTTGTATTAAGTGTAGCCCCTGATTACAATGTTTATCAATATTTAGTATGGAATCATATATAATTGGCTATCTAATTCATTAACATATGGATATTGTGATAGTAATGTCAGTATACGATAATAGCAAAAAATAACTGCAAATAAAGGACCACCAAATTTTCACTATGACCACCAGATTTGTAATCATGGTGGTTCTTATACCACTAAGTTGAAAAAAGGTTTCTAGAACTCTTGAATATTGGTGAACTGACTTCAACTGTAAATTATGATTACTCAGCATTCAGCATCACTGGCATGCCCGCGTGCTTCCGATATCACATTTTAAATCACTTAATTCGTTAACAACCATTTTAGTATTACCTGTTTAAATTTTATTTCTGGATTTCGATCTGATTGAGGTGCTGGCATCGTTAACTTTTCAAAGCTCAAGTATCACAGGCAACATAAATGAAACCAACAAAAACCGAAAGTAAGATCTATAATTAGGCATTGACGAATCCTTTCCGGACAGATCTTGATTATTTTCCGGATTCAGTAAATATTTTTCATATTGAAAACTATTTTTTTTTAGCTCACCTGAGTGACTATGTAGCCCATGTAAGCTATTGTAATCTTTTATAATGCATATATTCTAGCATACATAGACAACTGTAGTTCAGTTTGGTGGAATGTCAGGGGCGTAGCTAGACTAAAATGATGTGCACGCCTATCTACCGCCGAGCGGAGCGAGACCAACATTTTTTGGACCATTTTATGTAGAAATTGATATTTTTTCACTTTTCGGTCATAGGCGGGTTAAAAAGGAGGTGCTACATATAGGACTTATAGACAATTCATGAATGCAAAACTATTCAGAATTCTTTTGAATAGGGTAAATCATGGTAAATTGAATACATAAGCAACACATTTTTGTGAGACAGAATTTACTCAAAATTGTCCAAAATCTGCTCTTCGGGTCTTAACAGAAACGAACTTCTCCATTACTTTGTCAATATTCACACTTAAATCCCGATGAATATGCATTAATGCTTGTGAAGATAACCTATCGTTATGTATGGTTGATCGTACATATATGTTTTCAACCGACGTAGTACACTAAACGATCTCTCCGCGGTAGCACTTGTTATGGGGTTGCATTGTCAACATAATACTCAAAATAGTATCTACAGAAGGATACAGCACTGGGTTACGATAAATTCGGGTTCAAACGTTGTAATTTACACTATCTTTAGCATGTTTAGTATAATAATAATTCGGGTCTGTTATTAACAATTTAATTTAGGACTTGTGTACTTTTCCAAATTGACTGTTTTTCGGGGTAGGGATTTTCATATCTACTAATGAATTGGACACAATTTTAAATTAATTTCAGCATACCCCAGCAAATCCAAAGAGTTACCCCTGGCATATGCTATTCCATGAGTTTGGGAAACGTTTTACACACTTATAGTGACTTGGAAGAATTAAAATCAACATACCTCGCCGGGAAGTCAAAATTATTTACATCTTTCTAGTTGGATGTTCGTAATTGCATCTTAATTTCTGTCATCTGCAAATTGGAATCGTGCAGGCTTGACATGTCTGGGTACGGAGCGGTGTTGGCTTTGGAGGTCGAAACTGCCGGAGATGGAGCTTGCATTTGCTTTTGCACTATCATGATTTATTCTCTCAGACTCTGGCAAGGATTGTTGGGAAATGGGTTCTTCTGAAGAACCTTTCGTTTCTGTTGAAACGGGTTTAGTAAAAAAAATGTCAGTAGTTTTCCATTTAGCCTTTTCACCTTTTTCGCTACGTTTCGACGTCATGTCGTGTTCAACGACGGACATCTTATGTGCGTATACATACCAGAAACGTCAACCAAATGCCGTTATTTAATGACATTTCATCAATTAAAAAAGCAACAAAATATATGTGTTTCCTTTAAACATTTTATTCATATTTTTTTTTGGCCCTTTTTATTTTTTTCAGCATGCCGAAGTGCACGCAACTGCGTGTTGGCGTATAGGGAGCTACGCGCCTGAATGTATTGCATAAAGATTCAGAAGAGAGCAGCAAGAATTATGAACTTGAAAGCAAAAGGTTTATTTATTATACAAATCCCTGATAAAAGCTGGAAATCAGATGCGGATCCAAGGCACCCCGCACCCCCTCTAAATCCGCCACTGGAAATAGTATAATAGTCAATATATAGTATGTCCCAGTTGAAAGTAATTTCATGTTTTTTTTTAATTAGTTATCCTTTACCAGACATATAGTACTATGTTAAGTCTCTCATCTGGGAACAGTATATCTAACAATATATGTTCCTGGTCTCTGTTCTTTGCAGAAAGAGTAGAATAGTCACAATCTATCCCAGTTCTTAAGAGTTACAGATGGAGTAAAATGAGTAGCAGGAGGAATTTTTATCTATATAAATATTAATCATTTACCATTTCGAGACAGACAGTTTGGGCTGGCAATTTCCAAGTGTTCTTATATATATAATATGTGGACTGCGCTTTGTCGTCCAACGGTCCCAGCCAATCACAAAAAGGCCGTCAGAGCAGTCTCGGACCAGTAGTTCATCAAGTTGAAACTATGTATAGAGAGTGCCACAGGGATTAATTTTGGGTCCAATGTTCTTTTAAATACTTTTATATTATTTCATCTTTTTTACACCTTTCTTATATTAACGGATATTTTTATGTTAGAGATAATATACTGTGTACAACCAGAGACATATAATACAATTGTATTATATGTCTCTGGTACAACTATGCAGATGTTTACACTCGGTCTTGAGGCAGTCACACCATTGAACATATAGATAATTCAAATGAAGAGTGCTGGTCAGGATTGGTTTAATGGTAAATAATAATATGGATGAGGTCGTATAACGAATTTATCGCACGCGGGACTTTTCCTGCCAAGGTCTGTATAAATTGATTGCCATGATTGATTGATTTTTGGTGTTCGCCACTTTAAACACGGCGGACAGTTTTAAGGGAGCTACCATTTGATTTTTATGGGGGGCTTGGATGAAATTTGATAAAAAGGCAGGACAGGAGTTTTAAGTAAGAAAAAAGGCAGGATGAGCAACTTGGCAAAAAAAAAGGCAGGATGACAATTTATGTAAAAAAAGTCAGGATAAACTAATAAAAATAAAAAGGCAGGACAGAGATTACAACTAAAAATAATGCAGGACAAAATTTTTCATCCTAGCCCCCCCCTCCCTAAATGGTGGAGGAACCCGGACTGTACGGAGAGAACCACCGACCTTCGGTAGGAAAACTCAGTAGTCAATCAAGATTGGAGTTGAATGCACCTGCCACGTGCGGGGGTTTGAACTCACAACCTCAGTGTTGACAGGGTTAGTGATACAGTAGTTGACCAATCGGTTATTGTAATTGTTCGTTTTTCACTTCCGGATAAAATTTCATATTCTGCCTCAAAATCATACATTAACGGTTGGTTGACCCAAAATGTATCTATTCTGTTTCTAAATGTGTTTTAGCTGAAATAACTTCTTTAGGCAGGCTGTTCCATATTTCCACAACTCTATTGGTGAAAAAATTCTTCCTTCAAGCCTAAATCTAGACGACTTCGATGTTATGTTTCACTTTTCTCCTTTTCACGTTCATGAATACCGAATCGTTTTCCTTTATCGTTTGAATCACTGATCGATATTTTGTTGTTCAAATTTAACAGAATACTAATTCATGGCCTGGGATCCTTGCTCACAGCTCGCTTTGCCGTACTGACGCGAAGATGAGGAGTTGATTGCCGCTTGAGCCCGAAAGAAATATTTTTATCATTCAACAAATTAACAGAAAAGCATATATATAGGCCTATACGTTATTTTACCAGGTCTGTAAATTAACCGATCAGATAAGTTTCTACTGGTTTTAATTTACTTTTCATCGCGTTATTATGCCCCACCTACGATAGTAGAGGGGCATTATGTTTTTCGGTCTATGCGTCCGTTCGTTCGTCCGTCTGTCTCGCTTCAGGTTAAAGTTTTTGGTCAAGGTAGTTTTTGATGAAGTTGAAGTCCAATCAACTTGAAACTTAGTACACATGTTCCCTATGATATGATCTTTCTAATTTTAATGCCAAATTAGAGTTTTGACCCCAATTTCACGGTCCACTGAACATAGAAAATGATAGTGCGAGTGGGGCATCCGTGTACTATGGACACATACTTGTTTGTTTTATAATTTCAGATGAAGGACTTAATTAATATGCAGAACAGTTGTTTCCACTAACATCGTTCACTGTTTGTACTTGGTTGATACAAATAAAATGATATACGTCTAGGAGTCAGTGCTGCTTTTACCATAAACTTATTTAAAAAGAGTTTTTATTTCGATGCAAAACTCAGAGGTGAAACTTTATTATCTATAGAGATTTTAAAACCTTGATCATGTTGATACATCAGGCGAGTAGAGCAAGTAATACATGTTGCCTTATAATTTTTATTTTTGTTCGTAGCAAAGAATTGCTTACAGGTAATATTTTCTTGAAATATAATAAGGATCAAGTAGTATTGGTGTGTGCTCCTGTTTTGGTCAAGACCCACGGACGGACAGACACATCGACGTTGTTTAAAAAAAACAACGAAATATCAATATGGAAAATTGTATCGTCACATATATGTTGTGTCTAACAAAGAACAAATTCTTAAAAGGTCTGAGATTAATTGATCATTGCAGTGGACAGACGTATCAGTTCTGCTTAAATACCGGAGGTCAGGACATTGTTTGACCAGGTATAGAAGTGTCTCATTGGAAGTATTTAAACATCCGAACAAATTCAGCCTTTTCAAATGTGAGTGCTTTTTGGTGCTTGCTCCACTTGACTCTATTTGAATGTTTTCTGTGAAATCATATCTGCTTGTTATAGTTGATGACGTTTTCTGTAAATCTACATTTGATTGCTCCATACCTATACCACGGCAACATGACAAATCTAGTGTTTCCATATATATACACGAAGTAATCAAGTAAAGTACACCGTGTTTTGTTAATTTATCACATTCTTTGAAGTGGGCAAACTTTAGTAACGGACAATTGTCTCCTATGGCAACCAAGGATGCATCTGTAAATTGTGCACCCTTTTCAAAAGAAACTTTCTGCAGAAGCCTACAAGACTTCGCCAGGAGGACGACGCTGTCATCATTAATATTCCAAATATAACTTGTATGCAATGTTTTCAACTTAGAACAACCTTGAGCAACTGACAACAGGCCATCGTTACTAATTTTAGTTTGCATGTGATTTCCAAAAGTTAAATTTTCTAATGAAGGACAATTTTGACCGATGAAAGAAATGCCCTTGTCAGTGATAGCTTCACAATCTTTAACATTGATCGATACTAATTGTTTTGTACTTGTAAGCCATTCGAGACCTTGGTCGTCAAAAAGATTTGAATGTATTGCTATCTTTGTCAAGTTGAGATGTAGTCTTTTAAAAAGATGACTTGATATGTAGTTACTTGATAGACAAAGGGAGGTTATTGGAGGATTCCCTTCAATAATGCGCGCCAAATCATGTTCATCGTGCGAATGTAATGTACGTAATGACAATTGCTGAATATGTGGCTGTGCTGCAAGGAAAGACAATAAATACTTGTCAAAATCTTGTTGTCTGTCCTCATTATAGTAACCTACGTCAAAGTCAATAAACTTCTTTTTCGACAAAACTTTGAACATTTTTTTTACGTCAACGCCAGCAACCGCCCAAATCTTTATCCTTTCCAAACAGGGACATCTATTACAAATTTCAGCAAAGATTTTTCCTGATCGTAAAAGATCTTCAGATATATCAATGCTTTTAAGGCTAGCAAATTTGACATGCTTGTCGTATTTCAAAAGTTTCCAAAATAGTTCTTCTGTTATTTTAAGATTAACAATGAAATTGACCAGCTTATGTTTGACTAAAGAACGGTAAAATCGATTAAGTTTATCTTTGCGAGGTTCATACGTGTATTCAACATAATTCCAAAGGCAAATCGATGATGTCAGATCTCTCCAAAAGTGACAAACGTTGCGGATAACGAAAAGTAAATCTTTCGGTGCTAGAAATGATAGAATCTTCACCAATACTTCTGGCGGCAAGTTGTTGATAGTCATTTTGTCTGAAACGAAACATTTTTGAGTTTAATATGTTTGCTAATATATGCTTAGAAACAGGAGGTAACAAAGTTACTATGCTTTGGACAATAAGTTCTTGGTCAATCTTTAAAAGTATTGACCTACTCTTTTGAAAGATTTATGAAAGTTTTGTCTTTTGTAAAACTTTGCAGTTAATCTCTTTTGACTTTCAGAATTACAATGATTTTTCATATTTCTTTTGATGATATAATAAGAAGGGGTGGTGATTTTCTTCCTTGTTGTATCTAAAGCCGTTATAAGGATTTTCACACAGAAAATGTAGTTTGTGTTTAGTAAGTTTAAATGACCTACATCTTCTTAAATTATTTACCGGATTAAAAAAGCTCATTGAAAAAAAAAAAATCAAAAAGAGTTATTAATCTATTAAAAAACATAAAAAAACATCCTGCAGATGTATATAAGACATAAGTCATATATCAACATTAATATCCGATTTGGCTTTACTTTTAAACATTTTTGGTTTGACGAGCTCTTTAGCGCGGATACCACATGTGGAGCAGAATACGTAACCTTTCCAGAACACATGCTAATAACCACATGATAGAGTGTTACTGCTTACAGTGAAGCTATTAAACCAAGAGTTTCAAGTGGTGAAGTTGAAGTCATCCCTTTGAAATTTTTACGGAGATCATCACGAGTTGGTTGACCGTTATGGAATATCTGTTTCACAGATGACGACAGAAATGTTCCAATTGTCATAAACATAATCCCGTCCTCTTTTCCTCGAATGTGACCTACCGAATTAGACTTATCACCGGCTTTGTACTTACATGAGCAACACGACGGGTGCCACATGTGGAGCAGGATCTGCTTACCCTTTCGTATTACTTGAGATCACCACTGGTTTTTGTGGGGTTTCTGTTGCTTTGTATTTGGTTTTCTATGATGTGTTTTGTAGACTGTCTTTGGTCGTTTTTCGTTTTTTTTTTGCCATGGCATTGTCAGTTTGTTTTTGACTCGTGAGTTTGGCTATCCATTTGGTATCTTCCACCTCTCTTTTATAATCCCAATTCACGTATGGTTTGGTATCTTCTGTTCATAAACCTTTGGGAATTCACTATTATCGATTTTACCTTTTTCCATACCTTTATCAAACCACAATTCACTATTTCAAGAGACCCAAACCACCTCGGTTACTGAGACTAATTCTGCTAAGTGCAGATTGGTTGCAATGGTTATGGACATTGCGTACTATAGTCTATTCAAATCAGTGACAACTTCTCCCTAAGAGGATGAAAAACGTACTTTTTGTTTTCATGTAGAATTTGCTAAGAAGGTGTGGATGCCATGAATATTAGCAATATTTTCCACCAAAAATCTATGCAGAAAACAATACCTGATTACTTCAAAGATAAATCTACACCTGTCATTTCATATACCTAACCCAAACCTTTTGCTTCCAACATTTTCAACAATAGGTTATAAGATACCTTTACCCTCAGGGACGTAAAATTCAAACCTCCAGATTGATCTTGTGAATCGTCCCGATACAAAGGTAGTCTCGCTAGTCGTGTTATAACTGGTGATCGTAATCAATCAACAACTTAGAGAGTTGTTAGCCAAAGGCACGAAATATCAAATTTCCCAGTCCATCAACTGAGACAAGGACCAGGTTAATGATGAATGGAGTTGGGCAGAAATGGATGAAGCTCGAGTCTTTGGTATAAGCATAACAAATATCGATACAAATCTCCCATCTTTATACTGGATACCTAGCGAAATATCAAATTTCCCAGTCCATCAACTGAGACAAGGACCAGGTTAATGATGAATGGAGTTGGGCAGAAATGGATAAAACTCGAGCCTTTGGTATAAGCATAACAAATATCGATGCAAATCTCCCATCTTTATACTGGATATCTATACTTCACAAAAGTCTTTAGAGGAACGAAATATAGCCGGGTCGTCATGATGTTCGATTTAACATCTTTCCAAAGTTCTAACCACCATTCTTTTTAGAGTAAAAGATGGCATTCAGGAATATTTTGATGAGGTATATTTAACCCGAGGTGTCAATCAGATGTGGATTCTTAAAAAGTTTAAAGATTTACTCCAAAATCTTCAATGAAAATCTTTACAATTTTGCAGTAGTATCAAAACCTTTAATTTTTCTAAGTTGTACACTTCTATCTCCCATGCTCAATTGCAAGATCGACTAAATTGTCTCATTAAACAGAGATTTTTCCACAAAAAGGGGAAACGTATATACAAATTTCTTGTTTTAGGTCATGGCAAGTCTTATTCTTTGAAGAACCACCAATTTCCACAACAAATACATCGAAGATGCTATCATCAATGTGCTACTTTTTTCAGCAAACAGTCGGTTTTCCAATGAATACTAATTGTGTACCACTATTTGTGTACTCATATAAAGCAGAAATCATACAGAACCTTCTTAACGACAGAAAACAGCTTGCAAAGTTTTTTTTTCTCTTTCAGATATATCGATGATGTTCAGTCTCTCAATAACCCACATTTTAATGAGCGATTACATCTCATTTATCCTAGTGAACTTGAGATTAAGGATACTACCAAAAGTAGAAGGTCTGCTTCATATCTTGATCTTTTCCTCGATACTAACACAGATGGGCGACTTCAAACAAGAATCTATGGTTAACGTGATGATTTCTTATTGTCAACTTCCCATTTCTATACGGCAAGTAACATTCCCTCTGCTACATCGTATGGTGTTTACATATCTCAATTAATAATCTGTTCTCGTGCATGCTAACTCTATACGGAATTTATTAATAGAGGTGTGCTCCTGACACAAAAACCGCTCCAACAGAGTTGAGGAAGAACGATTGAAATCGACCGCTGCGATGTGTCGGTGTCTCAACTGATCACTAGCAGCATGTTTTTGTGGTCTTAGGTCTTTAAATCTGGTAAAGTCGTCTGACTTGTAATTTTACCGATTGTGTCCTATTCCCGATTATGACGTTTTGACTGAGTGTGAATTCGCATTGACGGTAATGCATTATACATGCATAGCAGGAGACGCTTACCATATCAACCCATCCAGTCTTGCTCATGCAATTCCCGTTTGCTTGTTAACTTGAATTGTCCCTTCCTAATCGATTTACGATATTTGAACATCGATAAACTAATATCGGCTTAATTCACTCATTTTTCAACCTTTTCTCATCCCGCTCGTAGTCATTTTCTTTAAAGGTGGGAGAGATAAATCTGTTATGTCCAAAAAGTGAAATTTTCCCTGGCATGCACAACTGAAATTTCAAACAGACTCTACACCTATCATTTTTTTTTTACATCACTGCATATGATGGTAAAATAGACAAACACCGGAATTAAATTTGAAACTGTCCACTCAGTTACACCCTTTAAATCACCTATTGCATTGTAGATATCTATTGTTCATATCAATTGTTTCATGTGAGAGAGCATCTCAGACATTTTACCAAACTTCGTTTATTTTTCACAACTTCTGCAGGAATGAAAAAAAGCCTATCATAGTCCAAAAAGAGATCTTATCTTTCTGAAACACAAAATGCATTTAATTTCTATATATCTAGTGGATGGTAGGCCTTAAAACTTTTCCAAGTGCAAAGGGTTGTATGTACTCAGAGTAAATCTAGGTGTAAGCAAAGTCATTTTTGTCCGATTGTTATGATGAACTTTAAAAATCAAATCGTATGAACTATACTTAGTGTATTTAATCCATATACAGGCGCTGCGTCACCTCATTGGTCGTAAAGTTTTGTTCCCAACCGACCATTATTGTCAATTTCAAGATGTAAGTGAAGCTATGAGGACAGACTTAACTGTATCTGTTTTATCTTTTATTTAAAGTTCGATGAAAAAGATGCGTTCAATATAATAATCAAACTTTGAATTATTAGTGAGATGACATCATCTATATAGCGGAACGAGAAGTTGAAGGATAATGCTAGCTTTTTTTTATTCTTCAGAAGAAGATCCTGTATGAATTCTGCCTGATATGCATAAAGGAACAAATTGACAAGAAGAACTAGGATCACAGTAGGTTCCCATAGGAATGCCGATTGTGTGTTAAAAAGACGTCCTCCAAACGTAACAAATATGTTGTCAATAAAAAAATTAAGCATCTTGATAATGTCTGTGTCAGAGAATTTTTGTTTTTGTTTGAATCAGAGTGTACATAGTATGATTTATCCATCACCGAATCAAGATGTATATACGTTTGTCATTCTTTTTAATGAAACAAAGCAGGACCAATACGCCCAGTTTGTCTGTTAGTTTGGAATGGGGAATACTTGTGTAAAGAGTAGAAATTTAAATGTAAAGACTATTGCAAGAGGAAAGATACTTAGATCGTATTTACTCAATCAGATCTTCAGAACTTTTGAGTATAGTCCCTATTCATATGATTCACACCACCTCTTGAGTAGGTAGTTTCGCAATAACTTAGAAGCCCGGTTTTGATTGCTATCAAAATTGATGTTAACATAGTATAACATAAATTATATATATCCATACGCCTACTGCAGATTGAAATCATTGTAATTAAAGTAAAACAGTGTATGTAAAGGCAACAGTAGTATACCGCTGTTCAACAGTCATAAATCGATTTAACTGAAACAAAGACGTGTGCTATTTAAAAAAAAATAGAATGTATAGATGTTACTTACTTATAAGACTTTATTCTGAAAACAATGTCTTTATCATGTCAAATACTGATAAGCTGTTCAAGGTGTTTGACGTCTTTTATTTATAAATGTATAATACACATTTTTTATAGGTGTGCTCACACCAAAGCGATATCCCTATAAACATCATGATTCATTTTGTTTACCTGAATTATAGGCCAGACAAATCTAAATTTATGTTATAATATTGTTTGTAGGATACATCTTTTATTTTATTAGTACATAATGATGGTTAAAATAAACAAAAACCCGAAGTAATTATAACTCTATTATCTTTGATGAGTCTTTCACTTATCCGCTGTGTCTTTCTGAATCTAAACAAGGCTTACAGAATGCATTAAATAAGCTAGTTAGAAATCTATTGTGAAAATTGGGGATTAAAAGTTAATTTAAAATCATCTGGTCGTATTAAAGATGCACAACCCTCATAGAGCGTGGTAAAGGGCTATTTTCGTGCAACGTGATCGCCGTTTTTTATTTCACGTTCAACGTGTTTTTACTATTTTATATGGCGTTCAGTCGTGCAAGACAGGTGCCTCGTTCAACGTGTTCTGTTTATTAAATTATACGTGCATCGTGATTTTCAAAATTAATGCTTATTTTGCGTGCTCGGTATTTTTCAAATAAAGTTCAAACACTTGGCAGGGATCGTCAAGAAAAAAATGGATTCATTGAAATAGATCAAGATTAATACACTTTCGTGTACTTGCATTTGGAAAGTTAAGAAGATCGTTATATACTTTTTTTTAAGCCGGTAAACAATTTATATGATAAATATGTATACTAAATCGGGAATATCAAGTAAAACAGGGAGTTTATATATACAGGAAGACAGTGAATCAGTCACAAAAGGTTTACATCAAAGGCTTTATTTTTCGTGCAACGTTCATGACAGAAATTATTTCACGTTCAACAAGAATGACAAACGTATATACATCTTGATTCGGTGATGGATAAATCATACTATGTACACTCTGATTCAAACAAAAACAAAAATTCTCTGACACAGACATTATCAAGATGCTTAATTTTTTTATTGACAACATATTTGTTACGTTTGGAGGACGTTCAACGTGAAATTATGTCTTATTTCACGTGTTTTCCTTGCAGGCAGCCCCAACCCCCTTTTAACACCCTCATCATATAAAGACACATTCATCAAAAATATACAGCATTATACTTATCTTGGCGTTACTTTCAGTGCACCTGGTAGCATTTCGGAAGTCAAAAATAAGTTTTTTAATAAGGTTTTAAAGCTTTCTTTAAGTATACTAAATATATTATATTGTTCAGAAACATTGGACTGTTTTATAATTCACAGAAGTTGAACAATAAATCAGGACTGAATTATTTCGATAGACTTTGCAAAGATTTTAAAACTGAGAAAGTACATCTGAAATTCTGTGTATTTGCATTAGGAAAAGCACACAACGAATCTAGCCATATTTGGTGAGCTACGTGTTAGAAACTAGGGTATGGCTTTGTTTTACAGAATGAAGAATAATAGCAGAAAAATGAAGAAAAAAATAGAGAATTGAAGATTATAGGGTGCTAAAGTATAAAGAATAACTATGGAAAAGAAAGGAATTAGCAAATACATTACTGATTACAGAAATTCAATGTAAAGAATAAAGAAATCATCTGATCACAAAAAGATGTAATGGTAAAATCATTTTCATAGAAATTTTACAGCATAAGCTTTATTTCTAGAAATTGCAATAAAAATTTAAAGAATACAGAAACCTAGGGCCATCCATACAGATTCTCAGATATTTTAACAAACATGATCAAATATTGGAAAACAATCTAAATTATACTTTATTAACAAAGGCATAAACACATTATCTAAAACTGGGATGATTTACAAAAGTATCAAGTATTTTAATCTAAAACAAACATTTAAAATATGGCGAAAAAGAAATTATATTCAAAGTATTGTAACATATGGAAGAAGGAGTTGTTAATGATAAAAAGGCAAAATAGTGGAAACAAGTAAAACTGTGAGCTACTGCTCACTGATGATACCCCCGTCGAAATATTTCGGTAAACAGGAAGTTGTTGAGTGATGAATCTGAAAACGTATCACACGGTATAGCTGACTTATATAAACCCTGAAACCAAATTTCAGAAATCCTTGTCAAGTAGTTCCTGAGAAAAATGTGACGAAAATTTTCAACTTGGCTATCATATGTAAAATAATACAAGTGATCGGTAAACAGGAAGTTGTTGAGTGATGAATCTGATAACGCATCACACGGTGTAACTTACTTATATAAACCCCGAAACCAAATTTCAGAAATCTTTGTCAAGTAGTTCCTGAGAAAAATGTGACGAAAATTTTCAACTTGGCTATCATGTGTAAAATAATACTAGTGTTCGGTAAACAGGAAGTTGTTGAGTGATGAATCTGATAACGCATCACACGGTGTAACTTACTTATATAAACCCTGAAACCAAATTTCAGAAATCCTTGTCTTGATCTTTTAGAGTACATACAATCTAAGACTCTCTCATCTTGCAATAGTATTAAAACATTTGACTTTTCTACACTTTACACAAGTATTCCCCATTCCAAACTAAAAGACAAATTGAAAGAGTTGGAACTACTTTGTTTCATTAAAAAGAATGGCGAACGTAGATACAAGTATCTTGTCTTGGGGAGGGATAAATCCTACTTTGTAAAGAATCACTCTGATTCAAATAAAAAATTCTCTGAAACTGGCATTATATACTAGTAGATGCTTGATTTCTTGATTGACAACATATTTGTTACGTTTGGGGGACGTGTTTTTCAACAGACTGTCGGAATTCCAATGGGAACCAATTGTGCCCCTCTTCTTGCCGACTTGTTTCTTTATTATTATGAGGCTGACTTCATACAGGAACTTCTTAGGAAGAAAGATAAGTTAGCAATATCCTTTAACTCTACGTTCCGCTATATAGATGATGTTCGCTCACTAAATAAAACAAAATTTGGTGACTATGTTGAACGAATTAATCCCATCGAACTAGAGATAAAGGATACTACAGATACAGTTAAGTCTGCCTCATATCTTGACTTACATCTAGAAATTGACAATGAGGGTCGGTTGAAAACAAAACTTTACGACAAAAGAGATGATTTCAGCTTCCCAATTGTGAACTTTCCATTTCTATGTAGCAACATTCCAGCAGCGCCTGAATACGGAGTATATATCTCCCAATTGATACGATATTCCCAGGCTTGTGTTTCCTATCATGATTTCCTTGATAGAGGATTACTGCTCACAAGGAAGCTATTAAACCAAGAGTTCCAAATGGGGAAGTTGAAATCATCCCTTCGTAAATTTTACGGACGCCATCACGAGTTGGTTGACCGTTATGGAATAACCGTTTCAGAGATGATATCGGATATGTTCCTTATGTCGTAACTACAAAACCCTCCCTTTTCACGAATGTGACTTGCCGAATTAGACTATTTACCGGATTTGTAATAACATAAGCAACACGACGGGTGCCACATGTGGAGCAGGATCTGCTTACCCTTCCGGAGCACCTGAGATCACCCCCAGTTTTTTGGTGGGGTTCGTGTTGCTTAGTCTTTGGTTTTCTATGTTGTGTCATCTGTACTATTATTTGTCTGTTTGTCTTTTTATTTTTGGCCATGGCGTTGTCAGTTTGTTTTCGATCTATGAGTTTGACTGTCCCTCTGGTATCTTTCGTCCCTCTTTTACTTATATAAACCCTGAAACCAAATTTCAGAAATCCTTGTCAAGTATTTCCTGAAAAAAATGCGACGAAAATATTCATGGGACGGACGGACTGACGGACTGACGGAAGGACAGACCGAGGTAAAACAGTATACCCCCTTTTTTAAAGCGGGGGTATAATAAACTTCGAACATATCGATTATTCAAACCAAAATTTAATTTTGACCAATATTGTCACACAGAAAGCTTTCATATCTGGTTAGCAGCTTGATGTGCTACGCAATAAAACTCATCTTCAACAAGCTGCTGACTAAATATGAAGTTATTCTAATCTGTTGTTCCCGAGAAGAGTATGACGAAAATATTTGCTGGACGAACGGGCGAAAGGAAAAACAAGGTGATTGCAATTAGCCTCCAACTCTTATAGTGGGTATATACCATATATTACAGAATTTCTTACACATAACACATATGTCTGCAATAACCAGCATCATGATAAAAAGTTTGGAAGCAAAATGCATAATAAACATTGAACAGCTTCAAATCTAAAAAGGCCCCAACAGCCCTTCATCATTACTAATAACTTAGAAATAAGAAATCAAATTTAGATCACAACTCCATTCATTTTACGTCTTTGTGTCAAATAAAAAAGTCACAAATCTTAATAAACCCGGTGCAAACAATGGAATGAGCACACAGACCAAAAACTTCATCATATTCTTATTAACACAAGCATACATGTAGATAAACAATCCGACCAAACACAAGTATAGATGAACACTCAGACAAAAAGACTACACCTCTCCACTCTCCACATATAAACACAAGCAGGGATGAACAATCAGATCAAGACTACAAATCTTATTCAAACTATGAAATGACTTCTCGGATGGATAGACATTATTTGTAAATTTCAACCATCTCAGCAATATTCCTTCCAAATGGACAAAATCAAATCAAGAACATGTAAATAAGTATATAGCAGAATATTTTGCATTACAGACCTTTTTTATATTTACAAAAAGAAGGGCACCAAAGGACAAATTCCCAAAGGAAAGAAAAAGAATAAACATAGGATTTTTAGCTCGGATTTATAATAAGGACAGCCATGTTAGTAGACAGCATCATCTGATGTAACTAGAGAAATGATGTTGATAGTCGATCTGATCTTTGTGTGTGTTACATTAATTCACAGAATTAGAAAAGTTAGTCTCGAGATTTAGAGATTCAAGAGAGGCGAAAGATACCAAAATATTCAAATTCTAAGTGAAAACAAACTAAGAATGCCATGGCAAAAATCGATCAAAATACAACAGTATACAAAACACAACATTGAAAACTAGAATGAGTAACACGAACCCCAACAAAAACTCGGGGTGATCTCAGGTGTTCCAGAAGAGGACATCTTTTTTTAAAGATGACGATGCAAGGCAAATAATGGCATTATCTCACATGAGTTCTTATATTCACAAGACAAAATCTCATGGCGATTGTTTTTTCAATGTTAACAAGTTTTCCCCTGGACTATCTTGTGCTTGAATATTTGTAAATACAAGTACATTCGCTTTATGTACCATTAAATGATACATTAGCTGAGACTAGTAAAAGACAAGTCTAATATTATTACAGTGCATACAACACATGATTTCTGGAATAACCTTTATCAGGAACACTAAAAACTCAAAATTTGATAGGTCAAAATTAAAAAAACTTTGTAAGCTTAAAAGATAAAAGGTCTTAAACAGCCAAAACTCTCTTAATTTAAACTTTACTTCAAGCAGTTGAAACCATAGCATTTCCCCAATGACATAATTTTATGAACTGGAAATTTAGATACAATGTATCATTTAAAACATGTCTGGTACCATCTGTGACAAATAGGCCACCAGCAGTACTGCAAAGGCAAGGGGTAGACGGAAGGACAGAAACACTGATGGATGGACAGATAGGGGTAAACCAGTATACCCCCTCCTTGTCCATTTTGATGAAATACCAATCAAAACAATATAATGTTAGCGCTAAAAATATAAAATTCTAAAAGCAGGAAATAATGAATATATAAAGCAATTCTTTCAATTTCAATTTTTTAATCAAACATAACTTGCACAATTTGTATAAATAAAGATTCTTCAATAAATTTTGCTTATATAATATAAATGATATTTTCTGTTTCCATTATTTCTGACAAAAGCAAGCAATTAATTTCAATTGTTATGCTAAATGTTTTCCTGTTGTAGGTCAGATAATGAATCTAAACATTAGAGCCAGAAGAATGTATTGCATTATCAAGATTTTACCCCTTTCTTTTCTATAATTTCATCAATGTCTTTGATAGCACTAGATGTCCTTAATAATGCTTCCCTAACAGAATTAAAGCCTCTAATTATCTCTAATTCTTTAGACGGATCATCTCTATGTCCATAACGTTTAGTCTTTAGAATTGGCACTTCATCACTTTTAAAATGATCACCTCCTGTACAATATGTTTGACTAGAATAATTTTGAGTGTTTCCCGAAGCTTTGTGTCCACATTGTTCAAGCATGATATTTCCTGCAAAAGGTTCTTGCATTTCTGAAAATCTTGCGTCTTTCTGCTGCTCCATACCCGGGTTTGCCAAAGAATTGTCTGCAAGGTCTTAAAAAGTGAAGGAAAAATGCATGTATACACGCTTAGATATCTTGCCTGTTTAAGTGAATATGTTTGAACTATATATTGCAAGTATTTGATATCAAGCTCTTACTACATGTATTAGGAAAACTTTACATTGATCAAAGAAACGTGAAAATGGAGTCAAAAAAGAGGGGCGAAAGATACCAGAGGGACAGTCAAACTCATAGATCGAAAATAAACTGACAACGCCATGGCTAAAAAATAAAAAGACAAACAGACAAATAATAGTACATAAGACACAACATAGAAAACTAAAGACTAAACAACACGAACCCCACCAAAAACTGGGGGTGATCTGGTGACTGGAGTCAAGAAATCTTTTAGATTGGCGACCATATAACTTTTTATTGTATCTTAAAATTGTATCTTAGATGGCAATCATATCACATTTCTTTATTTTTGTATTTAAACCTTACAAAGATTTAACATAACAGATATGTACCGATTATCAGGTTGTCTGCATATGGTTATCGTAAAATATCAGCTGTGAGTCACAATATGAAGCTTTTTGTCGAGTGAGCACAGCGAAATATCAAAAAGGCTTCATATTGTGTTGAGCAGCTGATATTTTACAATATCAATATGCAGACAACCAGATAATCGATTTATCCAGTTGTATTTGCATATTTTGCATGATAAAAACAAGTGTTTTCTTTGTTTCACCAGCAAACCAGAAAATGACGTGATAAGTTGGGGTCAAACTTATCAACATTGGTCATATATTATGACGTCATTGATATGTCCGGGTAAAAGTTATTGAGGCCGGGTCAATGTATTTGCCGTCACAAAGCTGATATATGCAAATTTATTAAGACCTGAGCAGAGTGATATAGAGAGGGGGATGATTGATAAAATGGTATCTTAGATGGCAACCATATCACATTTCTTTATTTTTGTATTTAAACCTTACAAGGATTTTACATAACAAATATAATTGTATACATAGATGGCAACCATATCACATTTCTTTATTTTTGTATTTAAACTCTACAAGGATTGTACACAACAAATATAATTGTATCAATAGATGGCAACCATATCACATATGTTTATTTTTGTATTTAAACTTTACAAGGATTTAACACAACAGGTATAATTGAATCTAAAAAAACTAACCTAGGCCCTAAAAGTTAATCAGGATCACTCAACTGTATAAATGACAAATACGTTGATCTCAGACCTGCCTAATTTTTTTAAACCCCTGGCTGGAATTTATGATTCCTTATACTTTTCTCATTGCATAAAATTAAATTCAAATAAAATCATCCTGTGTTCACATTACATTTCAATTATTGAATTTTTTTTACTAAATACCTGCTTCTATGTTAGTTCATCTATCAAAAACATTGCAAATTAAAGGATACAATTAAAGCACTTTATTTTCTGTAGTTCCTTGGTAACCATTCTGAAAAATACACATTGTATAATATAACTGTCTATTGTATATTTATTCAGTAACATGGTTTTCAATATGCATGAGGTACTATTTTAGGTAACTTACCTTTTTTTTTATATTGATTGCTAAATCTCAGATTAAGAAAATAAATAGTTCAGGTCTTCCAATTTAATGCAACTAAAAATATACCATGTCAATGAAGGCTTGTCTGGAAAATATATATTTCTAAAAAAAAAAGCTTTTGGTGAACTATGAAATACTTGTCTAAGTAACATATTCTCATATTGTAGAAGATTAAAAGAAAATTGAAGAGCTATGACAATAGGCCAGAGACAATCAATAATTGGTATTAAGGCAGAAATGAATACAAAATGTACACAGTAATCATCTATTTGGACAGATGCTCTACCAATTTTTTCACAGGAGAAGTTACTTACAATGCAGCATCATCTGGCTGATTCCAATTCTGATAGAATATTTTTCTCTGTGTAGGGGAACTGTTTACCCAGGCAGCCCATTCTAAAGCAGCATCAGTATACCTTTAGTTTAATAACAAAAATCATTAAACAGTTAATGTCATATTATAAGACACCATGGTTACTTTACTCAATATTATCAAAAGAACAAAACAATAATTAAAAACATATAATTTCTCTGAATATAAAATGTAAATTTGTGTATAATTATTGAAACTATTCATTGTTAAAGAATAAATCTTAACTTTCTAAATTTATATGAAACATTGAACTTTAAAAAGGGAAGACCTTTTAAAACTCATTTCTTTTACCCACAAATATAAACTTGTCAACAAAGCTTAATTTTTAGCTTATTATGATACTAACTTGCTATAAATCCCTGGCTGTTTACTGTCCACTATCTGGTACTGTCCATTAGTCAACAGTAGTTTACATAACCCCTGTTTACCTCTACACTCCAGACTACTCTGCTGTTCGAGCTGTTGTTGTAAAATAGCTTTCTGAAATCCAAGTCAAATGAATATAGTAGTTACAGTAACATTCCTATCTTTTAATAAGACTGAAGAATGTAAAGATTCAGTTGCTATATTTTAAACAAAGGTTGATTGGCTGACTATGAATGGACGGACTGACAAAGGTATACCATGATGTCCCATGAATGGGCGTATAAAAATCACAGTGTGAACACAAAACACAAAAATCAGCTATCATATGATTATCAAATGGAAAATCATATTGTGTGAACAGAACACGGTAAGATTTACCTGGGAGACAGTATCAAATTGATTGGAAAATTGTAAGACAAAAAAAACAAAAAAAATCAAGCTTTATTTCCTTTTAAATGTATCTATGAGAGTTATGCATAATGAGTATAAAAGATTGCACAATGATTTTATAACGGTAAGTTTAAATGGGTTGTGTAACAATTGTTGTTATTAGGTTTAAGGTCAGTATATAAGGTAACTGCACAGATTTCAAATCACAGAGGATTGAGTAGAGACCAAACCAGCACTTATGTTTAGTTTAATTTTTGTTATACAAAATGTTTTTGTATCTTTGTTTCATATTATTTATGTATCTTAAACATGTCTTTTCTATTTTGTAGATTGTTTTGAATAATATAGAACATGTTCAGGATTCTGCCATGCTGTTTCTTTTGTGTTGATATGAACTTTATAGTTTAGTTTGATGGGCTTTGAGGCAGAGGAGATATTTTGTATTTGAAAATGTTTTGAGCTGGTCACTGCACAATTCAATACCAAAACATTGTGTTTGTTTCATTGTATTTAGTAAGAAAAGTGTAAATAATTGCATGGGCTCAATTACGTTCACATTGTTTCAAAATAGCTGGAGCATTTTAGCACATAAACAATTTATGTAAGTGAATTTAAACAAAGTTTGTTCTAGTGCATCTTCCTGTATAGTTCACATTCATGCTAAATGTAAGCATTAACCTGATGACCTGATATCTTGCATTTTGTTGGGTAAAATATTAATTTTTATTCTGTGTTGGGCAAGGTTGTTTATTTTCAGTTATTACCAGGCCAGAATATATTCATTTTCAAAATCAGCCTGCAAACAAAAATGGCATACCTCTTCAGCATTACTGCTGTGTTCTATACATCCGATTATTCTTTTTGTAAAGTCACATGACATATCTAATGATGTCCTGTCTTCAAACAATATTCTGATATGTCCATTGGAGAATGCAGAGAATCGCCCATGACCAGGTACACTAACCTCTTCTAGAAGACTTGATGCTAAAGGTTCCATCAAAATGTTATTCTTATACTGCAAAAGATGACAGTGACTTAAGTGTAGCCATAACTAACAATTTTCTATTTATAACCTTGGTGGCATGTTAGTTGGAATGAAGGATCATCAGACATATTTATAAACTAGTTTATCCAGGGATGATTGTGGCTCAGTTTTGGTTCCAATTGGGTCGAGTGTTTTCAGCAGAGAATATTCTTTTAAATGTTAAAATGACAGATGCCAAGTAATGGCAAAAACTCACAAGGCCCTATGGACCAGGTGAGCTAAAAGGTGCTCCAGAAGAGAAAGCAGTTCCTTCATTTTACAATATTTCACACACTAACAAATCCAACAAAAACTTAATTTCACTTGAAGATCTCAAGAAAAGTAAATACTTTTTGCCTCTTATATTACACATTTGACCTTAGCAACAAGAAACCCACTAAATTACAATAATGCACTCAAATATTCTATAACTGTAAATATTCTTCCTGCTTCTTCTTCTTCAAAACGAGATCCTAAGCAATAATGTAGAGCACTACCCTTGCCCAATGAGATATTTACATATGACAATGGAATTGATCATTCAAAGTATTTTCTTAAAAAAATAGACAATTCTAAACAAATTGTTAATTCCCTTCATTACATCTTAACGTGACAAAATTAACTTTTTTCTCACATCTTCTAATTCAGCTTGAGTGTTCTTACTTTTTTCCAGTAAAATCATTTTTGACAATTTTCAAAATTAACAAGTGAAACTGCGAGCTACTGCTCACTGATGATACCCCTGCCCAAATATTTCGGTAAACAGTAAGTTGTTGAGTGATGGATATGAAAACACATCACACAGTAAAACATGCTCATATGATGCAATATTCCAATTTCTGAAATCCCTGCATTGAAGTTCCTTAGAAAGTGCAATGAAAACTTGATCCAATGCCATAATTTATTAGAATATATAAGTATTTGGTAAACAGGAAGTTGTTGAGTTAAGAATCTGAAAATGCATTAACCCTTAAAGCATGCTCACATGAAGATTGATACATTACTACATGTATTATGTTTAAGAATACAAAACTATTTGGTAAACAGGAAGTAAACAGGAAGTTGTTGTGTGGTACAGGCCACAATGAATAAGTTGGTACATAAAATTAATGTGGAGTCCTGTGTACTTCAAATAAATTCCATAAATACATCAAACTACTTTTGTAAAAACATTTAACAGATTTAAAATGAATGGAGAATGTGTCTATGGGCCACAGATGCCCCCGCTTGTAAATATGGATGAGTCAACTTCCACATACAGATGCAGGATTCAAGTAGTTAAGACCGTTTTGTGATTATAAGCAAGTTTCATAACATTTGGTCGAGGCAAACTAAAGTTAGAGATTGGAAAGGACAGATTTAGCAATTTTTCCATTTATAAAGGGGCATTACTCAAGAACGGTAAAAGTGATGCCACCTAATTTCAAACTTGATCTGTGTTTTGTGGAAATAAGCATTGTGTATAAGTTTAATAACATTTGGTTGAGGCAAACTAAAGTCAGAAAACGGAAACGAACAAGAGGCTCTCAAGAGCCTGAATCGCTCACCTGTATTTCAGAGGAGAAGATTTTTAAATGTTAGCAAACTTGATGAACAAATTGTGTAAAATTGTCTTTAAAGGGCAATAACTCCTTAAGGGGTCAATTGACAATTACGTCATATTAACTTTTTTGTAGATCTTACTTTGCTGAACATAATTGCTGCTTACAGTTTATATATATCTATAATAATATTCAAAATAATAACAAAAAACTGCAAAATTTTGTTAAAACTACCAATTCGGTGGCAGCAACCCAACAATGGGTTGTTCGATTCGTCTGAAAATTTCAGGGCCGATAGATCTTGACCAATTTAACAATTTTACCCCTGTCACATTTGCTCTAAAAGATTTAGTTTTTGAGATATAAGCCAAAAACTGCATTTGACCCTTATGTTTTATTTTTAGCCATGGCGGCCATGTTTGTCGATGGATACAAACTTTGGATACAATTTATTAACAAGATACCCTAAGGAACATTTAGTTAAAGTTTGAAGGTAATTGGCCCAGTAGTTTCAGAGAAGAAGATTTTTAAATGTTAGCAAACTTGATGAACAAATTGTGTAAAATTGTCTTTAAAGGGCAATAACTCCTTAAGGGTCAATTGACAATTATGGTCATATTAACTTTTTTGTAGATCTTACTTTGCTGAACATTATTGCTGCTTACAGTTTATATATATCTATAATGATATTCAAAATAATAACAAAAAACTGCAAAATTTTGTTAAAACTACCAATTCGGTGGCAGCAACCCAACAATGGGTTGTTCGATTCGTCTGAAAATTTCAGAGCTAATAGATCTTGACCAATTGAACAAATTAACCCCACGTCAGATTTGCTCTAAAAGCTTTAGTTTTTGAGATATAAGCCAAAAACTGCATTTGACCCCTATGTACTATTTTTAGCCATGGCGGCCATGTTTGTCGATGGATCAAAACATCGGATACAATTATAAACTAGATACCCTAAGGAACATTCAGTTAAAGTTTGAAGGTATTTGGCCCAATAGTTTCAGAGAAGAAGATTTTTTAAATAGTTTACGACGACAGACGACGCCGACGACAACGACAGACGACGGACGCCAAGTGATGGCATAGCTCACATGGGGCCCTTTGGGCCCTGGTGAGCTAAAACTTCAACAATTTTTATGTTTATAAAGGGGCATAACTCATGAACTGAAAAAGCGATGCCACCAAATTTCTAACTTGATCTGTGTTTTGTTGTAATAAGCAATGTTTATATGTTTTATAACATTTGGTTGAGGCAAACTAAAAGTTAGAGAACAGAAACCAGTTTTAGGGACGTATGGATGGAAGGGATGGATGGGACGGACGGGACTGACAAGGGTACACTTAATGCCCCCTCCGCTACAGCGGGGGTATAATAAAAAAAAAGGGTTTAGACTTGCCTGAAATTTCTTATACTTGAGTCAAGTATGGTTTATTCTATATTGTAGATTTACTAATATGTAACTAACATTCTAATAATGTAGTAGCCAAGTAAATTTGAGTTTTTATCATATATATTCTCTTTGTTATAGGAAATTTATGAGTATGAGTTCTCTTTAGCATGCATGAATAGTTTAAGTTCTAATAAACATACTTTCCAGCAGCATACACTTTTGTTTGTTAATGTCTTGTCTTCTTGATGAGTCTGTAGCAAGAACCTACAAAAATTAGACACAAATCTGAATAAAATGCTCCGCTGGGCGCAGCTTGATACGACCGCAGAGGTCGAACCCTGAACAGTTGGGGCAAGTATGGACACAACATTCAAGCTTGATACAGCACTGAATTTGGATTGTGATTAAATACTTGACACAGCATAGGTTTCTGACACAGATTGAATGTGGTCTAAGAACTTAAAATTTTTAATTTACCTATTCAAACCATATCATTATTATTTGCTTTTATATATAAATCAGAAATAACCAATTTAAAATGGAAAATTTTAAAGAAAAAAAAAGGAAAAAAAGGAAAAAAAAGTCCCTCCCCCAAATTTTTTGAACCCCCCTATGATTAATCACCCCCAAACTCAATCCCAGCCTTCCCTTTGTGGTATGGTACCTTGCAGTACAATTTCAGAGAGATCCATACACTTGAACACAAGTTATTGTCTGGAAACTAGAAAAATGCTTGTTTTTAGGCCCCTTTTTGGCCCCTAACTCCTAAACATTTAGGACAATTACCCCCAAACTCAAACCCAGCTTTCCCTTTGTGATATGGAACCTTGTAGTACAATTTCATAAAGATCCGTACACTAACACACAAGTTATTGTCCTGAAACTAGAAATTTGTTTGTTTTTGCCCTTTTTTGGCCCCTAATTCCTAAAATTTGGAGGCAGTTACCCCAAAAATCAATCTCAGACTTCCCTTTCTGGTATGGTACCTTGCAGTACAATTTCAGAGAGATCCATACACTTGAACACAAGTTATTGTCTGGAAGTTACAAAAATGCTTATTTTTGGCCCCTTTTTGGCCCCTTATACCTTAACGTTTTAGCCAATTACCCCCAAACTCAATTCCAGCTTTCCCTTTGTGATATGGAACCTTGTAGTACAATTTCAGAAAGATCCATACACTTACACACAAGTTATTGTCATGAAACTAGAAAAATGCTTGTTTTTTGCCCCTTTTTTGGCCCCTTATTCCTAAAATTTTGAGGCAATTACCCCCAAAATCAATCCCAGCATTCCCTTTGTGATATGGAACCTTGTGGTACAATGTCAGAGAGATCCATACTCTAACACACAAGTTATGTCTGGAAGTTACAAAAATGCTTATTTTTGGCCCCTAATTCCTTAACTGTTCGTACAATAACCCCCAAAATCAATTCCAACCTTTCTTTTGTGGTATTGAACCTTATGGTAAAATTTCATAGAGATCCATTCACTTAAACTAAAGTTAGAGTGCGACAACGACGATGATGACGCCAACGTCATACCAATATATACGACCGCAAATTTTTTTGCTGTCGTATAAAAACATACTGAAACAAAACATGAAATTTGTAATATTAACTGTACAAAATTGATCTTTACAGCTCAAGGCATTTTAGGTCAAGGTAAAGAAAATGGGTAATGTCACAGACTTTTGTACGAGTTTGCATACAACTTGGAGATACTGGACATAGTTGCATGTCTATAAATTGTGATTTCAATTTTCCTTCATTTACCTGATTACAGTTCTAAGTAGAACCATTATCATTATCATCATTATTGTAGGGTTAAAAATACTAAATTTAGAAATTTCCAATAATATTAAGAAATCCTTATTTTTCTAAAAAAATTTCTATTAATATGTGATTTTTCAAAAAATGCATCATGCTGCCTTCAATATATCCAAAAATAATAATTCACAGATGAATAAATTTTTCACAAGGTCTGATAAATAAAGGCAACAGTAGTATACCGCTGTTCAAAAGACATAAAACTGAATTATATACAAGTAAATAAATAATTTTTTACAATTTCTCATTGTTCTGTCATATAATTAGTGATCATTTGTTATATTACTGACCTGCTTGCTCTCTTTATTAACTTTTCAATACAGTATGGGGCTGATCTTGGTGTAGGAGGCAATGCCTTTATAGAATATGTTCTTTCATCTATCTGTGACAAATATATTCATATATTATATACAACTTCTCTTTTTCACTCATATATAAAGGAAAAGTGTTGTGTTTTGAATAAAAAAAGACAATCAACAGATGAGGATTAGGTTCCACACAAGATCCCCTGTTTGGTCCAGCATTTGGGCACAGCCTGGCAAGAGGCCTAGGAGGAGAGAAAAGAATGAGAGAAAAAAAGGAGAGAAAAGTCATCCTAAAAAAACAATTACAGTGTCTAACATGTCAAAAATACACTAATCCTACACTCACACACACACACACACACAGAAAACTTCTATATGGTAACTCCTTTCATTTTCTGCTTAAGCCAAGGTGGAAAAAACTCAGGTGCTCCAGAAAGGTTGATTTGTTTATGCAAGTCTATTCACTGCACAATCATTGGAAATGTTAAAATACTTGTAAAACCATTTTTTTTTCCTCAATTAAAATCTTTAAATTGACAGAAATACAAGCCAATGAATTCAAGATGTAAACTCTTGTAAAGAGCAAGTTAGACAAATGTTGGCTTTCAACTTATTTCTTATTATATGGCATAATCTGTATGTCTTTCTTCTACACGTAGAACACCATTTGACTTACTTACCTGATTACCCCTTGGAATAATATGTCTGTAAAAATGTCCACTCAATCCTTGAGACAGTATAACACTACCATCTCCAGGGTAAATCTCTACAAATTTGGTTGACGTCAATCGAACTATTCTGTAATTAGTACAGAAGATGCTTTTAATGATGTTATATAAATAACTTTTATTTGCATTATTACTGTAGGTTGATACAAAAATGCATATAGAGTATGGCAAATATTAAAGTGTCATGTTCTAGAAATTATTAAAGGACATAGCAGTTGAAGTCATTCAAAAGGAAACTACAGAAGAGCCAAATACTACGACCAGTAATTTAATGGGACTTTCAATATGGGACAGGCTCCATCAAAATACAGTAAGTTCTTAATCCTCCACAAGTTATGAAGGGAGGGCACTAAAATAAATCTATTGTGGGTGGCTGCATTTTCTTTAGAATTTTGTAAGATTAGAAGTTACAGGAAAATTCTATATCATGGGTGGTTGCGGTCTTAAAAAAGAATGCCTCACATGCCCCTATGCATTTAATGCTGGAACAACTTACAGTTGATAACATATAAAATGCAACTTAACAATGTTTACTGCTTTGTAATGTTGAGAAATGTTTACAATAAGGTCTATGTTTATAAACAAAATGATGTAGGAAATTAACATAGAATTTCTAGACTACATGTGTGTGTATATCCTGAAATATTACGCAGATGGCCAACAATCTTTTTGATAGTTCATAGTGAAACATATCAAAACTTTTTGAAGGCAAATATTTGATTGGATGTTGAAAGGTCATCCGACTATGACCCCTTATGGGATATCTTCAGATCCTTAAAAGAGTAGCTAGCAAATTTAACAGCAAAATGAGTGAAAGATCTGATATTAATAAAATTGTCTAGATCCTTAAGTGTGAATTTGAATATATTAATATTACTTTATATGCATGTTTTATTTGTTAACTTTCAATGTCAGTGAGTTAAATCATTTGTTCCTTTTAAATAAAAGGAGCTGGTTTTATGATTAGTAGTGGATTTGGTAAGTATGATTCACCTGAAAACTATCCCATCAATTAACACAACCTTCAGTTTTCCTTTACTTAGAGCAGTAATATTCTCTATCATATCTCTGTCACTGTCATGTACATATTTGGTGTATTGTTTGTGTAGATGTTGTCCTGGGCAAGTGATTGGCAAGGATACAGGAAGTGGTGCCATACAGTAGTTCTCTGGAGTTATCATCTTTGGAATACCTCTAGGTCTCTGTGTTATATGAACCGATGTTGTTGCTTTAAATCAAATAATGTACAATTAATCATCTTAATAATAAAGCTAGTTTTATATTTAGAGAGTTAATGAGTATATATTTAGAGAGTTAATGAGTATATATTTAGAGAGTTAATGAGTATATATTTAGAGAGTTAATGAGTATATACTTAAAAACAGATGTTGTGAGTCAGTGTCAATTAAATCTTTAGTCATCAAAGATCATCTAAAGGTCAACCTAATTTTTGTCTATAAGCACTATTGAATTAAACAAAAAAAAAAAGCTTCCTTAATTTGCTTATAAATTTAACAGTACATGTAGTATCATGTTTGAAAATATTGAAAAATCACATGTCAATTATTTGCAGTACATTTTCATTTTTGTAAGAAAGTTAAGTATATTTTTTTGTATTTATCAAGTTTTTTATCACTATAAATAAGTATGAAATATCAAAAACCTTTTAAGTAAAGGAACTGGTCAATCTAGCTGCTTCTAAAAATATGAAAATAAAATAAAATGCAATGTTCAAAAATGATTTAACAAAATACTAAAACATGATTCTAACTTCAACATGTATAACCTACAAGAGTACTTCTCTAGTTCATCTTTATTGTCTATAACAGCTCTTGCCAAATTCAAAACATGATTCCAAGAAACTGGACACTCTTCACAAGAATAATGCCTTGAAATCCATGTATATAATATCTGAGAACTTGATTGGCCATCAATACTTCCTGCTTGACTTGTATCTGATCCACCTGAATCAATAGATGTCCAATGTACATGCCTTCCATTAATTGGCTGATTATAATGTTTCGATTTAGTAGATAAATTATCTTCCTTTGCATCACAACTCATATTGTTAACTGCTTCTGTCTTTATATTTCCAATTTCCCCTTTTGGTGCAAATTGCAAAAAAGAACCATCTAAGGATTCAAGAACTTCTGTGTGTTTTTGAACAATATTTGTTGGCGTTGAGTATCTATTTATATCTGTGTTGCTATCATTGGTAGGAGATGAGTCTCTACTCATTTGGGTACTAGCTAAACTGATTGGAGATAAATTCAAGTTATTTCTTAACATATCAGCTCTATCAGGACTTCCAGTGTTTTGAATCATGCCTTTCTCAGAATGTGTAGTATATTTCATCACTTCTGCAGAATTATGGTATTTATCAGGCTCCTGTTCATACTTTTTCAAACCGCCTATAGATGCTGATTTTGTCTGTTGGTGTTTAATAGTGTGTAACTTTTGCCTTGGTGAATCAGGACTTACACCACATAAATAACACACAGTAAAATCTTGTTTATGAGGTGACAACACAATACTAGCATATTCATCTTCAGATATAAGTCTCACACCTCCATCCATCATGTATTCAAAATTGGAATGTTCTGTGCCTTTTGGCCATGCTACATCTGTTATTTTGGCATATAAAGCCTGAAAGTTAAAATAAAATAAATGTGGATAGTGTCCACATGTGGACACAGATGATGCCCCCACTTGCATTTCATATAGTTATAAAGGGACATAACTGAAGAACGGTAAAAGTGACGCTACCAAATTTAAACTTGATCTGAGTTTTGTGTGTAAGTCTCATAACATTTGGTTGAGGCTAACTTAAGTAGAGAACAGAAACTAAAAATTCAGCAATTTTTCTATTTGTAAACACACATAACTCTAGAACCGTTGTGTATAAGTTTTATAACCATATATAACATTTGGTTGAAACCAACTAAAGTTAAAGAACGGAAACGAAAAATTCAGCAATTTTTATGTTTATAAAGGGACATAACTCAAGAATGGTAAAAGTGTTGCCACCAAATTTTGTACTAAATCTGTATTATGTAGTAATAAGCATTGTGTATAAGTTTCATAACATTTGGTTGAGGCAAACTAAAGTTAGAAAACAGAAACAAAAAATTTGTACTTGATCTTAGTTTTGTGGTAATGAATATTGTGTATAGGTTTCATAATGTTTTGTTGGGGCAAACTTAAGTTACAGAATGGAAACTAAAAATTTTGCAATTTTTCCATTTATAAAGGGGCATAACTCTCGAACTGTTAAAGTGATGCCACCAAAATTCATACTTGATCTGTGTTTTGTGGTAATAAGCATTGTGTATAAGTTTTATAACATTTGGTTGAGGCAAACTCAAGTAAGAGAACGGAAACCAATTTTGGGACGTACGTTCATACGTACGTACGTACGTACATTCAGATGGACAAGGGTAAAACTTAATGCCCCCACCGCTACGGCGGTGGCATAAAAAAAGGAGAATGTGTCCATTTGACATGGATGATGCCCCCACTTGCATATATCGTTATAAAGGGACTTAACTCCAGAACATTAAAAGTGACACACCCAAATTGTAACTTGATCTGAGTTTTGTGGTAAAAAGCATTGTGAATAAGTTTCATAACATTTGGTTGAGGCAAACTAAAGTTAGAGAACGGAAACTAATTTTGGACATACGTACGGACGGAAAAGGGTAACACTAAATGCCCCATATGTTGTGGTGGGGGCATAAAAAAGGTTAATTATTTTCTATAGTCAGCTTGCAGTATATATTCATATATTTATACAAAGAAGAGATGACATTCATGTGAATGCTAAGTAGTTTTTCAGATAAAAGACTAGCTCTGTCAATACGACACTTTGGCTACTACCTGCCTCCCCCAACATGCAAGTTAAATGTTGGATAAGAGTATGATTCTAGCTTCTAAACAAATAAGAGGGTGCATGTTTTAATGCACTGTCTTCTTAATTGATCATAAATGAATCATGACTGTAGGTTCAGGGCCAAATAATCTCCATGGAAATGAGATATGCCAATACTATTGTAATTACATCTGCATGCCAAATATCATTTACTTAATATAGAGGGTCCCCTACTGAACTAATTAAAAACTTTTAACTACAATGTATGCAATAATTCCAGTCAATGTACCATGACTCAGTGGGAAATCTAGTGACAAAATATTACCTCCCCTGTAAATATTGAAAACTAGATCTTCTCAATGTTTGTCCCATTTTAGCAAGGATGCTATCAATTATGGATTCACGTTCTGGTAAATAGTTAAAATAGAAATAAGTTGAAATAAAAACAAAGTTTCCATTCAATGTTATCATTTCCCTCCTTAAGTTGCAAACGACGAGTACAGCAGGCTATAGAAGCTTGATGTAAAACTGGTTTAAAATGCCTGGAGTACCAACTTCAATTTATTTTTCTACTGGCTGTATATCTTTCTGGAACATGCTAATTATCCGAATATATATACAGCTAGATCAGAGAAAGTCAGGGAAAAAAATTCCAAAGGAATCGATTGATATGCAGCAAAGATTGGCACTTTTGAAATTAAGTTACTAAGCAAATTCAAACGGACCTTATCTCGAGGTAAACATTGAATGTGAAAAGATCGAGAAGACCGCAAATAAATGCACAAAAATCGAGACGATCTTTTCTTAAAATTGTATAAAAAATAGCAGAAAGATACCTACTTTATAAAAATAGTTATTAGGCAGTTAAGCTGCCTTATGCGAGCACCCTAGATTTGTGTTCTACCCAATAGATGCTGAAATACGTGCCATTGTTATTATTTAGCTGGCTATTATGTTATTTATAACTAATTGGACATTTTTTAAAACTTTTATTTCTGGAATACAAAAAATATGACCAGAAAAACCTTAAGAGATCGTCAACTACCCAAAACTTTTGAAGTTGCACATAGGAAGTAGTGCTCAATAGAAATCCGTACGTAGTTTATTATCCCCTGTGCTTTTGGCTAAGATGTCAAAGAACAATTGTATGAAATATTTCATCGCCGAAAATCGGTAATTACAAGTCGTTTATATTTCCCAAATGGCAAAATGTGCAGGAATATTGTTCATGTACAACAAATCTCTATGATAGAGGAAATAAAGTTATATAAGTGGGCGGTAATTTTTAACTTATCTTGCCAAATAAGGTAGTTGTTATTTTATGAATGAAACGAGGTCATGAAACAGATGCGGAAATCGACGTTGATGGGATGTTTTAAATAATGTGGACAACTTGTCCCCGAAACAAGTCGGACCGAATCCACTCAAACCGTCTAAGAAGACAACTTTGACGTTTGTCAGATTTACTTAGGGTTACATAAAATATTAGACTAACATGTCTAGCGGAGCCATTAATTGTGCATTGGGGTCTATTTAGGGGTATTTGGAGGGGCCAGAAGAAGGGAGGGGTTTACTATAGAACCCTATGGGATTTTATTTTTTTTAATTTTCAAATGACTATTTCTCGAAAACAGTAAGTGATAGACACATGCAGTCTTCAATAATGAGCACAGGACAATACAAAAAATCAACCAAAATATAGGGTGAGTCCCTGGGGGTCATCCCAACCCCCTTCAATTTGAAAATGTACTTTTATCTTGTAAACCTTAGCGATCCCCACCCCTAAATAATATATATACTTGTATGGGAAAATAAAAGCAATCAAATGAAAATAATTTGGGGGAGTCCCCGGTGTCATCCCACCCCCTCCTGTTTGAGAACTTGGAAATGGTCGAGATCCCCACCCCTAAACCATATATATTCATGCATGGGACAATAAATTTAATCAAATGAAATATAGGGGGAGTCCCTGGGGTCACCCCACCCCTCCTGTTTGAGAACTTGTAAACAGTCGAGATCCCCACCCCTAAACCATATATATTCATGTATGGGACAATATAACAAATCAAATGAAATATACGGGGAGTTCCTCGGGTCACCCCACCCCTTCCTGTTTGAGAACTTGGAAATGGTCGAGATCCCCACCCCTAAACCATATATATTCATGTATGGGACAATAAAACAAATCAAATGAAATATAGGAGGAGTCCATAGGGACACCCCACCCCCTCTTGTTTGAGAACTTGTAAACAGTCAAGATGCCCACCCCTAAACCATATATATTCATGTATGGGACAATATAACAAATCAAATGAAATATTTGGGGAGTTCCTGGGTTTACCCCACCCCCTCCTGTTTGAGAACTTGGAAATGGTCGAGATCCCCACTCCTAAACCATATGTATTCATGTATGGGACAATATAACAAATCAAATGAAATATAGGGGGAGTCCCTGGGGTCTACCCACCCCTCCTGTTTGAGAACTTGTAAACGGTCGAGATACCCACACCTAAACCATATTTATTCCATATTTACTTTAATTATTTATTAAATTATTTCTGGGCCTATAATAATTTTCATTTATGGCTCATTTTAAAGAAAACATATAAATCTTTTAAGCAGTGTAAAGCCCAAGAATGTTTGACCAACTGTTTTATAATCACCTGTCATTTTATTCCAAACTTGGTATGGAGTAACATAATGCACTTGGGGGTGAAGATGGGGTTCATTTACATTGATATATGAGTTGCTTTTGAAAACCTTAATGAAATATTAATTAATTTGCCTTAATAATCAATTCATTTAATGAACATAAATGTACAATATACGAATGTTTAATGTTTGTTCTTTGAATGCTCCATGCATACAGTACAATAAGTGATTATCCTGTGTAGATAATACTTAGAACAGATATCAATTAACACAGAGTACTGTAATAATATATATTTAATGAGGCGGGTTGCTGGTTAAGAGAGTTAATTATCATACAACCATATTGGCATAATTTCTTGAATGAACTGTGTGGATGAGGAAGTATTTTTTGTTTTAACATATGCCTATTTTTAGCAATGTTGGCTAACCATAATTCGCCAAAAAGATAAAAACTTATCTATTTTAAGTAATGGTCAAGGTTTAATAGCTTCTATCAATCAGACTTTTTTATTTAATCTCTTTTTTTTCTATTTTTTTTATGATACGATTATCAAAATTAACAGAAGTGAGAGGCATCACCTATAATTCTTGGGAAAAGGTCACAGTTACAACATTTCTACATGACTTGTTAGAATTTTAAATGGAATTTACAGAAGAATTTCTATCCATAATTCTAACTGAATCATTAATTAGGTACCAACTGGCCTATCAAAATGTTTTTCTGAATTTATTATTAAATCGATTTTTTATTTATCATTTGCCAAAAGCTGTTCTATTTGTAATACCTTTGGCAACATTGGTTAGTTGCAATCCTCATCATTAATAAACTACTATGGTCTTACAGGTGAAATATGGTCCAAAATGACCAAGTAGTTTCAAAGAGGAAGATTTTTCTAAGATATACTTTGAAAAGTATTTATCATGTTTATAGGAGGCTTCCTCTAACATGAACTGGTGTCAAGAATCCAATCGTTGTTACCATCAAATTATGTGAAATGTGATATAAGCTAACACAGCCTTGTCATGTTTGTGTGTAAAATGAATTAATCAAATTACCATAATCTGGTCATCTTCTATAAGGGAATGACATACAAATGGTCTCTCCGCAAATCTATTTCTGAAGTCCAAAGCCTGTAACACTTTCTGTCTATAATCACTTGTTACAAACTCACATCTCTGACCAATAGTCTTCATACCTTTAAAGTATATTAAATAAAAAAGAAATTTATAGGAAAGATTTGCATGGGATTATGAAATAAACAAACTGCCCACATTCTATCATATAAAGAATACCTTATTTTGGGAAACCAGTCTTTTAATCCTATTCATTTCAGATACCAAAAGAGCTAGGTTAAATTTCATTATCACCAGCTGGGGGAAAAATCTAAATAATTCTAAAGGTTAACTAAGTTAATAACTCTAACAGTATAAATGTTTGTCAAAATGGAACTTGACCTGTATTTCATAATCCATGATATTGAGTTCACAGTTCAAAAGATTTGGTGGAGTGATACTTTAAATATCTTCCTGAATTTGTTTTTTAACAGGAAGATATTTAAAGTAAGATATATAAGGGACATAACTCTTGATTGGTAAATGTCAATATTCATCAAAATTGAAATTGACCTGTAGTTAATGATCCATGACATTGACTTCAATAGATTAAGTCCTGTGGTACTTTAATTGAAAATTGAAAAAAAAAGTTTGGCAACTTAGGGGCATAGCTTTTTTAATTGGCAAATGTCAAAACCATTGTATTCATACTTGACCTGTATCTATGACATTTTGTTCAAATTTCAAAAGATTTGGTCAGGTGGTACTTTAATATCATCAAGAAACTGAAGAAAACCCAAACTTTAAGGCAACTTAGGGCATTTATAACTATTGAACAGTATAAAAAGTCAAAACCATTAAAATCTAAAATATTTTATGGTCAATGACAATGTATTTAAGTTGCAAAATTTTTTTGCGAAGATGTATAATCAATTTTATCCAGAACTGAAGAAAACCCATTTTTTCAGGAAAGTAAGGGCCATAACGCTTGAACAATACATGTCAAAACCATCAATATCGAACTTGACTTGTAATGTTAGGTTCAATTAAAAAAATTTGGTGAAATTGGTATTTTCATTCCAAAACTTCGTTCATTTCTGTATATCATATTTGTTTTTCGTTTATTGTATTGTGCATAAATCAGGATGTTAGTTTTCTAGTTTGAATTGGTTTAATATATTTTTCATTTCAGGGCCTTTTATAGCTTGTTATGCGGTATAAGTTTTTCTCATTGTTGAAGGCCATACAGTGACCTACAGTTGCTAACGTCATTTGGTTTCTGGTGGAGAGTTGTCTCATTGGCAATCATCTTCAAATTCTTATTTCTATATTGTTATGGATGGACAGATGAACAAATGGATGTGTGCATCACTGTATACACCCTCTTTGAGGCGGCGTATAAATATGATAAATATCATCCAGTTGATTTAATATAGACGTCATAAAACATACAGCATTTAATATAAGTACATGTACCATCAGGATGTAGGACCATAAGTGTTCATAACTGTATAGCAATACATATTGTTAGGGTTTTATAACAAAATCAATATTAGTACTGATAAAAATAATATTCAAAGATCTTATTACAGTGTTAAATTGATAACCTTACAGAATAAGATTATTCAAAGAACAATATCAAGTTTATATTAATTGTAACTTTATTTACAGGATCTATAAACATCAACACCATACATGCCATAGTCCAGTGCATATTATCTATTCAAGGTGATAATAACCTGATGCCAATTGATCCTCTTTTGGTGGTGTCATACATTCTTTAGATGTATTAATCATGGCCTACACTATATTTATCAAAGAAACCTTTTTGGACAATTGCAAGAGCAAAGCAGGGTACTTTTACATCTAACATGATGCATACCATGTGCAGGATGGATCAGCTGTCCTGGACTTTCATGATGGACAAATGTTGAGCCACAAGGGGAAAGCTGTAAACATGACTGGTCAGAATATCTCACTTCAACAGCATCATCTGTAAACAGTGTCATTAACACAGGAGCTGCCATCCTTTAATCATTTATATTGGACAGACCTTTACTGAAAATGAACAAAATATAGTACAAGAACATATATACATGTAAAAGCAGACTAAAATCTCACAGCCAGCTGGCTTACTCATTTCATTGACAGATATAACATGTATAAAGCAGTCCAACTCATAAAATAGAATCAACATTCATATTACCTTATGTTTTATAAGCCTCTATTAGTGATGTTCCTGTTACCATGGTTATCGAATATAACCAAAAAACGACCAATTATTGTATTTTCGAATAAACCATAATCAATAATCGATAAAAGTCACAGGCGCTTGGGTATATGATACAGATATTTTTTTGGGATTTTTTTTTGTTGTTGATTAAAATATTTAATTTTCTATATTTATACTACATATCTATCACTACTGCGCATGTCTCACCTAGTTTCGAGTGATTTTACCAACTCTTGAGACAACCCCCATTAATTTCTTAGTGTGGATAGTAAAAATGGGGGTTGTCTCAAGAAAATTGAATATTTAAAAAAAAATATCTGTATCATATACTGATATACCCAAGCGCCTGTGATAAAAGTTAAAAAAAAAAATCTACACGAGTTATTTTTTTATGGAAACATTTTGAGACCTTTTGAAAATGTAAAGACTGCCTCTAAACACCCATAACATATCTATTTTGTACATACACATTAATGAGACTTGTATAGGGTATATTGGGATACGGGATGTTTGCCATTTTAATTTTAGGGAGATGGGATATTTGTCCTAAAATTAAATGGGATATGGGATATTGAATTTTGAACATGAAAAATAATGTGGAATTTAAAAGTTAAGTCCAGAAATATTTACATCTCACTTGATAAAATTGCCAAAACTAATTTACTAGAAAAGGTCATTTTAGTGCTTTGTTGATTTTCATTACATCATAATTCCAGACAAATGAAAGCAACGGCAGGAAGAGTTATTGGTGTGCAACTTCTTGTTTATAGCATATTTGTGCATAACCACTTTATATACACACTGTATCAACAGACATTAAAAAGGGGGATTTTTTGCTTACCATGAAATTGATGATACATTTATATACAATGAGATTCATAGAAATGGTACAATTGATTGTTAGAAAGTTCATGGCATTTCTCCAGTTACAACAACAGATGAACATAGAATAACCGCTTTAAGGATATATTTCTTAGATATTGATAACAAAACAGTAAAGGAAATAAATGTAGAGACCAAAGTTGTCAAACGATTGGCAGATACAGGTAGAGCTGGAAGTGAAGATGGATGTCAAACGACTGCTCAATTTCAGCAACCTACTTCTATGTGTTCAGAGATGAATCCTGTTTGTATGTGATACTGCTGTTGGTCAAGTGAAAACGATAACCCCTAGCAGTAGTTTACTCATATATTTAGAAATTTTACACAAACTCTTGTCAACATTTTGGTTTACTAAAGACAAACAGAACTTCTCAATAGATGATGCTATTTCAAGACTAGCTGACATTGATGACTTTCTTTGTCTTTGTGACATTGAGATTAAAACAATGACATCAGAAAACCATGCTCTTCAAAGTCCAGATGGTGCAAATTCAATGCAGACGAAACATGACATTTCACAGTTAATCACTGCGTTGAAAAAAAGTCTTAGGGATGTTGTGAATGAAACACAACCTTTATTCAAGGCAAAATTCTCGACGAAAAGTACATCCACAACCATTGTTGAAAATCTTTTCTATGAGATGAGAGCAATTGATGACACACCAGTAATGATACAATTCGCTCGCAAATTTTCAAATTGTGTACAAGAACTATTTAAAAAAAATTACACAGATGTGTTTCTTGTATTATACTAGTGAGTATTCACATTATGAAAATTTTTCAAGTTATTGCTTGAATTATCATTCTCTTGAGGAAATGTCTCATCCCAAAGAAGTAAAACTTTCAGACACAAAAATAAATGCAATGAGAGATAGAAAGTAGAAAATGGACAGTGTGTTCGCCAGTTAACGATAAGAAACATGAGCACCAAAGACCACGCAGGAACTTTTCTTTTGCATTGTTATATAAGGAACTACCTCCAGATGTTCATGAGCTAGATGTACATATACCAGAAACTGTAGGTTCTACAGTTGAAATCCAGGAAATCAGAAATGTAATCTACAGCAAGGGATCAACAGTAGGTGTTTTTAAACGTGATATCAAAGGTCTACCATCTAGTCCTTTTTACATTGTCATCACATCAGATTGCTATAAAATGCCTGATGCCAAATTTTTGGGAAAGTGGTTTGCTCAGGACAAAATTCCCCCTCTTGATTTCGTTGAGTGTACTATGCAGAAACATCAGAAACATTTATAGTAGAGAGTGTTATTGAAATTTACTATTAGATGACTTTCAAGCTGAAGACGATGGGATAGTAATTTATGCGACTGTCATACAAGTGAGAGGTTTAGCTAGCTATAAAACCAGGTTTAATCCACCATTTTCTACATAAGAAAATGACTGTATCAAGTCAGGAATATGACAGTTGTTATCCATTCGTTTGATGTGTTTGAGCTTTTGATTTTGCCATTTGATTAGGGACTTTCCATTTTGAATTTTCCTCTGAGTTCAGTATTTTTGTGATTTTACTTTTTATGAAGATTCCTTTATGCTTGCATGACAAAAGTGTGTATAGCTTTGAATATAGTTTACTCTGGCACAAATATCGATTTTGTCATCAGCAAATTAAAACATAACTAAATTTGTATTCTTTTCAAACGGTGTTTGGGATGTATAAATACACATCCACTTTCATTTTCTATATAGAGATTACTCTATCTATATATAAAATTATACATATTTATTAAAAGGTTAACTCCTAACTATCCTACTGCCTGTCGATACTTCTACTTTGGCAGTGCACAAGCCATGTCTTCTTTGACTGTCCATGATAGTAAAACACTAAATCCTTGGGATGTGTTTTTAAATTAGTTGATTTTAGTCTGTTTTTGGCTTTTAACTAGCTTTCTGTAACTGCCAGTACGCTCAAATCGTACTTTAGTGTTAATTTAACCTGTTGATACAAGTTGTATATACGTGTTCAGTGTGACGATAAATTTTCACTTTTGTTCTCGTACTATGAATAACAAAATTATCTATTTTGTATTAAAAAATATTTCCGTACTCCATGTATACCTTACAACAAAATTATTTTAATCTACTTGTGTACGTTATTTTATTTTGCGGCATTTTATCCAAGGTTATGGTTGTCTTTCTGTTATTGGTTTACATCTAACCCCCTTGTTTTTATTAATTTTGTATTTACATTGTGTCGTAGATCATGTAGATCAAATTTATTCGTTCAATGTATATAGATATAAGATGTGGTATGAGTGCCAATGAGACAACTCTCCATCCAAGTCAAAATTTATAAAAGTAAACCACTATGTTCACTTGTTTTAATATATCTTTTGATTGAGTTAAGCCATTTCAATTGATATTTCATGGTGTGTCTTTCTATGTTGTGATGTTACACTATTGTTTCAGGGTAGGGTGAAGGTTGGCGCCTATTAAAACGTTTCAACCCGCTGCATTTGTTTGCACCTGCCCTAAGTCAGGAACCTGATGTTCAGTGGTTGTCGTTTGTTGATGTGGTTCAAAAGTGTTTCTTGTTTTTTATATAAATTAGACAGTTGGTTTTCCTGTTTGAACTGTTTCACACTATTCATTTTTGGGGCCCTGTATAGCTTGCTGTTGGTGTGAGCCAAGGCTCTATGTTGAAGGCCGTACTTTGACCTATAATGGTTTACTTTTACAAATTGTGACTTGGATGGAGAGTTGTCTCATCAGAACTCATACCACATCTTCTTATATCTATATAAGATCAGATATGAATTATGTCACATTACAAGAAGAGGTGGAGATGGATTTAGAGGAGGCATCTGAAACCAATGTTGACCCTTTACACACGAGAGGAAAGAGGAAGCGAAAATCTCTATCTGACACTGCCTTCATATTTTACTGATTTAGTGATAATTACTTTTAAATAACATGCCTATATCAACATACACCTTATCGCTATTCCCGGCTGACCCGAGAATCTGTCCCGCTTGAACTTTTGACGTCATACAAAAATCACTTTTCCATTGTGGCGACAGATATTTTGTATTGTGACGTCAAAAATTTACGGGAACCTGTGTGATGTCCAGTAATGGTGGACAAATAGCGATAAGGTGTATTAACTTTTTATGTATCCACTGACGTTACAAACGTTACAAACGCTTAATTATATATTGGCTATTCCAAAGACATGTAGATTCAAATTTAAAGGCCTCTGGTTAATTCTGAATGATTAACTTTTCTCTGTGAAAAAGCTAATATCCTTACTACAACATGTATTTACGAATGTTGTATACAAAAATTGGTTTGGGAATGAATTAATGATTTTTTGGGATATTTGTAATATAATATAATAGTTTTAGGGATACGGGATATTTGTAAAAAAAAAAATACTTATTGGGATATTATGGGTAAATATTATAGGGATATGGGATATTGGGACAAAAACTTAAAGGGATATGGGATATTGATACCCCCCTTAAACAAGCCTCATTAATTATTTTAAATTGAAAAGGGGATAATTTTTCAACAATTTTCCAGATCGAGCTAAATTCATTGCCAAAACTGCAGATTTACAAAATCTTCAAGAAGCTCTTCGTGTTTATACGTATTTTGATTACAGTAACAAAAAACAACTGATAAACTTACACTCTGTTACACTGTAGATCCAGAATCAAGTTATCTGTTATGTTTACTAAAGTTTATGTTTTCCGCCATCTTCAAAACGAAACAAGCAATAACTTGTGCATTGAATTTGGCCAATCATTACAGATATTTTTCAGTTCGGGTTTCTCCGGTAAATATATTACTCGGACCAAAAATGAAAATGAAACTAGAAAACAAGTAACATAATGTCACATGAAACTAGAAAACAAGTAACATAATGTCACATTTAGAACAAAACAACATTTTATATAATCTACAACATGGCTTCAGAAAAAACCGATCTTGTGAATCAAAATTAATTGACTTCATTCAAGAACTGTCATCTAGTAATGGTGGTGGTGGGGGGGGGGGGGGGGGGGGGGGGGGGTCAGTAATAATAGTAACATTCAAATTGACCTTATCATTATGGACTTTGCTAAAGCGTTTGATAAAGTTCCTCACCAACGATTACTTTACAAACTTCAATACTATGGTATAAGGAAAAATACACTTAAATGGATCCAAGCTTTTTTATCCGATAGAACACAAACAGTTGTAATAAATGGTATTTCTTCTACATCAGTGCCAGTTACATCTGGAGTCCCACAGGGTACTGTACTGGGCCCCATATTATTTCTCATTTACATTAATGACTTCTCTGAATATTTAACACATAGCAAATTAAGACTCTTTACTGATGACAGCATCATATATAGAGAAATCAAATCTCAATCAGACTGTGATAAATTACAAGAAGATCTTAACGCTGCAGCAAAGTGGGAAGCAGATTGGCTTATGGCTTTCCACCCTGATAAATGTACTAAACTTTCAATTTCACATAAAAAGAAACCATATTTACATGATTACATCCTTCATAGTCACATTCTTGAATCTGTTACATCTGCTAAATATCTGGGCGTTACTCTACAATCAAATCTTAAATGGAACCTACATTATGACAACATTATCTCAAACTGCAATAAATCTTTTGCATTCCTTAAAAGAAATTTAAAAATATCAAACACAGACATTAAATCAAGGGCATATCAAGCAATAGTCAGACCTAAATTAGAATACAGCTGCAGTTTATGGGACCCTCACACAAAAGATGCTACCCAAAACATAGAACTGGTTCAAAGAAGAGCAACTAGGTACATTTGTAACAACTACCATAACACCAGTAGCGTTACAAATATGATGAATAATTTAAAACTACCAACATTAGCTGAACGCCGCCTTAAAACACGTCTTATTATATTTTACAAAGTAATTCACGGCCTCATTGCCATACCATCTGAAATTTTAATACCAACAGACAGTAGAACAAGACAAAACCATCCAAATACTTATAGACATATACGAACCACAAAGGAAACATATAAGTGGTCATTTTTCCCACACACCATCATACAATGGAACATGCTACCTATAGCCACAGTACAGTCAACCACAGTTGACAGTTTCAGAGCACACCTTACACAAGGTGTTCTCTGCCAACTGATTTAAATTTTTGTATATAATTTTTATTTTAATCACTAGTTTTTGTAATATACATGCACAAATTGTCAAATTTGTATATATTTTTTTTGTTCTTTGGCATCTTCAAGAAAATTAAATTTTAACACGCATGCGCAACAACAAGTAATCTTCAGTATCCTGAAGTTTTGTTGTATAACTGAAGAAGAAGAAGAAGAACTATTTTGATCTCTGAATACGGTAAACCACAAAGATATTAAAAAAAAAGAAGTTGCACGGTACTTTGTAAGTTGTGTAGAACAATAAAGGGAAATAATGTGCAAATCTAAAACTCGTCTTATCCACATGCGCTTGGGGAATGGAACCTCCTTTTTCCAGGGGCGGATCTAGGATTTTGGAACTTGAGGGGGGGGTAGTATTAAAGGTCGGCGAGCGGAGCGAGGCGAAAAATTTTTTGGACCTTTTTTTGGTCGTAAAAAACATAAAATAAGTGTAAAATGCATTTTATAGTTAAAGTGTAGGGGTTGGACATTTTTGGTGCCGTATTCTCTTCATTAATTGTCTATTATAAAATGATTGGATGGATCCAAAGCTATGTACTAATTAATATATTTGATGTGGGATTTGTCAGTAAAGAATGGACATGGAAAATTCTCGTTTCTCGTTTGTTGTATGGTTAGTTAGCATAACCTCACAGATTTCTTGTTGTAAACAAGATATACGGCTATTCAATGAAATTTACAATACGACCAACACAAAGAAAGACAAACAAGCAATTTTTATCCAAATGTTTGGTTGAAATGTTTCAATCAACAAGGGAAGTGAGGGTTCCAAATCAACCAAAGGCTACGAATGAGTCGGAAATGACATTGAAGTTGTGAATGACGGTCGACACATGGAGACATATAGGCCACAGTGACACCCAGAGGGCAGGTTGCAGTCGGGCCTTGAAAAAAGTATTCAGTCATGATATCAGTTCGGCAAAACAGACATTCCGGTCAGATATGGGATTCACATGCAACCCCCCCAAAAAAAATTACGCCCGTTTTTTATTCATCATGTTCATTTAATGCTAAATAATTTTGTTGAAAATATTTTTTTCTTATAGCAAAAAAGTCGACAAGATTATTGTTTTCAATCCAGATACGACCAGCATTTTTGTTTAAGGCAAAAATTAGGGTCAGAATTTTTTCTCTAAAATATCTCAGACTGCCCCCTCAAATCAAATGGTCATTACCTTAGACTTTAAATCTATATCTAGAGCTTACTGACTGGGGATCACTATTCAGCAATGTTATTAATGGGCTGGGGCGTGTGGGGTTAAACATGTTTTCGTAGGTAAATAATATTGCTGTGGAACTTTTTTTTTCATGAGAGTGTAATAGAGTATTACTTTCTGTTGGGTGGAATTGTGAAATAGAAGTCAATACGTTCTTGCTCAATACTTTGTCGCTTTGAAGGCGTCATGCTTGTCCATCCTCAGCCTAAGCAATGTGTTACTGTAATTTGAATTTCAAAATGACTGAGTGACGTTTTTTACGACGTACTGGTCAACTCAACCGTAGCGAATCACATGACTTTGACATAATCAATAATATATTACAGTAATTAAATACGAGCGAAAAATATCTTTATAAGTAAAGAATTGTCGCATAAAAATTAAATACACGGGAAATGGCAAAGTTCGCGAAGTCTAGTCTGATTAATCATTTTACAAAAAAAAAAAATTGCAAGCAAAGGGGGGGGGGGGGGGGGCGTACGCCCTCTATGCCCCCCTCTGGATCCGCCACTGTTTTTCTGTTAATATTTTGTTTTTGTGTTTTCTCTTTTTTGGGGTAAATATTCCACAGTATTTTAACTTTTTTAACTGATGTGTTCTTGCTCTTATCCATTTTCACCGAGGATGAACTCCGGAAGGGTAAGCAGTTCCTTTTCATACCAAGAAAACATCTGATGATAATATAATATGATCGCATTTGGTCACAATCATGGAAAAGGGGAGAATATATTTGCGGCTACAACAGGCAGTCACAATATACCAATGGCCATCTCAGATATTCTTTAACAGTCAACACATTATTAAACGTTCGAAGCTATATATGACTTTGCCTCAAGCTCAATCGCTGCCTTGTTACTCGACAGCAACACTCTGTCAAAGAATGGTTTGGTAGACACAGTTGTATACGCACTTGAATATCATAATAACAGGAACTTCGATATCAATATGCAGGCGTAGTTGGAAGGTTGCACGGAAGAAATGGGAAACACTGGGATAAACAACTGCTTCTGTTATTAGTTTTTAGCTTTGCTAATTTATGTTTTAATTCCGATATTATTGCTTTCAGTCTTTATTTCAAGTTCAATGGATAGACGATATTTTCAGTCACCAAAATTTGGATTCTTCAGTAAGAGAACATCTGCAATGGCTTCTACTATAAGGAGTCGACTGACATTTTCATCTGTTTGACCTATTTCTATATCTTGTCTTGCTAATCATTTTTGCTTTTTACAGTTTCTTCTATTTCCTTTGTTTTTTTTTTGTTTTATCAAAACGCAAAACATTACTCCTGTAATGAGTCACCGACAATTTCGGTTTCTCTGACTTATTTATAGACATCGTCTTGCTGATTATTTTTGCTGTTAAAGTTTCTCTCTATCTATATTATTATACTTCTCAAGATTATATGCAAACACTAAAATAAGTAACTTGAATCTTCATTTAGGGACAGAAACAGCTATAAGAAGTAAACTGGAGGTTTTGGCCATCTTTGAAGAATTTGTAGATCTTGGCGTCATTTAAAGTATTATTGTTTCAAACAAACAGGCAAAGACAAATAAAAATCGGTCGAAATCGTCATTTAAGTGCAATAAACCGAGTAAGGAGTCGTCTGACAAGTTTAGTCAATACATACAATATGTGTGTTACAGATGATCATGGATATTATTATGTTCTAATTGTAGTAGCCAAATTACGATCTCTTTTCCTCGACTTTGACATCACCGAATGCGACTTCGATGTGCCACTAATGAAGCGGAATCGGGTTACCCTTTCTGAGCAACTGAGATCAACCCCGGTTTTAGTTGGTTTTTGCTGCTCAGTCTATTTTTCTAGTAGTGTTTTGTGTTTCGTGGACTAACGTTAATCTCTTCGTCGTTTACATTTTGGAAATGGTGTTTTCTGGGTTATTTTCTTCCGAATTGTGGTTTTTAATTATTCCTTTTGTATCGTTTGTATCTTTTTCACGAGAAGCATTATTTATAGATAACATGATGATAACAACAGTAATTGTTTCAAAAGTATAAATAAGAAAATAATAATGATATTTATTGCATAGCAATATAATATTTCCCACAGAAAGTCACCAAAAGTTAGCGTGCAATAAATTCTAATATTGCACTAGTGCAATAAATCTTCAAAATTTATGACGTCATCAACGACAAAATCTTAGTTCAAACCAATTTTTACTTTCAAATATTATATTGCTATACAATAAAAGGGTTATTGCATGAATATTTGGGAATATTGTCCCTCGTAGAACATATATTGCACTCGCAAGCTCGTGCAATATAAAATTCTACTCGGGACAATATTCCCCAATATTCATGCAATAACCCTATAATATCACTCTACTCGGACACATTATTCTGACTCTGATCCGAACCGATCAGTCTTTGCTGCTATTACTTCTTATTGCTGCGTCCTTGGCGGAGAAGCAGCACATCCTTGTTGTTTCTGTGATTGGTTTAAAGAGTATCTATAAGTACCTTAAACTCCGCACTCGATCCGAGCACATTATCATTAGATGCATAGTTATCTGGAACATAAATGACTGCCGTATATGTCGCAAAAAAGGGGGTTGCAGGTGCGCTTTTTTTCAAACAATTACTCTCATTCGATATTGTCTGTACAATTAAAGCCAGTCGCCAATCTCTCCCTTACGTTGTCAGTATATTTAGAAAGACATTGATTTTTCTAATATCAAACGCTCGACTATATCAACAAATTGGACGACTGGAAAACAACTGTCATATTTCCTGACTTGACAATCTAATCTAAATATAAATCTCTGATTTCGTGTACCTTATATTTATATATATATATACGAGCACGTGAGTTGTGATAGATCTGAATTTTAATCAGATTGCTGACTTGGTACAGTTATTTTCCGAAGAAAATTAATCATGAAAACAAACGGCTTATGAAAATCAAAGCAATTTGATTATTAACAATGAATGTATAATTGAAAACACAACCAATATGATACTATATTAAGCTGAATATTTCAAGCATTTTAAGGGGTATACACATTAATCAAATAACAAATTATATCTGCAAAGAAAACGGTTTTTGATAAAAAAAAAATCTATAACTTGGTCTTCCAACTTACGACTCATTCCTCGAGAGTTTTAGCAAGGATTCTTATGCATATTTATTTGCATAAATAAGCACCCTGCATGTACAGCTAAACGGTGGCCCACTCAGCAAAAGTCTTAATGTTGGAAAGGAGGAGTCTAATTGCGTGACCATATTTCTATATCAACGTCAGCGGCATTACTGCAAATATGTGCAAATTACATATTAACCTCGAACTGTGACTTCGGTAAGTTCATTTGGTAAATCCCCATCCTATATTAGATTATATAAGATTATTTCTGATCTACTACTTAGCCGGCGCTAGCTCATGTCATGGCAGTGAATGTCTTCGTCATTAAACCTCTTGAACATTGCCTTTAAATAAGTTCAAGATAATATATTATAATTTAAACTTTGTATGGTATCCATGATCAATGGGGCATGGAAATTTAACGATATCTCAGAACACCTCGTCAATACACTAAACAACACACTAGTTTTATGTACTCCGTACCTGGTTCATTCGCTGTATAATGAAATAAATAATAGGATGAATCATAATGTAATTACGTACAAATTGTTGTGAAATTATCGCCACATTTTTCAAAACACAGATATGAATAACACATTGTTTTGGGTGTAAATGGAAATACTCCTTCACCAGGTAGGATATTAGGTAAGTTAATAGTGTGCTCTTAAGGAAATTTATATTGTGTAAGAATGTTTATTTGTAGGTGACTTCAACGTTTTACACAGGACAATTTTTCAATTATTTACCTGCAGTGTTATACTTGGTTTATGTAAAACATGTTAGAACTAAAACAGTGTAATACGATATAATACGAAAAAAATCACATAAAATAAATGATGGTTATTTCACTTCCTATATAAATGTTGATGTTTGTATCGCTTCTATGGAATGTTCATATCAATTCTCACAAGTTAGAGCATATATACATATATATATGTGTTAAAATCATTTGTCATTTGATTTGACATATAGTTATTCTTTATTCCAAAAGCAATACCTGGGTAAAAGAAAAAAAAATATTATAGTAAGCATTACATATCACAATTTAGTAATTTATTAATATAAATTAACACTTAGAGCATTCATATTAATGGAGAGTTGAACGATTCAAGTATAAAATTAACCAATATTATAAAACGTGTTAAAAAATTATTGAACATGACTATTGGAACTTAAAGAAAGTGTTCCTGCATGTCAACATTACGCTTCGTATGTATTTATTATTAAGGTTTGGATTTACATCATGTGGATCTGGAGAACCCGAGGAAGTATTTATAAAACCAACACTTAATGCACACATACATATATTTGATTTCATTAACACTTAACACGTAGGCATACTTTAAAAAAAACTGTCCTTCAGAGCTTCTGTTAACATATCAGCAGTCTTTATTCATCTTGTAATAACATAGTTCTGAACATGCATGAAATATTTGCCACTTGACGTTAAGCAACCAACAATCAAATCAATAAATCGTCCTGTAACCAGTTGTAATTCAACTTCATTTTAATCCCTTACGCATCTGTACGTGATTATCTTATATACTTAAAAAGGTAGGATTGAAAATTGAAGACGATTATTTTCATGAACTTTAATTAGGGTGAAATGCATTGTTCGATAAATGACTATGAGGTATTACCTGGATAAATTGCTTTCCGTACATCACGTTTAATAAGATTACTTGCGATTACTGAAAATCTAGTAAAACTACATACTTTTCCAAAGTCGCTCCGATTTCAATTTCAAGTTACTGGACGAAATTATGTCAATTTGCTGTGAGAAGAAAGGACATGTGTATCATATTGTTATTTTGATCTGAAATAAAATACCACACTCCCAATTATATCTATACACCTCGTCTGATAAAGTTCAACAGTACCAATCCGATCTAAAAATATACAGTATTTTAAAATATAATTCGAAGTTCATTCGACGACGTTCTTATTTAATTTTGTGGGGTAATTCTACAGAACACATGCTTATTCTCGGTAGAAGATCCAACACACAATTAATTTAATGTATAACAATCAAAGTACATTGTATAATAAAATGGAATAGTTATGCAATATTTCTGTTACCCTTCAGCTAAAACCTTAAGAGCGTTTCAACATTTCTTTTTGAGCACTATAAATCTGGGCTTAATACATTATCTATTCATGCTACTACTCCAAGTATAAATGAATCATAGATTTCACTTAATCGTTGAGATGAGACAACCCAAGAACGTGACAGGAAGTTGAATTTTATAACTCATTTGATTGAGATTACCTTATAATGCTTGTTGACAATTGTAAGATCTGATGGAGGCTCTCTCAAGGGGCTATCGTGAATTTTCTGTAATTAGGATTTGTTGGATATATGAAAATTGTGTTATAGCATATAGAGAATATGTCTTTTCGTCCTTTTTTATGATATGAAATCTAGTTTTAAAGAGTCAACAAAGAAACGCCATATTTTGAATTTTCCCTGCTTTTTCATTTTCCAATGAGAGTCAACATATCCTGACCATTTTTTCTATTTGTTCTACCACTGATAAAATAAAATAAAATCAAATATTTTTTTATTTAAAATCCAAATATTGGATTGTTACTAAACATGCATGACATATACATGCCAAATATGAAAACGTACAAAATTCGAAGTTAAAAAACATTCATAGTATAATAGAAGAAGAAGAAGAAGTTTTATTTCCATTAAATGGGCTCACAAAGGGCATATTACAATATAAGACATTTTAGATAACCAAAAAAAAAAACAACAAAAAAAACAATAATCAAGTATACATACAAAAAAGAAAAAAAACAGTTTGAATATGAATGAAACATAGTAGATAAGTATATCATATATTTAGTTGTTTTTGAGGAGTTGATACTTTTGCAAATGAAAATTCGTAATGAGATTGTTATAAAATATATATGTAATAGAAAGAATCACAAATTTGTATAACATAATTCTAGTTTTTCTTGTCAGTTAGGTTATTGTTCTTGGTAAAATGTACAGATAAATCGATTAGGGACTTATCATTTTTTATCTGGGATGGGGGCTGGTCAAAATGCAGGGGGGATCAAGTTTTTTGCTGTATGTGGATAAGGGGGCTCAATTTTTTTTTATAAATTCAAAGTGGGGGGATCAATATTTTTTGCACTTGGAAATAAGTAGTTCACATACTTCAAGAGACAAAATGTCAAGAAGAACATTACAACAGTCAAATCGAAATATATTAACACCATTCATATACAATTAAGTAAGACATCACAAGACTTTGGTGATGTAGGAAGCTGCCATTTTGTGTCATTTTGTCTTATATAAAATGCATAGGTGCTTCATAATCCGAATAATTCAGTTGTTATATTTCACTCACGTCGATCACTAAATTAACAAGCATTATTGCCAATGTATCTTTTTGTTTTCATTACAAGAGCCCTTTGGGTCCATGTATACCTCTCACTCCCTCAAAATTTGTACTTTTTAGGCTAATAAATCAAAAATGTGAGGTTACTATCACACATTTATGAATGAAATGTGACAATAAATGAGTAATTGAATTGCTCAAGCTGAAAGCATGAACTATCCATATAAAAGTTTAGCGACTCAATGGAGGTTTCAATAAGGCCATACGTAAAAATTAAGTTTAAGCAGCGTTCAAGAGAGGGACATATAAATAATGTGTTGTTACTGTTTCAAAAAGTTTACTTTTTAATGTATATTTTTTACAGAGTTACTCAGAATCAAGTTTTCTTTAATAGCCCAATATAGGAAATCGTAGAAAAAAATAGTCAGAAAAAGCTACTCAAAGCACTGGCTTGCTCTACCTACTAATATTCATGGAAGAGGCCTCATGGAAGAGCCCTATTTCAAGGCAATTTTCCCTCAAATAAGTTTTGGGACTCAATCCAATGCGAATATTTCATTTTCAATATTTCCTTGAAATAACATAATAAGTGATTTGCATGTTAAAATTTTGGCATGTTTAATAGAGGGGGGATCACATTTTTTTAAATGTTTTTACAGGGGGGGGGGATCAAATAAAAATAGTGAAATATTATGGGGGGATCAAGAAATTTTGTATGTATGATTTCAAAATGACCAGCCCCACTCCCAGGTAAAAAATGATAAGTCCCTTACTCCGATAGCAATAACATGCCAAGAAATCCTCGCTAAAAATTCCGGTTTACCTCCTACGGCACTCATTAGTAGCTAAAGATTTGATTTCATTCAACAAATTATTTTATGACCTTCATGTACGTGTCGCTTAGAACACGGCCATATACCAAATGGTCAATATTAATCATCCATGTAATTTGCTCTATGGGGTGTTTGCAGAATTTCAACGGAGGCAATTTCTTGGCATGACTTTAGTTATGTCATGTAAATATAAATGTAAATTTTTCCTCATTAGACATTTTGTTGCAAGATTGGACTATACTTGTACTTCCAGAAAAAGTTGTTAGCTGCGATTTTCTAAATTACATTCAATCCCCTTTTTACAGTGGGGACTTTTTTTCAAGTTGTAATTAACGGTGTCTACCCTATTCAGTATTTAACTCACTATTTAATAAAATTGTTCTACAACTATCGATACAAAAATTATAATTTGTGATAATTTTTAGCTCACCTGGCCCCAAGGGCCAAGAGTGCTTTTTTCATCACTTGGCGTCCATCGTCCGTCGTCGTTAACTTTTACAAAAATCTTCTCTTCTGAAACAACTAGGCCAAATTTAACCAAACTTGGCCACAATCATTATTGGGGTATCTAGTTTAAAAAATGTGTCCGATGACCCCGCCTGCCATCCAACATGGCCACCATGGCTAAAATAGAACATAGGGGTAAAATGCAAGTTTTGTCTATAATCTTGAAAACCACTATAAATAGAGAAAACCAGACTGAGCGTAAATGTTCAGAATGTTGAGATCTACCTGCTGTGCATTTACGTGAAATCTGTCAGACGACTTTTTATAGGAGTTTTTAGCCCTTAAAAGACTAATTTTACCTTTTTTTTTTAAATTCTGCCTATTATCTTGAAAACTACATTGAACAAAGAGAAACTTTAAATTGCAAAAATGATGAGCAAGACAAGATCTACAAATAAGTTAACTTGACCGAAATCCTCAGACGACTCCTTATTGGAGTTATTGCCCTTAAAGATGATTTTTACCAATTTTTTTTTGTTTTTTGCCTTATATCTTAAAAATTTAAATAGCTAGATAGAAACTTTAAATAGAAAAAAAAATCAATGGCAAGACCTATACATAAGTCAACAGGTCCGAAATTGCCGGTCGACTCCTTAATGGAGTTATTGCTCTTTGATAACGATGTTTACCAATTTAAATGTGTTTGCCTATTTTCTTGAAAAATATACTAGATAGTTAGACACTTTAAAAAGCAAAAATGATCAGCAAGACAATATCTACAAATAAATAAACATGACTGAAATCGTCGGTCGACTCCTTATTTGGTTAATTGCTCTTGAATAACGATTTTTACCAGTTTTGGTGTTTTTTTGTCTATTATCTTGGAAACTATAATAGATGGTAAGACACTTTAACGGCAAGACAGATATACAAATTAATTTTACCAATAAAAAACAGTAATAGAATCGCATAGAAGTGATTGCTTTAAAATGACTTTTTTTCAAAGTTGTCACCAATAGCGTTGTATAGGAAAAATTAATCATTTGATTTTATAGAATTTTGTAAAATGTTGAAAAAATCTTTAAATTTTATTACTAGACTATGATATTCCAATCTAACCCGGTTGAATCAACTTTCTGATTTTTACTGCGAGATCAAAGGGAAATGTTTACACATACTGACTAACAAACACACGCGCGTGCTCAAATACAAATATAATAATGAGAAGATGTAGTAAGATTGCCAATGAGACAACTGTCCACAAGAGACCAAATGACACAAAAATTAACAACTATAGGTCACCGTACGGCCTTTAACAATGAGTAAAACCCATACCGCATAAAATTTATATTACTTATAGAACAGATTACACACGTTGACTGCTTTTTCTTATAAAATTTTAAAAAAATCAGTCGAAATGTGCTTCTTTTCATTCGTCCTAAGAAGCTCTTGTTTAAAGTCAGCCTCATGTGAATAAAGGAACTAAAGCTAGAATTTTTTTTTTCAAGTGATCTATATATGGTTATCTGATGGAATATAAGATGATTTCATACATTTATATGTTTTTATTATTTTTAGCCAATACTATTGGATAAGATGTTACTGAAACTTATGTCTGATCCATTTGTCATTTTGAACAATTTTATTAGAGACGATAAACCTTTTTGAAAGTCTCATTGCAACATACACTGCCAACTGGTGATTTTAGAATATCACTTGATAATTATTAGTACTGTATCGCAATACACATCATATGATGGCATGAAAAGATATAAGCTAAGAAAAAAATCTAACAGTCTGTTTATTTTGCAGAGAAATGAGACTCTTTCACAGCGGAACAGTTACATTGTTAGTTGTATGCATTAGTAAGTATGATTTTGTACCTCTAAATATTCAAACAGTGATACAATAGGTGCATGACGACAGGACCCTGTGATGAGCCATCCCTTTCAAGATAATAAATCTCGGATTTTCTACTAAATATCAGTTTTTTGTACCATATATATATATTTAGACCCCATATTTCATCAATGGGCGCATTGCATTTGCACCAATTTTTACAAAATGCAATCTTTCATTTGCGCTACAAGGTCATATTTCATTTGCGCCAAAAAATAAAAACAACATTGGCGCCATTTCACAGGTAACATATAACGGAAAAATTTAAATATTCTTTGCACCAGGAATAAGATTTTGTTAGAGTAGTCTCCCTGACATGCGATATTGGTAAATGGTTGTCATTTTTTGGGGATATCGGTTTTACCGCCTGATCAGATTGAAGACTGCTTTGTTGATGACACTATGAATAACATATAACACCTGAATCAAGCTATCCACCATCTTTTGGGGCTGCTGCACCAACTGAGAATTTCAGGAGAACGAACAACGGACAAGAATCGTTCAATTAAGATTTTAACGAGCAGATTTATCAAAACATCCAAACATTTTCATTTATGTGGACGTAGTAAAAAAGATTCAGGAAACAACGTATATAAAAATGAGATCCAAGGACAAACCGTCTGTAGTTAGACGATGGGAGAAAGAAAAAAATGGACTCTATATATCTTTTGGAAAAATAAAGTATACACCATAGAGGTGAAATGTTCCGACATGAGTACATACGGACTGTTGCTTACAAGTTTTGTGCAAGTACAGACTTATAATTTTACTTTTGTTTTATGATCCTGGTGATTTATAATAAAACTCTGTTTTACCATTATTATCAAAAGTCTTTTTTTTAAATATCCGTGTATAGCGTTTTCATTGTGGTTTTAGGATGACGGATTTCGGATGAATATGTTTTATCATTGAGACAAAAACTGTGTTTCAAAGTTATTATTAAAAATTTCTTTTGAATAAATCTATTATTTATACTATTTACCTGTATTATTGGCGCAAATGAAATGCCGATTGGCGCAAAAGCAAAGCACCGCTATCAAAGTGCCATTCGACCTTAGAGCGAGTATGTCTTTTCGTATTTTTGTCATATTGTTGTATATCTATAGTGTTGTATGTCTATATTGTTGTATATCTATATTGTTGTAGGTCTATATTGTTGTATGTCTATATTGTTGTATATCTATATTGTTGTATATCTATATTGTTGTATGTCTATATTGTTGTATATCTATATTGTTGTATGTCTATATTGTTGTATATCTATATTGTTGTATATCTATATTGTTGTATGTCTATATTGTTTTATATCTATATTGTTGTAGGTCTATATTGTTGTATGTCTTTATTGTTGTATATCTATATTGTTGTATATCTATATTGTTGTATGTCTTTATTGTTGTATATCTGTATTGTTGTATGTCTATTGTTGTATGTCTTTCATCTGCTTTGGTTTTTGATTACCTTGTTGCTTTCCTAACGCTTTTTTCGTAGTTACGATATCAAATTAAAAATTAATACAAACTTAATAATATAAGATTAAACTCGTTATACCCTGGTAAATATATATGTTCTGTACTGTTTTAAGAACTAATGTTATTATTAATAATTAATTTAGCTTCTTTCTATTATTTTAAGTTGTTCCTGTAACAGTTCATGGTGATGTGTCTTCTGCTTGGGGAGACTGGAATACTTGGTCGGCATGTTCTGTGACTTGCGGCTATGGTTCCATAACAAAAACACGATACTGGTTTGACGAAGATGGTGTGAAGACGAACGAAACATTAGTCCAACATTCAAGCTGCTATCTTGATATAAAGTGTCCAGGTATACGTTTGTAGTTTTGCTACAAACTGTCCATTTACTCATCATTAAACATTTCTCCCCAATACTCAAAGGAGCAATTCTTTTGCTTGCAGATCACTTAGAAATAAAAAAAAAGATATTAGCAAAAGGTATTCCCGTTATTATCAAATGAGGGATTGGGTATACGTTTACGTGGTGGTAACGGCTGTTGCTTCTGTTACAAATGCATAGATGATATGATATTAACTTCTGTTTCTAATCTCTGGGTACATGGCAAATATAGCATTTTAGTGAGCTTCCAATATATATTTTTTTTTTTTGCTGCACCTGTTTTTAATTCTATTTTGATGTTGGAATATTCGTATTAAGCTCCATAGTATAGCCAAACATACATTCTTTTTCTTTAAAGAATACAGACAGAAGTTAAAACACAAATACAGTGAAATGAATAGAGACATATACAAATATTAGGCTTACTTAATTGGTAAATAACAGTCTAGAACCCCTTTTGAAGAAGTGCAATTGTACTAAAAGAGGGACGAAAGATACCAGAGGGACAGTCAAACTCACAGATCGAAAACAAACTGACAACGCCATGGCCAAAAATAAAAAAGACAAACAGACAAATAATAGTACAGATGACACAACATAGACAACTAAAGATATTCCGAAGTAAAGCTTGGAAATAGAGACGACTTCTTGTTATGTATGCGTAAAACGCTTACACAAGATGGCCGCGCCTCCTCCATTGATAACTTGAGATTCCGTGCTTACCTTAAAACATCACAACAAATGACGTCACGGATGTCGTTCCTTCATGAGTATTGAAAATCACCTAATACGCTTCATATACTTGGCAAATAAAAATTATGCAAAAAAAAACATAAAAGATGCCGACTTGACCTTCTTTTTTTTAGAATATTCATTTATGTAATAGTAAGATTTTTCTATTTGTTTGTTACCTTTTTAGTTGATGGAAACTGGACTATGTGGTCGCCAAATTCTGCATGTTCTAAGCAATGTGGACAAGGAATTAGGACTAGAACAAGATACTGTACCAATCCCAGACCACTTAATGGGGGCAATGATTGTATTGGCAGTGGTACAGATCAGACAAACTGCAAACTTGCTGACTGTCCACGTAATTATATATTATAATCATAACATCAGCATAGATATGTCCAGTTTTGCATGTTTAATAAAACCGAAGACGAATGGCATTTTTCAAAACATCAGGGTAAAATATATTGTGCAAGTATCGTTACAAATGCGTAAAACTTAATGACCAATTTGTTTTATAGCTGTTTAGTACTATACATGATGACGTGTAGATATTCTGGAAGTTATACTTTCTCAAGCGTAAAACCGTGCGAAATGATAGACTTGTGTTGTGATATATAAGTACATTGCATTTGTTTAGATGAAACTTCATGCAACAAGAATAATTTTAAAAGTACAGTATATTTTACTTTCATTGTAGCTATACCACAAAATTTTGATATTGAAACCTGCAAGAAACCAGGGAAACTTTGGTGTACAAGTAAACGAATGTGTGTAGAAGTGTCTCAGCGGTGTGATCGAAAAGTTCAATGTCATGATGGAAGTGATGAACATCTGTGTTACAAATACGGAAATAGTGCTAGAGGTATGTATTACAGATACATAAATAGTGCTAAAGGTATATGTTACAGATACACAAATAGCGCTTAAGGTATGTGTTACAGATACATAAATATAGCTAAAGGTATGTGTTACAGATACACAAACAGGACTAAAGGTATGTGTTACAAATACGCAAATAGTGCTGAAGGTATGTGTTACAGATACGCAAATAGTGCTGAAGGTATGTGTTACAGATACGCAAATAGTGCTGAAGATATGTGTTACAGATACAGAAATATTGCTGAAAGTATATTACAGATACACAAATATTGCTAAAAAATGTTATTTAGATACACAAATAGGGCTAAAGGTATGTGTTACAGATACACAAATAGTACTTGAGGTATGTGTTTGATAAATGCCGCAGATGTATACTAGAGTCACAGACATGTGTTAAAGATATACATTTAGTACTTTAAATCTTATTGGTTTACGAGAAAATGTAACAGATATGATCAGATATGCAAAGACTACTATAATAAGTAAATGTTACAAATAAGTTTAGCATACATATATAAAGTCCTGTAGGTATGACTTGTACATGTTAAAGAAACAAATTATGATATATTAAAGCGTTACTAATGGAAAAGTAGGATTACAAGAAGCCGACGGTAATATATCTACAATGAGGTATACTAGTAGTAGGACTGATGGGACTGGTTTTATTCAAGTCTAAAAACCGTGGCGCTGTGGCGGAGGGGGGCGATCCTTTGACGTCACCGGAAGTTCATACCAGATATTGCCCGATGACGCAGACGAGAAGTAATGTTATCTACTTATAAGGGGGCCACATCCTGTATGAGACATATACATCATCTACCAAACAGGATTGAATAGCGTCATCCCCTAAATTGACGCCATGTCTAAGTAATAAAAAGTAAAACACATGACTCACATAGTTGGCATTTTCGGTACGTTAATTATACACATGTCTCCTTTTTTGGAAAATTAAAATTCAAAAAATTCAAAAAATTCAAAAATTCAAAAAGTTTAAAAACAAACATGCGCAGCAGCAGCAGCAACAACAACAGCAGCTGTTTAGGTTGCAACTGAACATCTTCACTTTTTCTGCATGTGTAAACAATCTCCTCTTATAGGTTTCTTGCGAAAATGCAGCAAGCCGAACAGGTGATCATCCTTCGGGCGACATACTATGAGATTATTATTCCTCAAGACGAATGCGATTTGGTATATGCTGCTGCTGCACATGTTTGTTTTTTATATGTCTTCGAAGATCATATGGCCAAGCATAAACGCTTCAACATAGGTTGCAACTGAACATCATGGCATATAGAATAAGAACGAACAGACAAAATCACGGCCTACAGAATTAGGACGAACAGACAACAAATAACATACCTCTACATATAGAAGAATATAAGTTTGAGAAAAACAAACTCACCAAATATCAAGGTTTACATCATAGATTGTAATAATGATTAACAACCATTTTATAAATATGTCTAAAATAGGATTTTCCCATTAGACAAGAGTTTGTTTTTTGTATGCATAACGTCCAGTAGCTAAAATTTCGTGCATATTCAGGTCGATAGATAAGAGAGAAGGTTTCCAAATAGGTTTTTACAGAAAATTAATATAATCTTCGGGTAGATTTATCAAAAATGAAGTAGATGTCACTTTACGGTTTATTATGTTGCTGAATATTAACATTTACCCTTCATACCATTTAATCTATTGTGCTGTTAATGATCAATCATAATAAAGGCTTCACAATTCGTAGCAGATGTACATATTTTACATATTTGTGACATACATATTTGTAATCACTTTGTTTTCCTTATTTCTATTTGATTGTGATTAACTTTGTATATTTTAAGGTATATATTTGTCTCTAACAAGTATGGCTGTATGGATAAGTTACAACGTGTTTATAAATCTTTCCTGAACTGCAGTAGTACAGAGTCTTAGAATGCCAATATTCCAGCCAAATAATTGCATAATTCCCGAAACCTGTACATTTTTCATGGAAATCAATTGTATTATGATTTTTTTTCAAACATGTATACTTGAAAGGGACTACGGATGAATTAAATATGATTTTTTTATACTGTTTGTTTGTCTGTTTCATTTGATATATCATTTAAGAATCCAACGAAATTCAATTAAGACAGTTTATTGTAATTAAGTGTAAAACCAAATATTATATATATTATGTCATGTAATCATTGTAACAGTGTCAATTTTTATCGCATAGTTGTTTTTGGGCTGTTGTGTGATGTTTCTGTAGTATTTTAATATTATTTTGTCATTCAGAAACTTAGGGATTGAAATTCAAGTTCCTACACCAAAATTAGCAAACTAAGAATGCATTTGATTGTAAACTGCTGAATTATGTCCCCGTTTTTTAACCTTTCGGGAAAATATTTTTTCTGTCTGTTTGCCTTTTTATAACAAAAACTTGTCCCCATGAAAATTGAAATCGCATACAGTTTATATAGTAATGCGTTGAAGCTTATAGACTTTAGTTGTCCACCTTCATTTTTGTTTAATCAACATGAACTTTCTTTACACTGCCATTAATTCATATTAGAAAGATTTGCCATATCCATTGCGTGACATATTTGCTTCATAAAATGCTTGCTTGCCAAAGTTTCATGCATATAGCAATCTATAATATCATAAGAAATTTCTCCGTTTTTTCTAAAACTTTTTAACTCAGATAGGCCAGGAAAGGTAGCAGTATGCTTTTATATCGAAACCTAACTTTTATTAAGACCACAAATAAAAGGATACAAACAAAAGGGCATTACGATTTTTTAAAGATAATGTATGTTAAATGTGAATGAAGACGACGTACAGTTTTCGAGCACCCATAAGGAAGGTTCCGAAACATTTCTAGCTCTAAATCGCCTAGGCCTAGATATTTAAGTTAAAAATTACTTCAATACAGACTAAAATAAGATCTGTCATCACACCAAGTACATGTTATGTGCAAGTAAACAGTCATAAATACGGAGACGTGTAGCAAATATCAAATGAATAGAAATTTTATTAATATCCTTTTTTATTGTTAAAATAATTGGTTCGTCTTTTATTTAATTTAGCAGGTACAAAACGCAATGTTCATATACAGCATTCAATCCTTTAAAATCTTGTAAAACAGATTTTTTTTTTTTTAAACTCGGTTATCAGTTTTCCTCTTTTCAAATGAGGTGTTTATTTACCTGATTCTTTGTATAACCGTATATGGCTTTTCCAGTTTGGCCTTGTATTGATGCTGATCTAAAAAGTACTAGTCGCGATTATTTTTTGGATTATGACATTTTTCTTTAAAGGGACATTAGATATGAATATGATTATTTTTTTTCAATCATTAATAAAAGTGAAATAATGAAATAATAATTCGCTTTTAGCAGTCAATTTGGTTCAGTTTTGTCAAAAATAAGCAAAGAAACATCGCTGATGAATTACTCACTTGCAAGTGAATAATTCGACCTCATTGAATCCGTATTCATGTGACCTTCAATTTAACCCATTAGCTAGAGATTGGTTACGCATGTGTTAGTCGTGTTCAGCCATTAAAAGGAAAAGAATGTCAACATTGAAAGTGAAACAAAGGTGAACTATTTCGTTGACTGATTCGATCCACAAAAAATCATTCTTATACAGGTAAAAACGATGATTAGCTTATTTTTTAACCTATAACATGAAATCAAACAGACCTGGAAAAGTCCAATTGCACGAGGTCGCTATCTATTTGTATTCATGTTTATGTTTATATCGGGTTATGTGACCGTCTGCAGTCTTTTCTTCGTAGAACATATCGATGGTTGATTAGATGGTGTCTAGACTAAAATACACACGAAATGCTGATATATACTATCGAATACATGCATTGTTAACTGTTTATTTCAGACTTATTGTGATTTGGATATACGTTTTAGTATGTTATAAATCAAATACGAGAATTTGAGTCAAATCGGTGAACTTGAATTTGACAGCTAATGCCCCTTTAAATCATTTTCAATCTTCTCTTTCTTGTACAATGTTCAGGAGGAAACATACACATATACAATATTTAATTTATAGACCATTTTGAAGAGTTAATTGTTTTTGAGTTATGTATACATTGAATCTCTATTTCCTGGAATCTCTATGTTGTCATTCCATATTGTTCTTATCATTTTAACTGAATGCTGTTTGAAAGTGTTGCATACGCTAGTTTTATATACTCCTTGAAGTTTATTATATGTTTCTTTATTGAAGTGCATGATTTTATATTTGTTTGTATTACTATTTTGCTTCATAATTTGTACTCTTTATGTCATTTTTACTACTTATTTTTACTTGTTTGTATGATTTGTATTTTTATTCCCTTTGGTTTAGACAGCTGAAATATTGTCCTCCATCCGCACGTTGAGTTTATCTTGCAAAATTGAGCCATTCAAAACAAATCTCTTCGAAAAGAATAAAATATGATCAAATATTGTAAACCTGTAAAGGGTCCAATATACCAATCCTTGATTACAGTATACAGTGTACAGATGGGATCTGTTTGACCATTAGGATGTTCGTGACAGCCATCAGAAAAAAATCTTATAATGGTAAACAAAAATGGGGGAAAAAATCAAAATCCTCTAAAAGGTCAAAAATTTGTACTTGGAAACTATATCCACGTTTCGGTTAATTGATTGTTATAAACTACATGCAAAATTTGTAATTGAGAAATTCCACTAAATGTATTATCCCATTTGAAATTACATTGTATTATTACTAACTTCATCAACTATCAAATATAGTTTCATTTGTTACTAAAAATAAAATGTAAGATGTAAAATTAACATAGTTATAACCAGATGTTGCTAATAGGTTATGTGTTTGTGTTTTTGACGGAAGTTACTTCCATTGCAATACATCACCCTTAGGCCTCTAGTCTATATGTTTGTGGCATTACATTTTTATTGGACTTACATGATTGCAGGTATAATGTTTTGTGCAAGTAAAATAAAACAATTGCAGGTATAATGTTATGTGCAAGTAAAATAAAACACAGTGCAAACTTAATCATTGTATCATTTTGTCATTTTAAAGATATGGACTATCGGAAATGGGTAACATGTGAATAAAACGTTGTTTTCATAATGGTTTATGTATATTAAGATATTTTATTATTCGTTCGATGGGGAACATGCTTTTCCGAAATAAATGACCAGCACTAGAAATGCTTGGAACATAATTTAATCATGTACCCAAGTTACTGCAGCTATTATGACTAGACTAGAATTGATAAAAATGCTTAAAAACACCCAAATAAAAACCCTTATACCTGAAAGGGATCTGGTTTGGATTGAAACTACAATTGTTCATAAAATGACAACCTCCTTTGGCTATCCACATAGTCGTAGGGTGTGTGCTCTGTTTCGGATTTTAATGTTTTCAACTACTTGATTGATTTGGCCTTCCAACTGTTTTGATTCGAGCGCGACTGCATGATGAGCCTTTATGTAGATGAAATACGTGTCTGGTCTTCTTAAAAGTATACGCCTGATCTATCGATCACATCGAGTGAGACTAGGAACTCAATGCTGTCGAACTTTAGCTCGCCCCCTTCTAATAACGAATTACATAAAAACGTCCCATATACTACCTGCTGGTCCTCGCAATATATCAGCAATTGAAAAACATCCATTACTTACATTTATAACACTACACTTACATGTACATATTCTTCATCTGAAATATACCTTATCGATGTATATCTGCATTTGTTTCCTTTCTCCAGCATGACTTGAAAACATGCTTTTGTGAAATTGTTGCATAGACCGAGTGGTTAAGCGCGATGAACACAGTATATATTGAGATGCCACGATGTCACAAAATTATGGATTCAAATCTTGATGAAGGAATGTCGAAATTTAAAATTTTGTTACCGCAAATTTAAAGATCTAACATTCTTAGGCTAAATTTGAGATGGGTTGTATAAACTCCGAAAAAAATACTTGTAAACTCAAAAGCTTATATCTTTAATTCCAATAAATACACCCAACTAACATACTTGTTTTGTCAGGATTTTGAAATGCGCTTGCGAAATATCCGACTTGACATGTTCAAACATAGGTTTCACTTCAGTTGCAGTTTTATCACACACGATATATACATTGGACATATATTTCTGCCAGTGGTTGACAACGTCGCCATGGTACATCTGCATAAATACACCTGAAATTGCAAAACTAAATAGTGAACCATGTTTGACAATTTTAATACTTTTCTAAATACAAAAAGAAATGAACCTCTTTCATCAATGTATAGATTGTGTTTAATTAAAAAATGAAACTCTTCAATATGACTGCCTATAAGGATTTGTCATAAGTCATGACAGTAATATATAACCATCATCAATAAATGAGGCTACCAAAAAGTAATACAAACCCTCAGCGCCTCAGTTTTCCAGAATTTTATCAAAGCTAATCTCAATCAACTTACCGTCTTTATAAGGTGCCACATCAAACGCGGCAGTTGTTGCTTGGCCCCAATTTATGCACCCATTTGTCGCATCGTACTGAAAAATAACAATTTTCCTTTTATTTTAACACAATTATATGCAAACTGTTTGGAGAAAATAAATTATTTATTAGTTGTAATTGGCTTTGAACTAGTTTTCAGAAACTGCGAATACTCTTAATCGGTACTTTGTTTTTGTCTTTATGTTCGTTGCTTTTATGCTTCCAATTTGTACTTTGTTTTTGTCTTTATGTTCGTTATTTTATACGCTTCCAATTTGATGATTTAAGGATGTACTTGGGTGAGGTTTAGGAATCGTTGTCAGATGTTCGGACTCCTTTATTTTTTCCCTACGATACAGGGTAAAATATTTTGCCTCATAACACCCATTTTTCTTTTCATATAAGACTTCAATAGTTCATAATAGGCAATTTACCAAAATTTTAGCAGATTCTAGATTTCTTTTCTTTCGATTTGAGACCCAAATAATACCAATGCAAATATAAGGTAAAAGTCCGAGTCAGCCTTTTCCCGCCATGTTTAAAAAATTAAATATCTCGAAAAGTAGCTCCATAACCTTTTAATATTTTCAGCTTATTTTGTTCCTTAACTAATGCTCTTCTGACTTATAGTATCAATTTTAAATTCTAGATTTTTTAAATTTCACCTAAGTACATCCTAAAGCCATTTCCAAATTTCCAACTGATTTTACAGTTATAGTGTTGTGCTGTTATGCCACTGTTCTATGGAGAAAAGGGGGCGTGTAAGCACTCACAAACAGTCAGAAGCCTTTAATTTAGTGGTTGTCATCGGTTGATGTCTGTCATATTTATTTTTCGTGTATTGTTTTGTCATAAATCAGGAAGTTGGTATTGTTTCACAATGTTGTCATGTCGATGCCTTATCGAGCCATATGATTCATTCATGTGTTGATATAGGTCTTACAGGTCTTACATGGTTAAATTAGACTTTAAATGAACATTTTATAGATCAATAAAAATTACGAAAGGAGGCCACAATTGTATCTTCCAAAGTTTTAGTAATTGCTTTAATCGCATTTTTGTTGTTGATAATTCTTATTTCATTTATGGCTAACATATTGGTTTGTCAACAGTGTAATAAATGAAAATGTTTCAGGCAGATGCGTAGGAATGATTAAGGTCAAGGTTCAAACTGAGCTGGCAGTTTAAAAACTATTTCATGACTGATGACTGACAGTAAGTGAAGACAATATAGGTCACACTCTCGTGTGTCCCTATGAGCTACAAGTATATATCTGTTAAAAGTTCTTTTCATTATGACTTGTAATGCGGTTATTTACGTATATGTAAGAGAATGATAATCTCTTTCTTCATGATTAAGTACGAGCGTTAGCGAGTACTTATCATGAAGTAAGGGATTATCATTCTCTTACAAACTTAGAATATTGTAAAGTGCTCAGGGCTCAAATGATCTCTTGATTGGTTTTATTCAAGAATGGAACTTTCCAACTAGTTCTTTTATTCCGAGTGCAGTCGAAAAGTTCCGGTAAATAGTAGCTAGTTGAAAAGTCCCAGAACAATGAAGCTAGTTGAATAGTTCTGGCGGAATAGAACAACTAGTTACATCGTTCCGAATATACCATATTTCGTCCTTTTTGTAGAAAGAGGGGGAAGAATGAGTATCAGTATATATAAGGGCAAATCATTAATTTACAAGAATACCCAACGCACTGAAAGGGGTTTCTTTGGGGACAAATATGCAAAATTTAAGTTGTATTTCATAGCTCACATAAAACGGAATAAGTTGCATTATCATGCAAATATAGTATTCATAGTACCCTCAAGAGAGGGAAGAATACCCCCTCCTCCTGTGATTCTTTGCATCAATTCTCCAAATGGAACTTTGTGACTGGTTGATAAGTTCCGTTGGAACTTTTGGGCTAGTTTGTTAGTTCCGGTTTTGACTTATTTGCCAAAGAGGAACTTTGTGGCTAGTTGATAAGTTCCTTTTGACTTTTGTAATCAGTATCTTGGTTTCCCTTTGAAAGGTTCAAATATAATATGTTGCGCTTTGACTTTGCATCAATTCTCCAAATGGAACTTTCTGCCTGGTTGATAAGTTCCGTTGGAACTTTTGGGCTAGTTTGTTAGTTCCGGTTTTGACTAATTTGGCAAAAAGGAACTTTCTGACTAGTTGATATGTTCCGTTGGAACTTTTCAACTAGTCACTTTGTTCCTGTGGAACTTTTAAACCAGAGGAAGAACAAAGTAACTAGTTAATAAGTTCCTTCGGAACTTTTCGGCTAGTTAGTTCTTTCCGCCCGGAACTTTCCAACGTCGGAACAAAAGAGCATTTACATTAGTTTCATTGTCAGTGTAAATTAAATGGTTTATAGTTGATGCATGACTTCATTTTTCAGCATTTCATTTATTGGCTAGTTTTAGTGATGTAAGGACTTTCTTATGATTTGGGAAATATTTTAAAAATGCGTTCTAGACATTAGGTGACACAACAGTACACAGAAAAGGTAGGAATTGTATATGTTTCCTGATTGTGAGTATGAATGTAAATCATGTAATATTTTAGTGAGGAATTATCCTTTTTTTATTTACAGTTTAAATCAATAAATACATTTGAGTTACAACTGATTTTATTTCACAGCCAATATTTTGGTCCGGCTTTTAAAATCAAATACTATTTCATTTTGTCAGGGAAATGTTCTAATAAAATGCCTTTAAAGTTTTAAATATATTCAAAACTTAAATCAAACTCCTGTTTTTTAATTTTTTATTTTATAAAGAATATAAGAAATAACTATTCTTCCCACCCGCTTGTTCAGTAATCAGAGTTTTGGAAAGCTAAAGATGTAGGTTATTTTTTATTTTAAAACTTTTTTTTTTTTTTTTATGCTTTGCTTTTATATTGTTTGTTTTTTTAGTAATTTGAAGTTATCAATATATTCATAATAACATTAAAGGTACAAATTTTACTGCAGCAGTAAACTTCAACTTATTTTGATTTTTTTGTTTGTTTCACAATTCAACTTTTATTCAGTTTCAATCACTGTGCTAAATCCTTCCAATCTGATAAATGTGCTTCGGGGCAGTTGTAACTCATTTCTTTTGAACTGTAATTAGACCCAAATAATAGGATAATCCCTTACTAAGAACATGATTTACATTCATTCTTCACATTTAAGAGACATCAAATCCTACAATTTCATTGGTCGAGAGCACTTTGCTATATTCTAAAATAACTTAATTGGCAACCAAATTCTGTTTGCAATTCAATTGATATGACATGAATGTTTTTTTTTACATTTCAAATTATTATGCAATCAATTATTGTGTTTCTCTTAAGTGGCAATCTGCCTAAGAATCAGGCAGTGGTGAAAACATGACAAACAAAAACTCACTCAAGTTGACATTAATTTATGTTCAAAATGTATAATGGTACATGAATATAACATTCTTTTCCTTTTCCTGTGCTGGCAATTCAAGATATAATTTGGTTGAAAAGCACTAGAAATTAACAATTAAGGGGAGCTATTCTAACCAAAAGTTACCTTGAGATATCTCGAATTACCGGAATCGCAGAAATGAAAGAACTACCATTCTAACTCAGGATGAGGATAACTTCAAAATAGGATGGTTAGGTCGGTGGTTTTTTTTCAGCCATGTTTTGATTTTTTTCAAAATTGCCTGATTCTTACAAAGACTGGTGCTTAAAACAATTCAACTTATAAATAGCCGTTGATTATCTAAAGAAACGTGCGATTTTGTGTTTGATAAATTTACCGAATATGCTGCACCTGTACTGTTACACCCTTTGAATTGTTGATTTATGATATTCCTACAAAGCTGTAACTGAAAAGATACGTTGACCTGGTTGTCATTATTCAAGCTATCGAGAGAATATCCACCAATAGACCATACTGTCTGTGTCCACATATAGCCATTGGGACTACTGAAAAATAGATTAAAAACAAATAACGAAGATTTATATTTTCATCATACATTAGGTTAAAGATCTTTTGGTTTACGTAGTTAGATTGATAGCAAATGAACGATTCATAGAATATAAAGTTCTTGCATCTTTCAACATGAAGATGCATGTGTGATGTATTTACTAATTCAGTTAAATTGGTTGTTTCTTTGTATGATCCGACTATTTAAAATTCTAACTGGCATATCATAAATACTAATGATGTCAAATTATATTTTAAAGTTCATGACAGCTGTGAGGAGTGTTTTTTTCTTCTTCATTTTATCTTTTTCTTGATTGGCAGTATCCAACCAGTAACTTTGACCTTAGTTAGCTTCCAATTGTAGAGGAACCATTTCAACCCTACATCCCAAGTTATGTACCGTCTTTGATATCCTTGGGTTAATTTTTTATTGTGTTTTACTTTTACGACATATATGCCCTAGATAGGCATAGAGGGTTTATTTTTTTATTGTGTTTTACTTTTACGACATATATGCCCTAGATAGGCATATAGAGGGTTTATTTTTTTTATTGTGTTTTACTTTTACGACATATATGCCCTAGATAGGCATAGAGGGTTTATTTTTTATTGTGTTTTACTTTTACGACATATATGTCCAAGATAGGCATAGAGGGTTTATTTTTTATTGTGTTTTACTTTTACGACATATATATCCTAGATAGGCATAGAGGGTTTATTTTTTATTGTGTTTTACTTTTACGACATATATACCCTAGATAGGCATAGCGGGTTTCTTTCAAACGTAAAACTGGTTAAATGCTTTTTTGCCTTAACCAAGGCAGGATATATGGAACGTGAGTTGTTTTTTCCATTTGTTTGTGTTTGGTTTTTTCCGGAAGAGTGGATTGTTGGTGTGTTCGGTTGTGCTGTTTTACATTTTTGGCAATTCCTGTTATACGTGTTAGGTACCATAAAAAAAGAGAGAGCAGAGTGACTGCACACACCTTTTAACATTGTTTCATGATTGCATAAGTGTCAATGAAAACCAAAAATCCGACTATAACATATTGATTGATTGGTGATTGCTTTACGCCGCATCAGCACAAAAAAAGCTATATCGCGGCGAGACTATAATATATGACAATGAACTATATTATGTGATAAACACGCTTTTTCCTATTGTCGACCTCTCGTTTCTTGAGTAATAACATAATATTTTCTAAGGTTTTGGCGTCAAAGCACGTCCTCAATATGTGCATTTCACTAAAAGAAGCGTACTCTTTCTAAAACATTTCCCAATTAGGGCTGCGAGAAAATACGTCTATAACAATTTCGCGGGTTATTGAAAATTTGAGGATTATCGATTCCATTTATATAATCATATATCTGGTTTTATTACCGGTTTTAAGCAGTGTCCTTCTGTTGCAACTTGCTACTTATGAATAAAAGAATATGCTTGGAATAGGTCTATTAAAATGTAACCCTCTCCCTCTCCCCTAATTTTATATACATATTACAATGCAATTGTTCTATTGACGAGTTTGATTTTATATAAAAAGCAAATCTTATAAATGAAGATTGCGCACACGGTCAACTCCCGATTCCGATTTTATAAACAAATAAGTGATATGGTAATTCAAATGAATTAAGCTTTATGTTGTCATGCTATTACCTGGAAATTAAAGGTGTCAGGTCATATGTTCTCCCAGTAGCAGGGTCTTTGTACATACAGTCTTGTGCTAAATATCTTCCGAAAACAGACCCAAAACATGCAACCATAAGTAAAGCAACCAACATCTTGTTTCCCTTTTTTTTTTTAAACGGACAATCAATTACTGTCAAATGAGGTGAAACTAGCCAAGATAATACGGTCAGGTCACGTTTATCAATTACAAGAATATATCTTGACAAAGGATAAATAAGTAAGATGTCAAGATAATGTAGCAACCTCTTACTGAAACAAAATTGTACCACAATTATCTGGTTGTGTAAACTTGCTTATATATCTATAGTAAACATGCTGAGGTTCAAATGACTCGATATGGGTTCATATTTACGTTATGTGGCGATTGTCTTTTACAATGTTGTTAACATTGAAAAATGACGAAGAAATTCCCCGAGGAAAAATTGTTAAAGTTTTATATAACAAATTTGGTTGAATTATGAATAACATGTAGGAGAATCATGTATATCGTCACTGGTGACGCAGTCACCTAATATCTATCAACTGGATAACCTCTGTACCACGTTAATGAGGATGAATCCATGATAAATCCTGATTCAACATTGATTGTAATATGCAGTGATCGGGCTCTTTCACGGAAGCCAATATGGTGGAAACAAGTTCTTGATAATAGAACCAACCGCAATTTTGCATCAAATTCTGACTATCACCTCAAGTATTATTGATACATCAGAAAGCGATTTCTGATTGATTTGGTCTTATAGTCCCTGCTTAATGCTTTCTTTTATGATATTCATATTCTACTTCATAAATTATTTTTTATTCCACATTTCCATGGATACACATTCAACAGCTATTTACTTTACTAATGACAACAAGTTAAACTGATCATTTTCGTTGCCTTGTACATTCATCAAAAGTTAGTAAAAATCACCTAAAAGTATAGTTTGTCGTATTCTAAAAATTCAATAACCCTATCTTTTAAAATGTGTACTACCAATGGAAATCTGTCAAATTCAACACAAATTGTTAATATTAGGTATAAAAACTAAAATTAAGTGATAAAGAGATCACTAATATCCCCACCTTGCAGAAAACCGGAAAGGCTAAAACCAATATTCATATTAAATGTGACCTGTATTGTATGCTTCATTGTATTGTCTTAAAAAATAAGAGATTCTGTAAAACGGTATTTTCAATTTCAATTGGAACCCCCCCCCACCCCAAAAGAAGAGTTTTTAAGGTAACCAGGGAAAATTACTCTTGAACTGTAAATATTAAAATTAAACTTGACCTGTATTTTATGGTCCATGACATTGTATTCAAATTTCAAAATATTAGGTCAGTTGATACTTAACTTTAATCATTCGGAGATTTGAAAAAAACAACAAAGTCTATGGTAACTAAGGGTTATAAATTTTAAAATGTCAAAACAATCAAAAACGAATTTGACCTGTAATTTATAGTCCCTGACATAGTGTTTAAGTTTCAAAAAGATTTGGTCAAGCGGTATTATCGTTATCATCTGGAAACTGAAGGAAAATATCTCAGATATGTTGTACTGTTATACCACTGTCCCAGGTTAGGGGGAAGGTTTAGCGCCAACAAACTAGTTTAACCCCGCCACATTATGTACATGCCTGTCCCAAGTCAGGAGCCTGTAGTTCAGTGGTTGTCGTTTGTCTCTGTATATCATATTTGTGTTTCGTTTATTGTTTTGTACATAAATCAGGCCGTTAGTTTTCTCGTTTGAATTGTTTTACATTTGTCATTTCGGGGCCTTTTATAGCTGACTATGCGGTATGGGTTTGATGAAGGCCGCACGGTGACCTATAGTTTTTAACTTCTATGTCATTTGGTCTCTGGTGGAGAGTTGTCTCATTGGAAATCATACCACATCTTCTAATTCTTAATGTCAGTAAGGATCCTAACTCTTTAACCATCAAAACCATCAAATTCAGTGATTCAGTTTCAAATATGAAGACCAACGGCGCGATCTATACTACAAATTGAACGAAATTTAAGTATGACAGAGCAAACCACGAGAACCTCTGAAATAAAGGTTCCAGCTTGTTTGGGACAGGCACATGAAGAATGTGGCGGGGTTTTAGCATATTCGAGAGCGCTCAACCCTCTCCCTAACCTAGGACAGTGGTGTAATAATACAACATAATAACAAACTGTAAACGTCAGCTGAAAAGGGCTCGACTCATTATATCGGTACTTAGTAACAAAAAGACAAAACACACGAAGTACCGTTCTATGAGTACTTGCAATTACTGAAAGCTGGTTCTAATTTCAACTTATAAACCATAAACCATGTTGTCCAAGACTTAAATGTCAATCAGTAAACCTCCGACGGATTTAGTGTAAAGACATCATAAGAAGTTTAAGAAAGCATGACCATGTTCAATACCAAAAATGTAAGTATCGACAGGATGTAGGATCACCAGTGCAAATACATGGAAAACAATATAATTATATTTAGCACGTTATATATTAGACAAATTAAAAACCGATTTGAGCAGCTATAAAAACAATATGTAAAGTTCTTTCAATAATAAAAGATAAATAACCTTTTATAATTAGCTTACTCAAAGAAACTACCAGTTTATATCGATCGTATCTTAATTTTACTAGCTTAACTTACTTGGTTATTTTAGAATTATAAAACATCTTTCTAGTAGTTTTAAAGAATTTTTGACATAGATCCACCATAAATCTTGTATCAGATTGATTTCTAAAATCTATAAATTCTACAAAATAACACCAATATTTAACACCCCGACATTGTTTTAAACTGCATAAAACACTGAATAAAACACTCGAAAGAACCCTTCAGTGTCCATTATAAGACCGACTTTGTACTGTGTTTATCAAGTCTTGTTTTAAAATATAGCAGTGGATAGTGTAGATGACAGATCCACAACAATTACGATTATAGCATACTTATGGTATGGACACTTGTTTTTATTTAAAAAAAAAACAATATAATTTAAATTTCATTTTTCGGTTTGAAATAGAATTCGATCCAACCGATACTGACTACAGTCGCTTGAATATTACTGACGGTGTAGAGACTCCTTACATACATTTCTTAAATACGTTGCAAGATACTTTTATTCTAAATGACATTATGTAATTTACATCAAGATGATATCAAATGCTGTTTAGTTAATTAGCTCAGTCGGACAGAGGCACATATTTGTTTAATAAAATTTCTTTGTGTACTCCACCAAATCCGAAGTGTGACTATATCTGCTATTTGTTTTTCCCCTTTTTGGGTTATTGAGGTGTTTTCCCATGTTTGCCAATGAATTTGGATTTTTCAAATTATGAAATTATTCCAATCTACCATTCTCCTTACTCATTTCGACTAATGTCAACTATTGTGTTTAATGATAAACAAGCAACAAGGCAACTTTTATAACCAATATCATAATACAATCCCAAAAGGACAATCTAATTCGAGTTCGTTTTTTTGTGAAAGGTAGATATGCACATAATTTTAGTTTTCAATATTCTTTTTTCTCTTTAGCATACACAAATGTGTGGAATATTCCAACATCCATAACTTGGACAATTATGTTTACACCAAAGATCCATATACATTTTGTAGCTTGAAGAAATATTTGCCATCACAGTAACGCATTTATCCCCTAAACCATACGTTATTTCGGTCAATGTGCCATCTTTAAGACACTGACAGTGACTAGGAGGACAATGACCTAATTTACAGTTAGAATCGCACCAAGCAGCCATTGCTGTATCGCCTTTCCATGCGCCTGTGCCAACACATGTAATAGTTTCGGAAGGCGGACCTTCGGATGTGCTTGGAATGATTAATACTGTTGTCGCTGATGTTGTTATTTTGTTTGTGGTGAAAGTGCTGGTTGTACTAGATGAAGTAATGATTGTTGGAATACTGGCTGAAGTAATGGTTGTTGGAATACTGGCTGGGGTAACGGTTGTTGGAATACTGGCTGAAGTTGAACTACAACCCTCACTGCAGTATGTTGTTGGGCAGTATCCAACCTGGCAGTTGATTCTACACCACCAGTCCATAACAGAATTTCCTTTAAAGGCTCCTATCGCAGTACATTTTACCTGTACTGATTTTTTTGTTGTGGAAGATAACGTGGATAAAAAAGTTGTCACCGTAGATAATACTGTGGGGGAAGAAGTTGTCGATGATTGCATTGGCGTAGACGAAAGTAATTGTGGCGATGATGTAGAATCTTTAAACGTTGTGGTTGAAGAAGTTGCAACCGAAGCTGTTGTTGAAGAAGATGCGACATATCCATTGTCGTTTATTGCAACGTCTGCGCATGCAAAAAACTCTTCCTGTCTTCCTTTTCCGATTCCACAATTTTCAGGATTTGATGCATCATCATTTTTACATCCCCAACTGTTTCCTGGAATATAACAAAGGTAAAAGAATTTCACTCCTAGTTTATAAATTCTTTATTACTGCAACTGTCTATTTATGAATTTGCTTTTTTGTTCATTTATTCACATTAAATACGACGATGTGCGTTTAAACACGTAAGGCCCAAACATTAAAAATTAGATTTTGCTTTTATTTTAAAATAAATGAATATGCATTTAATCCACCTGTACTCTTCTCTGACCTGGAACACTGAATGGTTAACAGCACAACATAAGAACAAATTAAAAATTAAATGGAAAGTGCTTGCCTCATCAGATCGACACGAAGCACTAAAACAAATAATGTACATGAAGACAAAAGACTCATAGTACCGATCTAAAATAACTCGCAGTTACATGAAGCTCGTTCAAAGACAATAACAAAAAAATAAAATCAATCATGTTCTCCCAGACTTAAGTATCAATCAGTACACATCCAACGGATTGAGTGTAAAGACGTCAGTAACAGTGTGAAAAAAGCACGACCTTGCGCAGTGCAAACATATAAGCACATTATATCGACAGGATGTAGGACCACACGTTTTCATAAACGTAATACAATACATATTTTATTATGATTTAATTTACCAAAAGTGACAAAATCAATGTAAGTACCGATAAAAACAATATCTTTCTACGGCGTTAAAATGATATCCTTTAAGAATAAGTTTATTCAAAAGATCAATACGTTTGAATGGGTCGTATTTAAGTTTACGTGCTTTATTAACAGCATTACCATAAAAATTAGGATGTGATATCCCGTTTTTTATAAGAATTATACATTAAGAGCCAAACTTCAAAACAAAACTTTGTATCTATGAAAACAATTGGTAAAAGTTTAAAGTAATTTATGGTAAAGAAATCCCTGACTTAATAATTTAAAAGTTATTCATATATTACTTTCATTGAAATCTAAAACGTCACTACAGACACGGGCATAGTGAACAAATTGGGAAATATACACACCATAAGAAGTGGCAAAGGAACATCACTGTCAAAAAAAGGAAAATTAACACTAGGGAACGAAAAATTGTCTCTTTTGTCGTAAAGTCCACACCTCCTTTCGTTTGCAGGCTTTTATTTATACTTTTTGTCTAATTTGGTTGTATAATTTACGTGTCAGATCTGGATGCTAATTATTATAACCTCGTGTTATTGGATTGCTACTTCAATGAACTTACCACACATCGCCTTATATCCAAACGTTACGACAACTATGTGTAAAAAAACTTGCGTACACACAATATATAAGTAAATGAATATGTATCTGTATTTTATTCGAACTGTACTTATATGCATAATAAAGATGAGGAGTAAACATCAATCAATGACACAACAACCCAACGACAAAAAATAACCAAAAGAGGTCAACATACAGTCTTCAACAATAGAAAGGTGTCTATTGCAAATCATGCTTATTTGCATGGATCATCTAACTTGAAACTGCTCGTTTTAAAATATCCTGGAGTTATTATATATCAAATCTAATCTGAACAATAGCTCCTCAATACTACGGAACCCTGTTGGTCTCATTAAGATAAAGGGCTGCGTTTTTTTTTTCAAAGTCAAGCGCTGGAGATGTAAAGTATAGCGCTGTAGATATAAAGTCAAGCGCTGGAGATTTAAAATCCAGCGATGTATAAATAAACTCCAGTGATCAATTTCGCAAAAAATCTTAAGAGAAAAAACACTCTTAAGTCATGAACATATCAGTATAACTTTAACTTACGATCATTTTTTGTCGTAAGATGTTTTTTATGAAAAGAGCCCCTGCGCTGCAAATGTAAAGTCTTGCGCTATAGGTATATAAAAAGTCTAGCGCAGGAGATGTAAAGTCGAGCGCTGTAGATATGAAGTCTAGCGCTGTAGATATGAAGTCCAGCGCTAGAGAAGCATAGTCCAGCACTGTATATATAAATTTCCGTTACATCTCTTGTGCTGGACTTAAGTCTTAGATACATGATTTTTTTATTTGTTGTTATTGGCTTTGAACTAGCGGTCAGTAACTGTAAGAAGTCTCAGATCTGTACTTAGTGTCTTTTTTGTTGTAGGGATGTATAAATACCCTGCCACGTCCGGTCTGTTTTTTGTTACTTGTTTTTCTGCTCTGTATCCATCTAATGAGTTAAGCCCTTTTCAACTGATTTTTTATAGTTTGTTCATATGTTGTACTGTTACACCACTGTCCCAGGTTAGGGGGGGGGGTGCCCGCTAACACGTTTAACCCCGCCACATTCTGTATGTGCCTGTCCCAAGTCAGGAGCCTGTAATTCAGTGGGTGTCGTTTGTTGCTGTATATCATATTTGTATTTCGTTCATTGTTTTTTTTTTAACATAAAACAGGCTGTTAGTTTTCTCGTTTGAATCGTTTTGCATTTGTCATTTCGGTGCCTTTTATAGCTGACTATGCGGTATGGGTTTTGATCCGGTGATTGTCAAAGGCCGTACGGTGACCTATAGTTGTTAACGTCTATGTCCTTTTGGTCTCTATTGCAGAGTTGTCTCATTGGCAATTATACCACATCTTCTTATTTGAATGCCTCGTTCACACGTACATTTAATTCGAATTGAATTCGAATCGAATGCGAATCGAATTCGCTAATCGCGTTCAAACACTCTTCTTTTTTAATTCGAATCGATTCGAATTGGCTTAATCGCATTAACCAATTCGCATTAGAAATGCGTTTTTGTTAATACGAATTAAAAGTTAACGTCGTTAGGACAGTAAAGCGAATTTGACGCGCATTGCAATTCGAATTAGAATTTACGTTTGGACGTTAAACGTTTCGAATGCGAATTAAACTAATTCGAATTAGTTATTGCGAATCGAATTCGAATTACGTGTGAACGCAGTATTATAATACACTCTTTAGCGTTGGACTTATATCTACATCGCTGTACTTTAAATCTCCAGCGCTGGAATGGTTTCACAAAACAAACTTACGACTAAAGTTTATCGCAAGTATACTGAATTGTGTAAGACTTACGATCAACTTTAGTCGTAAGATATTTGTGAAACTGACTACTGGTCTTTATATCTCCAGCGCTATGCTTCATATCTACAGCGCTCGACTACATTTCCAGCGCTAGACTTATTATATATCTACAGCGCTGGATTTTACATCTCCAGCGCTTGATTTTAAATATGCAACGCTAGACTTTATATCTCCAGCGCTTGACTTTAAAAACAATAACCCTTTATCTGTATGAGACCAACAGGGCTCCGTATAATACCGAGTCGCCATTTATATTTTCATGTTATATTTGCTAAACAATATGGTCGTTTATATAGTAACAAACTTGTAATGCAGTTGTCAAGCTGGAGAGTACGTCAAATAAGAATATAATATTGTTGAGCCAAAAAAAGATTTGAGACATTGACTTGTTAAAAAAGTTATATAGATTTAGGTTTACCTGTACGATATCGCCACTGAATAACACAGTGAGAACATGTTAAACCTCTTGGGAGTGAAACCGTTGCTGTAAATTTTCCTCCTGTTTGATAATTAAAATAAAATTTCGTTCCTCCTGTTTGGACATCAGAAAGTATATACTGGTCAAGACAGTCCTGTGTGACTGCCTTAGTTACATCATTGTTCGGACAAATCCTGAATTCAAGGTATCCGCGATGGCTTGCAGTTATTTCAAACATCATTGAGGCATTACTGTTCACCGTATAGCTCCTGGTGATGATACCAGTGGCAAATTTTCCAGGTGGTTGGTTAAGTTGGGGTTTTCCATACTCGTCCCCGCAGACTCCACATTTACCGCCATTTTGAAAATGATGTACCTACAGCATCAACAACGATATTAGAACAGACCTAATAAATATGAACAGAAAGAAATGACGATGATACTGAAGTTAAAAGCAACTTAAAGTTAATTTTAATTGTACGAGGAAATATAATCAAACAACTTATTAAATAGTATAAAGAGAGGTACATGCTTGTCATTCATAGTAATAATGGTATTACTTCAGAATAAACTATTTTCAAATAAGCAAACATTTATTGCAGTTGCAGTTGCAAATTAATGCAGCTATGCACGGGAGATTATAAGAGTTGACCTCCGTAAAGAGACGTCGCTTTGAAAGGTAACTAATTTGAATCCAATACAATTCTGTTATGATATACTACTCCTTATCTTCACTTGCCTGTTGTGTTACATATTGTACTTTAATTTTGCTACGCCTAATATGATTGTGGATGCTTAATTTACATACAATTCGTCTTTTTGAAAAAAAAATTTAAAAAATTTAAAAATTGCCACATTGAAACAATGATACATACATTATATCCACCACAGAACAATTGGTTGTCATTATAATCAACTGGTGTACTGAAACCATATCTCCACATGGAGGCTCTTCCGGGAGGATCAATTAATCTTCCGTGTCCATGGATCGAACATATAAAACTGTTAATTATCAAAATATACGTTAATGCATTTGTGTTTCGACGTTCCATTATAGATTAAAAAAACCCGATTATTATTATTTCTAAAGCGCTGTTTGTGATTTCTGCTATTCCGGTGTTCTCATGTGTATGTTATGTTCTTAAGCGCAAGTCCTTCATCACTAGTACTGGATCATACGTGAAAACATCCGGCAATGGAATTAAAAATATATAAAAATTTAAAAGTCTTCTACTAGCGCATCCATTAAATATTTCAATCCGGATATACTAATCACAGTCTAATGTCTTCGATACTCAGAATGCGCATTTCAATTTGTGAAGTTAATTTGTCATCCTAACATAAAACATACATTTAAACACATTAATTATCAGTTTTTTCATCGATTTGGTCTGTTGGTTGACACCCCAATAAAGATGGTCATATTGTTAGCTTATCTTTATACCGACGGCTATGTTATAACAGTCTATCTAGATCACAATGTCAAGTCTGCTGATACACCTTAATAGGTTGATGTTTGAGAATATCCATGCTAACATAAAAAATAATGGATTTTTGTCTTGATAATCCTCACTAGGAATACTTACACCAAAAGTCATGAAAATCTGAAAGCATTGCAAGCAGAACAAAGAACTCAAACAAAACAGAAAAATGGACATTTTCATGATGATAGTTACATGTAGTTATGCTCAGAAAATCAAATGGATGGCAAAATTCTGCATCGTCTTGCGAAAAAAATGAATAAACATAAATCGTTGCAGTTGATGCCATTAGTAGATGATCATCATGTCTGTATATTATCATGAAACTACCCATAAATGCAAAGTAAGTCAAAAGGAAATATATTCAATATGTCAAACAGGAAAGTTGCATTACTAAACCGAAAAAAAAAACCAATTTGTTACCTGGTTACATATCTAGAAAGAAATCGCCTTAATTACCTAATTAAAAACAGCTATAATAATCACATCCTATAAAGCCTGTACAATTAGATACGATCCATGTAAACCTATTGATCCTCTAAACTAACTTATTAGTCTTAAAGGTTTATAATTTATCATTATATTAACACTGTATAAGAACTTTGCATATGACTTTATCGATACTCTTGTGGATTTTGTTTTTATAAACTAAAACAAAACTAAATATGAATGATACTAGCGGTTCTGTCTTTTGGTATTCCTGCTGTCATTTCAAAATGTATCATGAAGAAAAAGAAACGCCACGAAGAAGATTTTTTAAATTTTAACTCTATTACAAAAGTCATGCTACTGTTATTTTATATTCATCCACTTTGAAAGAGTTTTGTGTACAGTTTTTATGGGTTTTTCGCCTATCTCTTTATTGAATAACACCATGATTCCTCGTTCTTTTGTTGTTGTCTTTTTTATCTTTTAACATGACATTGTTCTTCATTACCATGAGTAGACGTGCATATTTTTAAATCTTTGTGAATTTCACTTTAGATATAGAAAAAAAAGCCATAAATCGAAAAAAGACCGACATGCAGTACCATAACCAAAATTGAAAAAGGGAAAACCCCTAACAATAGTCTACAAAACACTAAATAGAAAACTAAAGATTGACTAACAAGAACTTTTCACTGAAAACCAGGGGAGCACTCTGTATGTTGAATAATGTTTTACAGCAACTTTTTCCAAGACAGCACTTGTTTTGTTTAGCAGGATGCATAAATACATAATCATGGGCAGTCTGATGGGAACACCAAGCCCAAAACACGTGTACTAATATGCCATGCCTTCTCAAGGAAAAGAATAATTACGAACATTTCTGAGACGGGTGCTACTTATGTGCTGGGACTGATTAAACGTAGTTAAAAATAAAAAGATAATTACCATGGAGACAATAATTACATAAAGAAGAAAGATAGACAAACCATGGCAAAAACACCCAACTAAGTTTATGTTGTGAATTCGCCTGTCAGTTATTATGTATATGATAGATTTACTACAACTGAAATACAAGTTGTACCTGGCAAAAAGGAGGGTACAAAAACCCAACCCAACGCACCACTTTCAAAATTATGAGTGTCAAACGATGACAAGTTGATTAGATATACCCTAGCATGAATGAAAACCAAATATTAAAATTGTAATTCATGTTAACCATTGAGTTTTAAAAGTAAGGTTATAATTTCCTATTTACATTTTTTGTATCTTCTTTGATTTCTGAGTACTATTTCGTTTACTACAGATATAATAATATATGACATATATATTATTGCAATTACACATGTATTATAGTGTAACTTTTAGGTGTACCGTTTTTATGTATGACAACAGTGTCTGATTAAACTTCAAGATTATGTATTTTTTTACGGCGTTATTCAGCACCAAAAGGGAAATGAGATTTCAAGCGTTAAAAAAGTTACATAAAAATCGACAAGACTTTTACTGCATTCATTTATTGGGACAAGACAATTATAGTCTACAACTTTATATTCACATATTTAACATGTTTTTCCCAAATAAGTATTGATATGAAATTTGTGATTTGGCCTGAAACATGCCAAAATCGTACTAAAATATCTGGCAGGTTACTCATGAGGCCATATTTTTGGAGCATTTTTTGAGAGTACATGTTAAAACTGACACCTTGGCAAAATTTCAAATAATAATCAACATTAAATCTCTTCTGTATTGAATATGGCTTTAATCTAGGAAAACCAGTTTTACGTATGCCTTTTTGTGACTAGTAATGCCAGAATTTTTCTAAGTACTTCATTTTTTAAGCAGAAAAATTACCACGAAGACTCATCCAATGACTCCCCAGTCTCATTATCTCAGACTGTGACAAGTACTTTACAATAACATTAAAATGTTGTTCAAATAAATAATTTATATATTGTACGAGCTTTTTTGTGCAAACAAGATAATTATTTTCAATGGTGGGGAACACACTTTATATTGATTTACCATCAATAGGCAATCAATAATTATTCATTGAACCAAATAAAAAAATTCCAGTCTATATCTATTGGGTATAACTTGTTCTATATAAGTATTCATTCTAGAGCAATAAATTGTTAAGGTATCGTACATCCTTGTACGTCGACTATATATGAATCAGCAAAATTAATCAATCTTTATCGTGTTCAATATTTACCTTCAGGTTAAAAATTTAGACATAACGAACACATCAGATAAATTTTCTGTACATCATGTACTACATAAATGTACTTGTTTCACTTAAAAAGTCAATATAGGAAAATAAAAAAATTTAAAAAAATGAAAATGAATGCAAACAAATGTGATATATAGCAGTATACTGTAAAAAATAAGCCATTCAGCCCAATAGATGTTGATATTTGTGGTGATTTTTTTTTCTCGGTGACTTTACAGTGAAGTCATTCAAGAGAAGATTACTTACTTCCTATTAAATTTGCTATTTAATGTGAAATATAAAGTTTTCAGAAAAGAGTAACAATCCACAAAACATGTTCATACAACAGTTTAGCCATATATTAATATTTAGAATATGACTTTTTTCTTCTTCAGAAAAGTGACATAATGTTCAAACATTCGAAGTTATAGTGAAGATAAAATGACCATTAAACAAAGAATCTGTATTTCAAATAGATTTAAAAAAAATGGTGGGCGTTGTGAAATTACATTCGCTATTGATACTTTCTGGTAGTTTCAATGTTTAACAACTTGAAATTTGGAGAAATGAAATGAATATTTTCATTGAAAATACATTTTTCAGGAAGAAAGAAAGTTCATTATGCTTGTTTTTATTTTGAACTATTTCCCCATAACAAAGTGAATGTACATGTCATGAAATGTATAAAGAGAGTTTTTTTTAGAACAGTTCTGAACATGTTTACGTTATTTCAACATGTCGAACATGAGTAAATCCTTTACAAAATATAGCAACAAACATTCTTGACTCGCTATAGGATCTCTGTGGTTTTTTGTCTCGCCTGCGACGAAAGTCGCAGAAAGTGAGACATAGGTATTACTATCCGGCGGCGGCGGCGGCGACGGCGGCGTAAACTAGGGTTCACCTGACCTCAGCCTCATTTCATGGATCAGTGATCAAGGTTAAAGTTACGTGATTAGGTCCGTTTCTCAGATACTACAAGCAGTAGGTCAGCTATATGTGGTGTATGGAATGATTATAAAGGATACATGTCAGTCTGGCAGGTTTCATCTGACCTTGACCTCATTTTCACGGTTCATTGGTCAATGTTAAGTTTTTGTGTTTTGGTCTGTTTTTCTAATACTTTAAGCCATTGGTCAACTATATTTGGTGTATGGAATGATTGTAAGGTGTACATGTCTGTCTGGCAGGTGTCATTTGTCCTTGACCTATTTTCATGGTTCATTGGTCAATGTTAAGTTTTTGTGTTTTGGTCTGTTTTTCTAATACTATAAGCAATAGGTCAACTATATTTGGTATATGGAATGATTGTAAGGTGTACATGTCTGACTGGCAGGTGTCATTTGTCCTTGACCTCATTTTCATGGTTCATTGGTCAATGTTAAGTTTTTGTGTTTTTGGTCTGTTTTTCTAATACTATAAGCAATAGGTCAACTATATTTGGTGTATGGAATGATTGTAAGGTGTACATGTCTGTCTGGCAGGTGTCATTTGTCCTTGACCTCATTTTCATGGTTCATTGGTCAATGTTAAGTTGCTCTTGTTTGGTCCTCTTCTCAGATACTATAAGTTATAGGTCAACTATATGTGGTGTATGGAATGATTGTAAGGTGTGCACGTCTGTCTGACAGGTTTCATCTGACCTTGAGCTTATTTTCATGGTTCATTGGTCAATGTTAAGTTTCTGTTGTTTGGTCTTCTTCTCAGATGCTATAAGTAATAGGTCAACTATATTTGGTGTATGGAATGTATTTTATTATTTAACTGCTGATTACTTACATTGAAATAGATTATTTTATAAAAATCTTTAAATAACATTAATAATGATAATAAATAATAAAAACTTTTAAGGGATCATTACTAAACCGTGATTAACAAAAACATTGGAAGGTGTGAAAATGTTAAAATAAGGTCACTCATGCATGAATGTTTAACATAGAATACAGTTCACTCCAGTCCCTTCATAAAGATTAATTGGCTGAATATGTACAGATTGAAGAACTTTTGAAATTTTGTTTGCACAACAGAATCACATTTACTGATTTTTGATACATATGAAATAAGATAAGTATTGAGATAAGTAAAAAATATTTTAGCATAGCAACATAAATAGATAAATAGATAATATGAAAATATGACTTTTTACAATATTTTGATCAAAGATTGAAGATAATTTTAGGTTTTTTTTTGGGGGGTGGGGGGTCTTTCAGGTTCATCTCAAGGAATTGACAAATATTTATCCAGTTTCTGCAATGCCTTAAAACTTTTCCTTGTGCACAGGTTTGTCTGTACTCAAGAGGAAATAAAAAAAATGGCCATATTTGTCAATAGGGTTTATCTCACCTTGACTTCATGTTCATTCATCATTAAAATGTTAATTTAATGTAAAGTTTATATAAACTTATTTTTTTTACTTTCAACATAAATTCAATTATGAACACTAAAACAGGCGAGACATTTCAGTGTGTCCACTCTTGTTTAAAAATTTTCTCCAACCTTTCATAGTTTTCTACTGTCCCAATGCTTTTCTGAAAATAAAATGTAGTAGTCATATAGGCATATCATATAGACATTTATAGACGTTTATTACGACTGTAAACATACATACATTTTTAATAGATGAAAATGTTATTGTTGTAAAGTTTTTCCTACAAAATATAAACATGAAATGAGCTTTTTCTTATTCATGTTCCTCTAGCTATCTTATACCCATTTTCTAACGGAGTAAAAAGGATTTGAGAGATATTTCTGCTATGATTGAAGACAATATTGTCGCGACATGAATGTCCACATAATTTATTGAAACTTCTCAGAATCCTAACAATATGATATCATTTTTTACCTCAATATTTGATTGCAATTATTTATGGGGATTTCCTAACCAAATCATAGATTTTGCCATTGCTTGTGTAGGCTGGAATATCATTTTATGAGCTTTGGTCGCAGTACCTCTAGTTTCATTTTTGTTCGCTATTGATCCACCATGTCCATGGTATTGACACTGATTTGAAGCCATCTGGCGATTTATAGACATTTGCGATCTTTATGTCTTTGGTGAATATTGATCTCATTCGCATCGGTAGTACATCAATTTATTGTTACTGCATGATAAATGTATTTAAAAGCTGTGATACGTACCATTCAAAAAGTCACGTAGAATGACCCTTTTTTTTAGTGACGCAAACGATTTGCAGCTTGAACGACGAATGTGAACTGATGGACGTGTCTGTTAACGTGTACATACATTATATCCAGCATTACTAAACAAACATCCAAGTCACCATGGATCCTTTGCTTGACGAGAGGAGTTTTTTTCCATATTTATATACATTACTTCTCCATTGCGTTCATTTTTATATAGGAACAGGATACAATAAATGAATTTGTCTAAGAGGATACCAAGGGGAAATAGAAAAAAAAATTCATGGAAAAAAATAACTAAAACAAAATTGCTGCACTGTAGGTCTGATTATCCTTCTGAAGCACCCGATTCTAACCCCGAATTTTAGTGGGATATGTGTCGCTCAATCATGAGCAGTTATTGCAAGAGAAAATTATCAGTCGCATTTTGGTGATGTCAAAAACTACGAAAAGAGAATGGGTTGTTGCATTATCCTGAAAATACCCTTTGCCATGTGCAACACAATTAATCCTTAATGGTCTACAAAATAATGGTTTCAATATTAAAAAAGAGGTGACTTTAACTTTACCAGTACGAAAACTTGGTTCGACAGCCTACTTGTAAACAGTAATCATGTAGATAAAGACAAGAAACGAAAGCCCTAGAAGATATTATCAATTGATAATATATATTCGAGGTGCTGCATGCATGTTTCTAATAAAAATCGTAATTATTGCTTTAACGAACAAACTGGAATCATCTCTTTTGTTCATAAAGTTGAGTTCTCAAACAAAAGTTCATCTCATTGTGCGAGCTTAAGTCAATGTATGAAACAACGTTTTTTGATTGAGTTAAGCCTTCCAATTGATATTTTATAGTGTGTTTTTCTATGTTGTGATGTAATACTATTGTTTCAGAAAAGGGAGAAGGTTTGGTAACATTAAAACGTTTAATCCCGCTGCAAATGTTTGCACCTGTCCTAAGTCAGGAATCTGACTACAGTAGTTGTCGTCTGTTTATGTAGTTCATACGTGTTTCTCGTTTCTCGTTTTTATATAGATTAGACCGTTGGTTTTTCCGTTTGAATGGTTTTACACTAGTAATTTTTTGGGGCTCTTTATAGCTTGCTGTTCGGTGTGAGCCAATGCTCCGTGTTGAAGGCCGTACCTTGACCTATAATGGTTTACTTTTATAAATTGTAACTTGGATTGAGAGTTGTCTCATTGGCACTCATACCACATCTTCCTATATCTATTAACTGTATATGTGGTGTCTTTATTTCATGTCAAATTGGATAGGCATCGCGTAATCAACATAGTCATTAAACTTTGAAATATTCAGTGAGAGAACAACATCTATACTAGTTAAGTGTCACGTGAAGTTAAATAATGGAAACGCTGGTTTTTTTGCATTCTTTTTAGAAGCTCCCGTAAAAAGTATGCCTCGTAAGAATAAAGGAACATGTCAGTGAGTAAAGGAGATAAGTTGTCTGCAATAGGAACACCAACTGTCTGTTGAAAACCCACTTGGCAAACGAAACAAAAAATGTTTTCTAATAAAATAAATCGAGTATCTTCATGTCAGTTTGGCAGAACTTCTGGTTTAAATAATGCAGGTTTTTACGAAGTACTACTAGTAGTTGTCTGTTTCTAAAGCAAGAAATTAGTATCTACGTTGGCCTTTTTATGAAACAAAGTTGGACAAATGCTTTCAATGTGTCTTTAGGCTTATAATGAGGAATAATTGTGTTGAGTGAAGAGAAAACTAAGCGTTTAATCACCCTATACTATATGACATCATATACGGAATGCACAATTCCCATTTGATCTTTCTTTCTCTGTTTTTCTTGGCCAAAATATTCACCGAGGAAGTTGCATCACCACCTCAATGTATACTACGCCACTGCAAATCTCTTTATTGTTACATTGTTCGACTACTGTGTTTGTAATTAAGATACGATGTGTAACAGGCAAACTTCTTATGGTTACATTGTATATATAAAAAAGAAGATGTGGTATGATTGCCAATGAGACAACTCTCCACAAGAGACCAAATGACACAGAAATTAACAACTATAGGTCACCGTACGGCTTTCAACAATGAGCAAAGCCCATACCGCACAGTCAGCTATAAAAGGCCCCGAAATGACAATGTAAAACAATTCAAACGAGAAAACTAACGGCCTAATTCATGTACAAAAAATGAACGAAAAACAAATATGTAACACATAAACAAACGACAACCACTGAATTACAGGCTCCTGACTTGGGACAGACACATACATACAGAATGCGGCGGGGTTAAACATGTTAGCGGGATCCCAACCCTCCCCCTAACCTGCGACAGTGATGTAACAGTACAACATAAGAACGAACTATAAAAATCAGTTGAAAGAGGCTTAACTCATCAGATGAATAAAAATACAAATACTACAAATACAAGTGAACGTGGCCGGGTACTTGTACATCCAAACAACAAAAAGACACTAAGTACAGATCTGAGAGTACTCGCAGTTACTGACAGCTAGTTCAAAGCCACTAACAACTAATTAAAAAAAAACATGCATCTAAGACTAAATTATCAATCCGTACACATCCAACATCCAATGGATTTAGTGTAAAGACGTCATAAACAGTCAGAGAAAAACATGACCTTGTGCAATGCCAAGATACAGGTATCGACAGATTGTAGATCCATGAATGTGTATATGTATATAACAATAATATTTAGTTTGCTTTTAATTTACTGATAACAAAATCAATATTAGTACCAATAAAAACAATATTTAATGATCTAATTACATGCAGTGTTGAATTGGTAACCTTTTAGAATAAGTTTATTTAAAGGATCTGACTGCTATATTAGTAATTAAGATACGATGTGTACCAGGCAAACTTCTTATGGTTACATTGTATGACTACTATGTTTGTAATTAAGATACGTTAATTGTTACTTGCTCTAAAGTATGATGTATACCGTACATGTTACATAGGTACAGTTCCTCTATACGTATTGATAACAACTTACTTGATGTATATAGAACTATGCTGATAAAACATAAAACACACAGCACAGCACACAATCCTGGAATAAGCGAAGCTCTGAAAGAAGTATTATATTCAAAGACGACAAATATGAAATTATCGTTTTTTAAGAAACTTACTTATTTCTGTGGTATAGTTCGAAATATGCAGTATTTCTACAGCAATTTTATATACATGTAGGTTGATTATGTGTATATTATAATTAAATAACTAATAGTTCAGACTTATACGCAAACCAAACATGAGAATTAACTTATCACTCGGATTCAAACAAAAAGTTCTCTGTAACTGACAACCTCAAGATGCAGAATTTCAATTTTCTGAAACACGTGTACAAAGAAATTTACATTCTTAGAAAAAAGTACTAAAATTGTATTACTTCAATAGCATTCCATACAACCTAAAGTCAATAATTATCATAACCACCATGAAGTCAATATGTTGCCTTCTAGATATTTGTCGTTGTGTTGCATTCTCATTGATGTATACTCCACATATCTTTTATTCATAAATAATATAATACAATGGTATAATACATGTGTTATGACAAAAACTATGACAACATATTTTTGTATTTTGCCTTTAAAATGAATCTAAATCTATCTAGTAATACATTTACCTTATATAATAACAATGGTTATTGTAAGAACATATAAACCCATCAGGACAGCAGTAACCATTGGTACAACAATGCCATCCATTACTACAATATCCAACAGCCGAACCATTTAAGCACACCTCAATTCCTGAACAGAAAAATAAAATAAAAATTAAATAATGCAAAGTAAATAATAAGCTGGTACAAAGAAAGGGGGGTAAATGTTAACAACAGTGGTCTACGGTCTAAGTAAATTATTGTTATGGTCACAAAATTTCCTCACGTAAACGTGTAGGAATATCTATCCCAGTGTTAATCTTAATTACTGTAAAAAGTGCTTTAACCATGAAAAATGATCAGTACATAAAAAAACTGACTTATATAAAGACATTTTCATAGTGATAAATTCCTTACCTGATGAAATGCTGAGTTGTATAAAAAACAAAACGGGTGCAATAGCCATCTTCATTTTCTACTCCATAAAAGTGTCATATTCGATTATATTTGTATGTGCATTACAACCTAAAGACAAAGCAATCATATTTAAATCAGTATATTTATACTGTAGAATAAATATATGACCGTAATTCATACGTTAACTGTTAAGATGCACAATGTACAATGATTTTGTCATTTAGATTACTGTTATGTAATTTCAATACACAAAGTTTTAAATAAACGATTTATGTTGTTAATTGAGAAGATACTAGAAATGTACTGACTATACACGAAATATTGTAATATAGGACTTAAGCGGTATTATGAGGACTTGTATATGTTACAGGCATTTTCTAAATTTATGCATTTTTTTAAATGACTGAATTTTCAGGCAATTTATAAAATGACTAACCTTGACAGGCATTATATAAAATGACTAAAAATACCTAGTAATTTTGTAAAATGACTGAAATTTTGAAACAGAATTTCACAAATTGCCTGTTCAGTTTCAGGTAATTTGTTATAAAAAGGATACTTATCATTGGGATGCATTTGACCAAAACACAATATATTGCAAAGAAAATAACTAAGTAATTGGTAAAATTGAGTTTATCTTCCAAAACGAGCTGGAAAAGTTTGTATTGTTTTTAGTGAAACTACGTAAACTATATACTGACTATGTATTGTAATTTTATCATCTTCTTCAAGTACAAATTGTTCTTACAATAGAAAAAAGTTTAGAAACGAATTTTTAGAAAATCTAGATTCATAACAGAAGTTTGATTTATCAAGCATAGCAGCAAAATAAGTATTTTTTTATTGACAGATTGTTGTCTGTTTGCATTCAGTAGCAAATATTTCACGCATATTTAACAAATTATTTATAAATCAGAGAGCTAAGTTCTGCAATAGATTAACTCGGAGAAAGGAGAGAAATTTGACTGTTGCTTGAAATGAAGGTATGTTGGATAGGGACAGAAACGTTGCCTCGAATTTATACATGATGCACAGCCAAACAGAAGTCCCTCTCTATAGCATGGGTTTCGCCATACAAATTTTTGTGTCTAGTAGTGATGCAAAGGTATATGAATATCTTCATCGTCATTGGCCAAAAGAATCCTTGGGTCTTTACAGACGGATGATTTAATGCATCATTAGTTATAACCAATGTAAAATCTTGAAAATCGACCAAGATGAGACAAATAAAGGTGCCCAAACATGGTTAGTGTCCCCTGCTATGGATGCATCACCAGACATGCGTATAGGTGCTTCAGCCTATTAAATGCTCTCATAGCATAAAAGATGTCAGTCAATCTAATCATGGTAATATGACTTTGAAGTTGTTGGGAACACATGAAAAAAAAGATATTCATGTGTCTGATTTTTGCGAAACCCAATGTTGGTCAATCGTTAAGTGTTTTATCAGAAAAAGTATTGACAAAGCTGCACGTGTGATGGGCCGGGTTTAACCAGAGGTGATTGTAATGCTAAGACGAGATTTTACTCCAAACAATGTATTTGCAAAAAAAAACCAGGACACATATGTAACATATCCTGCCATCCAAACATTATATGAAATAACAAATAACTGTCGAGTTCGGTGCTTTTGGGAATTTTAAATGATTCAGTACAATCTATTTTTAATTATTAAAACTGTTAAAATGCAAGATTTAAAATTCATTTATTATCATAGTTAAAACTGCTCTGTTGTTCTTTACTTTTAATTGCTCAGTTTTTGTTAATAATTCATTCTATAAAATAATTTCAGGCATTTTGTAAAATGCCTTTTAATTTTTCCAGGCATTTTTTAAAACAAATTAGTCAATATACAAAATGCCTGAATTTAGAAAATGCATGTAACATATATAAACATGAAAAATTCATTAATGAAATATTATATATAATATGTTTTCAAAATATGCATGTATTGTTTGTCCTTGTAAAGTCGACAGAATTATAATAATATCTTTTTTAAATTCATTTATGAAATAAGTTAAAACAGCTACATGTATTATAAGCTTTTCAAGTCGACACTTAAGCCCAGCAGATAGAGCACGAAAAGAACATATTATGTTTAAAACAACAACATTTTTAACATTTTTTTTCACATAAGAGATATCATATCGAATTGAAGACTTCTTATAAAATGGGGAATTGATAAATACAGAAGTGATAAATATATTAAAAGTTTTAGTGTTAATCATTGCAAACTTATGGTTTATATTTTCTAAAAGAGTTATAATTGCGCTTACTTTCGAAAGTATAAGGAATATCGTCCTGCGGTGAACTGTTGATACGGCAACGGTAATTGTTTTCGAGTACATGAACCTTTGTAACTCAAAAGGGCTTTTAACAATGTTGAAAAATACTTTTTTTAGCATAATTCTAAATATCATCGACCAGTCTCTTCCTAGGAGTTCGAATGTGTTTCATGTATGGTAAAAATGAGTGTATTTTTCAAATGATCCATCCAAAGTTGTCTTTCTTATTGCGTTCTTATCGATTTTCTCATGATATCGAAATTTTGGATTTGGCCTCACAAGGTTGACAGAGTAAATAATGATGTACACAAGTCAATAAAACTCTGATACGACGATAGAAGATTGTGAGGAAAACATTCTAATTGATCATTTCGTGTATGTTTTTGTTGATGTGTTTTTTTTTTTTTTTTTTTTTTTTTTTTTTCAGTTGATAAGAATTTTTGTTGTTGTGATTATTAGTTTGTCGTGTTCTTTATCAGCTAGTGCTACTTCTACTGAAGAAAAAAAATCGTATATATATATACATTTCAAAAACGACTGAACTGAAAGCTGTTTTTGTGAAAATCAAAAGGTTCCAACTATGGTGATGGACCTCGTTATCAAAGTATTGTCATAAAGCATTGCTAGTAGCTGTTATAAATATTTCTGGGGCGTTACACATCGTTGACATACGGTCATGTTATGGCAAGTTGACTTCTTGCCATTATCATTTTTCTACTCTGTACACTACGCTACTACTGTACATTATCTTATCAACAAAACAATCATATATAATGTTATGGACCTTAGATAAATATGAGCTATAACTAACATACTCTCTGTTATGATCCATTTTTTCCAAAGATGCAAATGAAAATTATTTACCTCAACTTGATCTTATTAAATCCCTTTTTTAAGGTGTCCCTTTATGTCGTGTGATTTATATATTGTAAATGTATATGCCACATCTCCTTTTTTTTAAGAATGCTTCAATTATATTTTTTAGATGTAAAAGCGCGGAAGTGGAAGCGCTTCATGCTAGAAATGTTCCCACGATCAAAACTGGTAAAACCCTGTTAGATTATAAAAGAGAAGAATTCGATATTTTTATTCCTATAACATTTTTGTCTACCACCATGAAATTACGAGTAATAACGAGGTAATCATGGGAAGCACGTGCAGTCATGAATGTTGCATTTTATTTGGAAGTAATATATAATTTTGGAATGCCTCACGATTGTTGTCTGCCAAACAAAATTGCGGAAATTAATGAAACATGATGGCATTATCAAAACTTGAAAATCTTTTGGTTCGGAAGAAATCGAAACAGATATCTTGTACATTAAGATCTCACAATTGATTCCCTTTTGACATAGAACGTGCGGAACCGCGCCCTTTTTAAAACAGTATAATCTCACTATAACCCTTAGTCTCATTTGTAATCGCAAATTATATCGACGCACTGTTTTCGATACGAATCTTTTCTGAAGGGATCTATCTGGTAACTTCTTATTTGAACTATCAACCCTTTACCATTTGATTATTGATTCGTTTATGTGTCCAGTAATTTATTAATTTAGTATATGATATCATTGGACCATGAGTTTAACAATGTGGTCAAGGTAACATTACCGGATGGTTTTTTTTTCATCAGATGGACACATTTAAAACAAAACCATCTACAATCAAACCATTTCTTTTTCCTTACAAAGTCGAAACAGAATATTTTATCAATGCCAATGCTGCGACATATTATTTAGTTTTCTTCTCCTTGGGATCGGAATAAAAAAACCAACAAAAAACAGACTCCATATTTTTAAGGTGAATGATTGTTCCTTAATTAGAACTGCAGTTATTTCCCTTAACCATAATCATATGAGAGGGCAAAGTAGTTGATTTTCTTATTTGACTCACTAAATTAAAACATGGTGTACAATCAAGTCTGATAAATGATCCTTACAGGATCGTATGGAGGAATTATACAAGGCTTAAACAAGTGAAGATTGTTCATATTTCCTTAACTTTAGAGGTCACTATAACAAGTTTAATTTGGTTGTTGTATGCACTCCAATGAATTTGTGCACGTTGACCTCCAACATGACGACACGAGGGATACAAAATCTTACTCAAATTACGTTATACGAAAACTTTTTATTACCGACACACCTTGGAAACAGAAAACAGTTTAGTTTTTACACATGTTTGGTATATTTGAAAATGAAGGGTATGACTATCGGTAACTTACAAAGGCAAGTTTAACTGTTTATTTCTTCCTCTGTGATATTTTTTTCCGGCGGAAGATTTGTCATCGTAAATAGTTTCCAGACATGGTATATCACGGGTAGATTTCTTCCGGAGGAGTGCAATTCTTTCCATCTTATATGGGATAACCCAGATGTTTGATTTGTAAAATTCAAGCGTCTGGGTAACCAAATCCTTTCCGGTTAAAATTTCACATAAGCTTGTGAATCCCACTGTCTACTATATAAGGTACTCACAATCTATATATATACCTAACCATAATGATAAATGTTTCACCAAGGTAGAACAGATTTACATAATTTATCAATCAAAGGGAGGAAATTATGAGAGATTTTCATTTTATGGATATTTTATTTGGGAAAAAAATTCATAGTGAAATTGTTTCTTTTTTTGCTTGATTTCTTAAATATAAAATGATGACTTTAATTAAAGATTAAATAGACGTAAAATATTTCACAAGTAAACACTATCCAGCAAGATGTGAAATATTTTGCTGGGCAGCATTGCGCAATAAAATATTGTATGGAAAGTATTTACCATTAAACAGTTTCTAAAATGTATTACACATGACAAAATGTGTAAATATATTCTTGAGAAAAAGTAAAATAACAAAAATACCGAACTCCAAG